GAGAAACTGAGGCACTGGTTATTGTCAGATTCTTTGTTAATGTTTATTCTGTTTCCTAACATTACCAGGTTATGGAACTCCTCACAGCCGGTTCTCCAGGATTAATATAATAATAATAATCTTTGCATTTGATACAACGCCTTATCACGTGGTTGAGGTGTCTCAAAGAGCTTCCCAGAATATATTGTAATGTGAATTGTGGGCGAAACAGGGCAGCCAATTGCGCACAGTCACATAACCGTACGTCACAGAGAGAGTGACAGAGAGAGATCTCATCACCAAACCTAAGTGAGCGCTTTTAGGGGAACCTCTTTATAAAGAGGTAGTGTGTGCAATAATGCATGAGAGACATGTCATCTATTGCACACACACACACACACATATATTTACCACATAGCAACCTGGATCCACAGCTATCTACTCCCATTACCTGTGCATCGTTACCTGGTATCTAAAGGAAGCTTCTCCTTGTTTCAAGGCTTAAATCCGTTCTTAACTTGTCTGCATGTTGTACCACCCCAAACCCACAAACATGCTTATTACATGTGTGCACGCAAAGCAACGTACTTGGCGTACCCAGAATATCACGAGCTGAGCATTGATTAAAAGTAACCTTTTAGAAACCTGCAATGGGTTGCACTGACCTACAATCTGATGAGCTGAGCCAGTTTGGGAAAAGAACAAGAGGAACAAATGGAGTGAAACCAGACTCCCACCTCCACAGCAACATTGATCCACCCGCAAAGTACTTGACAGCGAAACGGGCTGGCGTTTTACTCGTTAGTACACCGAAATAGTAAGAATGATGATAATAATAATCTTTGCATTTGATACAGCGCCTTCTCACCCCACCTCAAAGCGCCTCGCGGAATATACTGTCAAGTGAAAACTTAACGGAGAAAAAAAAAAGGGGGCAAACAAATAAATCCCCCTCAAAGCCAGGCTCTTTCGACACCGAAAGCCGATAATTAGCACAGGGGGGAATAAAAGGGGAGTTGTGAGGCAGAACAAAAACAAGCATCGCTGCATTAATGCAGTGATTCATTAGCTATGGAGGGCAATGCCTTCTCCTCGCTGTGTGATTTAGATGTGCATCATACACAGCATCCAGTCGCACACAAAACAACACACACACAAGCCGGAGCCCGAGAAACCTGCTTCTGGCCGCTGCTTACTGATGAAAAGTCTTCTTACCTCATCTCCAAAGAGAGCAGAATGTAGGAAGGAAAGGAGCCATAGCAAACCCATGAAGGACTGTGTCTGCCTGGTTGACTAATCACAGCAGCAGCTGAAGCTGATGTATTTGAAGCTGCTCTTTGTGGCTGTGTGTTGGAACCATTCCCTTCTCTGCATGGCTTCAGCCACCCGCTAGAGGTCCTCACATCTGTCCAATCTGTCGTCTTTCTTGTTCGTTCGGCCATTCGTTTTTTGTAGTAAATAAATGATACTTTAATGTGTTTTTCTTTTGCAATTGAGAGAGGGGGGTGGGTCAGGAAAGCCACTTGCAGCCATTTCCTCCCCCTTCCCTCTTCCCCCCCCCCAGAAAAAACAATTTAACCATCAAATAAAGACAAGATATTGTGCAAAAATATACTGCTGTGCGCAATTGGCTGCCACGGTTTCGCCCACAAAATATATAGTCTATTCGCTTCACAGTGTAAAGTGTGACATCTCAAAGAAGCTTTGAGACGTCTTAACGACGTGATGAGACGCTATATCGAATGCAACTATTTTTTATGATTATCGGTAGACTCAGAGCAATGGTTCTGGACCAGGGATAAAGGCAGAAAATGAAGACTTTATCTGCAGCAAAAATATTCACCTTCACACACTAAAAAAAAACACCTAACTGGGTCAAAATTCAGATGAGTTATACCAGAAGCCTTCAGCCTTTAAAGGGTCTAAAAGTACTTCCCGAATCATTCCAAAATGATTCTCAGCTGCATTTTGCAGAAAGATGTTGTATTGGATCTATCATTTAAGCACATCCTTAATAATAATCCTTCCATCTGGCATAGGGCCTTAATATGGTGTTGAGACTCAAAGCCCTTCACAGAGTATGATGTGAAGTGAATTGACTGTATAATTCGAGGGTGAAACACGGCAGCCAATCGCGCACCCACTCAAAGTGCTTCGGAGCGTGTTCTATAAAGAGCAACGTCTGCGGTGTGTGTGTGTGTGTGTGTAAGTGGACGCGACAGCTGATTTGCACACAGCTGTGTCCCACAAACAGTCATTCACTGGGGATCAGTGCCCAGTGGATCATCATTCATTATTGTAAGAGCCCAGACAGTGAGTGTAGGTGGGACGTTCCACTGTGTGGAGCATCACAGCTGAGCTTTGACCCTGTCCTCACCCAATGCTGACACCCAATCAATTAGATGTTCTGCATTCAATGCATTACCTTAATATGTCTTTTGCTCTCTGTGCCTAATAGCCTTGAGCTGGTTATTTGGTCGCTCAATCCACGGCTGTTTGTGGGGACGCTGCTGTGCGCGATCGGCTGCCGCGTTTCGCCCACAAAATACGCAATCGATTCGCTTTACGGTATATTCTGTGAAGCGCTTTGAGACGTTGTAAAGAAGTGATAAGGCGCTGTATCAAATGCAGGGGTTATTATATTATTGTTAAATAATAATATCCACACGAAACTCCGCTCCCCTATCACCCCAGTCCTGGCCAGACTGCACTGGCTGCCTGTCCCAGAGAGGATCGATTTCAAGATCCTCTTCCTCGTATTCAAGTCCCTGCACTCCTCTGCAGCCCCCGACCTCTCCGACCTCCTCTCTCCTCAGCACAGTACCCGTTGCCTTCGTTCCTCCGGGTCTGGCCTCCCCCTCGTCCCCCGAGTCCTCCGCTCCACCCTCGGCGGCCGTGCCTTCAGCCACTACGCCCCGAGGCTCTGGAACTGCCTTTCTCACTCCCTGCGACTCGCTCCCTCCCTTCGCATTTTCAGGTCTCTGCTGATGAACTTTCTTTTCGACGGCGCCTTTGGTCACCTCCCACCCATCCCCACCCGGCTCGGTCCCGGGATCCTAAACTGTAAAGCGCTCTGAGACGCCATCCGGCATGGAGGGCACTATATAAATCCTTGTTATTATTATTATTAGGGTTATTGAGTACACAGATTCCACAGTAACAGTCAAGGCTGATTAGCCCAGTTTCAAAAGCACCACCCAGCGGCCAGCTTTCGCCTAGAATCAGGTGTCTGTACCAGCTCTCTGAAACAGCTACTCCTTTTAGCCACTCTAATCTTTTCCCCGACACCCTTTAATCTAACTATCATCACGTTTGGGCTGTTTGCGGGACATTGCTGCGCTCAAAATACAGTCCCCGCACTTGACAGTAAATCATGTGAGGTGCCCTGAAGTGAAAGGTGTCAATATAATAATAAATATCTTCACAATTTGTTCCAATTCCCTTGACAAACCATTGTTTATTCTGCATTTACCACCGTTTTTGGGAGGGAGTGACATATCCTAATAACCCCGTGTGTATAAAAAGGAATCTAACCTCAATTTTGTTGATTCGGCGAAAATCTTTCAGTTTATTTTCTCTCTTAATCATCAAACAGTTTTTCTCTGGTCATAACCTTTCACAGTGCATTTCCGCACGGAGTTTCCCTGATCAGAACCCTTCCCAGTGTTAAACACCCTTATCAATGTAACTGCGTAAAGAATTGTTTAGTAATAATGAATAATAATCACGTGGTAAGAGTTTAACAGCTGAGCAGGTGACTGATAGGATTACTCTGGTGAGAGTTTAACAGCTGCTATCAGTGAGATTCTTCAGAGATTTGCTGCATGGTTACGTTTTTACTTTTATTGATCAAATAAACTAGGGTTTGCAGGAAAGGGATCAGCAAATCCCAGTCAATTCCTTACACAACTATGTGACTTATAATGAAAATGAAGTTACTGTAGGAATATTCCCAATCACATCCAACTGCAGGTGAGGTACATTTAATATAATGCCAATAATATGTTTCGCGATAACCCGGCTGTTTCAAGCTCAAACTGTAGACCTCCAGAATAATCACTGTGCTTTACAGGAAATCGGTCAGACCTTCAGCCTCCCTGCCCACACCCTTTGACTCACCGCGTCCCTTGTCTCCTTCAAGGCACGTCTCAATACTACCCTCCTCTTCGACAGCTCCTTTGGCCACCCTCCTACCCACCTCTGTCCTCCTACCCACCCACCCCCCCCACCAACCACTCCAAATCCCCGACTGCCCAGCGCCTTGGGACGTCCTCCCGACTTGAAAAGCACTATACAAATGTAATTCTATTGTAATCTTGTGAGGTACTTTGAGACGTCATCCTGACGTGAAAGGCATTAATAATAATAATACATATTTTCAAATACTTGTTCAATTCACTTTGCAAACCATTGCTAATTCTGTATTTACCAACCATTTTGGGGCAAGCCATGATGTGCCCTAATAACCCTCTGTGTAAAAAAAAATGGAATCTAACCTCAACTTTTGTGGTTGGGGTGAAAATCATTAAATTTATTTTATCTTGAATCATCAACTGTAGCCAAGTTTTTCCCTGATCAGAACCCTTCCCAGTGTTAAACACCCTTATCAATGTAACTGCGTAAAGAATTGTTCAGTAATAATGAATAATAATCACGTGGTAAGAGTTTAACAGCTGAGCAGGTGACTGATAGGATTACTCAAGAGATTTACTGGAAGGTTGCATTGTTAACTAAGAGTTTACCAGAAAGGGATCAGTTTACCGCAAACAAATCCTAAATCATTTCTTGGCAGAAAACAAGTCAACTAATGAAACTGAAATTGCTGTGAAATTGTTGTTGCCAATCATGTTATCACAATGCTTAGTACTTTGCTCCTTGCCTCTTCCAGACTCTCATACACTCGCTGTTCCATTCGACATCATTCTGCACTGCTCCTGCACCAAATCCAAGCTGACTTCAAGACCCCTGGACCTATTTACACCTAAACAAAACTTGGTTCAGAGGCCGACGAAAGACTGCAGATGGATACTGAGATCTGGATTTTCCTGAGCGGAACTGACTGGTATGTCCCCCACTTGCTGAAGCTTGTCCTCTCCTTCCTCTTCACTCTGCGCCTCTTGGTACTCGTTTTGGGAGAAAGGATCGCTTGGAAAGATGACTTGTCTGATCTGGTGTGTAACTCTACCAGGGTGGGCTGCCACAGCGAATGCTACAATCAGTTCTCCCCTCTCTCCCCACTCACTCTCTGCTCGCTGCAGATGATCTTCCTGTGCGTCTTCTCACTGGCGAATCTGTGGTACTTCAGAGACATCACCTACCGTCAGCTCAGATGCTGTAGCCTGTTTGCAAAGGGACTGATCGAAGGGGCTTTCTTATTCACGTGCGTCCAGCTTTACTCTGGGATCTTCAGACCTTCCTCTTTCCAGTGCAATCTTGCTCCCTGCGAGCAGCCCGTGACTTGCCATCTACTCAAGAGCAGACTGAAAGACGACTTCGTCCTGCTCATGGTTTCTGCCTCGCTAGCCTCTCTGTCCATCTGTGTGCTAGCGGTGTGCTTGCTCCTGGGGAAATGGCTGTATAATAAAGGGAGCTCAGGAGAGAAACTGTTCAAGAAACTCTGCTTGAATTATTACTCACAAGGTAAAAATGCAATGCTCATGCAAAGCCAGACTGGTTATAATCCTTGTATCTAATGTAACATACTGAAACGCACGATTGGTATTTCACTTTTTTTTCTGTAAAGTGTAGTGACTGTGGATTTGTGGGCAAACTGGTTGAAGGGTCGGACAATCTGTTTTTTCATTCTCTTACCTCACAAAGGTTGTTATTGATCTCAGCTGATCACCCGGGTAAAGGCATCAAAATCCGATTAAACAGGATACCGACCGATACCTTTCGAACAAGTGTACCTTTCGAACAAGTGTTATTGGAGCAGTGTTGAGGTGCGATTGTGTGTCGCTGCCCCCATCCTTTGGAACTCCATCCCACTCCCTTCGCCTCCCTTCAAGACCCATCTCAACACTCTCCACTTCGAATGCACCTTAAGTTACCCTCCTACCCCCAGCTCCTGATCCCAACCACCAGCTCAGGTGCAAATCCTCGACTGTCCAGCAACTTGGGACGTCCTCCCAACCTGCAAGGTGCTCCACAAATGTACTTGGTGGTTGTTTTGTCTGCTTACCAGCAGCACCCTCTCCAGCTCAGCCATTTCTACCGGAATAGGAATGTACACACATGCAGTTCACAGGATGTTATAGCAGAAACCCACCTGGATTGGTTGCCGACCTTGCAGCTGGTGCCTTCCAACTCTGTACATAAGTGCCTGTTGTTATTGCTGTTTGAGCTGCTTCTAACCCGCATGATTCGTTCCTACGCAGAAGAATGTAAATACCCATTTCCTACCTCTTTCTAAGCTGCAATATTGAAAATAAACATATTAAGGTTTAACATATTAACATATTGGAGCCCACAGTGAGCGAGTGACTCGCTTCGAAAGCGACTCGGGCGTGGCGCTGCCACCTGCTGGAGAAGACCTGCCATGCGGCGGGCGTTGAAAGCCGATGGTAAAACCAAAGCAAAAGTTCGGGAAGAGCTGCGCCCGCGGTTGAGAACAGTCACTCGGCGCAAGACTTGCGTTGCTTTCAAAAGGGAAACGGATAGGTGCTTAGAAAGGAAAAAGCTGCAGGGCCTATGGGGTAAGAGCGGGAGGAGCGGGACGAGTCGGTAGGCCTTTCAAAGAGCTGGCGCAGGCATGCGCGATGGGCCGAATGGCCTCCTTCTGCGCTGTAAGATTCTGTGTAGGCCAGGGTCTTAACGGAACAAAATATTCAGAGGAATCCCATCACAAAGAAAAAAGAAAGCACGAAAGATTTGTACGGAACGAGTTTATTTATTTACACTGCATTTCCAGCACAGTTTACTTGAGAGGAATGAACCTGGAGGAGTGAGTGGCACCGATACCAGGGCGGCCGTGTTTGACGGGCTTGTAGGTGATGGAGAACTCTCCAAGGTAATGACCAATCATTTCAGGCTGAAAGAGAGGACACAAAAAAAAGCACGGACATTAAATCAACGACAGCCCACCCCGTGGATTTGACACAGTTTCGAGGCACGGAAACGGGCCATTCAGCCAACTAGTCAGTGCCACACAAGCCCCAACCCTCCTCTTCTCTGCCCCTTCTCTTGCCATCTTCAAGGCCCGTCTCAAGATCTTCCTTTTTGACCGTGCCATCCCTACCCTCATTTGTTGTTGCTGTTCCCTTCACCCTCGTGTATACATCAAGTTAATATGTTACACCCAGGTGCGGCAGCGCTATAGCCAGACTTCCTTCCACCAAGTCACCAACACTGCAGCACAGAAAGACATCCACGCTTGTGTTTTTCTCCACCTAACCTAATCCTTCTCGGTTGCTCGCTCCCACACCCGCTAATATTCCTCTTTTTTTCTCTGGCATCTGCAATAAATTCCCTGTTAAAAGAATGTATAAGCTCTGCTTCTACCCCTCCTGTAACAGAGAATCCCACATTCCCGACGTCACCCACCCAGTTGTTTTGGGAAGCAAATGTTGAGGAATGAAAGATGGACTATACTGTCGATTACACTTAATGACTGAATTTAACAGATCGCCCCTCAAAATCGATGGACTCTCATCAGGACCAAGTGTATCTATTGCGCCCCCACCCTCGGTCCTGAGCTAGGAGGACCACCTAGAATACTACTGAAGAAATCTAGTCTACAGGTGTGCAGGTGAAACATAAATCAGGGTTTCAGCTGAGTTGGGGTGAGATGGGGTGACACTGCAGAGGTGGAATGAAGCAGAATTTGACGAGGACTTAATAAAAGGTTTGAAGGAGAGCCACGGGTCAAAGAAATCTGCAGACTCCGTGAGCTGTAGTGAGCAGCTAGTCAGAGCCTGGAGAAACAAAGAAACAGGACTAGGCTATTCAGCTCCTCATGCCATCCGTACCTCAAGTCCAGTTACCTGCCCTTGCCCCATATCCCTTAATACCCCGACCTAACAAGTATCTAAGCTCCTGGATCGCATTAACAGGTCAATAGCGACCAGAATCACACTCCTCAAAGCTAAACCCAAAAGCTCCACACAAAGTGGTCCACATCCAAACATGTGTGACTGTGGTGGCCAAAGCTGCAGCGAGCGAAGGAGCGGGCAGGGGGAGGGGACCCATACAGGTCATCCTGTGAAGGTTCAGTAACTATAAAGTTCTCCACGTGTTAAGAGTCACTGACTGCTTCCTGAATGTTCAGACTCAAAGTGAGACGGTATTAAAAGGCCACGAGGGAGAACCTTTACTGTGTTACCTCACCCATCGACAATGGCTTAAGAAAGATAAGACATCTACCCAACAATACCTGCACTTCTACAGCGCCTCACGCTGCCCAGCACAGCCACAAGACTCACCTTGATTTCAACCTGATTGAAGGTTTTGCCGTTGTACACGCCGACCATGCTGCCCACCATCTCGGGGAGGATAATCATGTCCCGAAGGTGAGTCTTCACCACCTCAGGCTTCTCCATGGGCGGGGCCTCCTTCTTGGCCTTGCGCAGCCTCTTGAGGAGTGACTGCTGCTTGCGCCTCAGGCCTCTGTTGACCCGTCTACGCTGACGGGCGCAGTACAGCTGCATCAGCTGCTCACTGGAGACAAGACGGACATTAGAGAAAGTTCCAACCTAGCTGACGCAATCAAGGCAGCAATCTCCGGCTATTTAATAATATCCACACTGCCTGAACTACACAACAATGACTGTCCCAGCTACAGGCAGGTGCTTAATGCTTTATTTATAAGAAAACACTGGTTGCCTGTGGTGGAGACAAAACTTTGGGGTCCCCGTGAATGGATCATGGATACCATCAACTCAGTGAGGACAGACGGCATCTCACCATTAAATGGGTGTGTGCCAGGGAAGAGCAATACATATAGGTGATCAACAAATCTAGAATGAGGGACAGAGCGCGCAGCCGATTCTGCGCAGAGGAGCAATGTCCATGCATCGGTTGCACACGTGTGGAACTCTCGGTGTGGATTGGGATTTCCATAGGTGTCAGATCAAAAAGATTGATCGGGCGTGGGGAAGGGAGGGAGAGAGAAAGGACATGGATTGAAGCTCAAGAGGTAACACAACTATTATTTTCCTAAACTTGTGAGGGGGGGGGGGGTTGGGGGGGCACGGACAGGTCGATCCGGGGAAATTGTGGGTTACATTTGAGCTGCAATCCCAAAATACCATCACTGCACTTTACAATATATTTCTGGGAAGCGCTTTTGAGACGTCTCAACGATGTGATAAGGCGCGATATCAAACGCAAGGATTATTACTACCAACGGGCGGGCGCACACCCGGAAATTCATCCAGCAATCGTCATTATTATTATTATTATTAAATGACAACGGTAATAACACTACTGACAATACATGCGTTTGATATAGCGCCTGATCGCGTCTGCGAGACGTCTCAAAGCGCTTCTTCACGAAATTAACACTGCAAAAATTAATTGACGGTATATTTTGCACGGCAGTCACAGCAATCAGTGTCCCACATTTAACTTCATTAAATCAAATCAATTGTCGAATTATCGGGCATGGTTTTGAGCCCCCTAACCCCCACCTCCACACACATGTCCCCCCCCCCCCACCCAGGGGAAGGGGGGGGGGAGGTTAGCCACTCACTGGGACATGTCCAGCAGCTGATCCAGGTCCACCCCGCGGTAGGTGAACTTCCTGAAGGTTCTCTTCTTCTTCAGCTCAACCTGATCTGCCTGAAAGAGGGAAAAATAAAACAAAAGTGTTTTAAATAAACACAGAGCACCCGAGGCCGCGACTCTCTGGGGCCCACACCCCACACACACAGACCCCCCCCCCCACACACACAACCCCACACACACACAGACCCCCCCCACACACACACACAACCCCGCCCAAACACACACACAACCCCACACACACACACACAACCCCACACACACACACAGACCCCCCACACACACACACAGACCCCACACACACAGACCCCCCCACCACACACACACACAACCCCACACACACAGACCCCCCCCCCCAACACACACACAGACCCCCCCCCACACACACACACACACAGACCCCCCACACACACACACACACACAGACCCCCCACACACACACACACAGACCCCCCCCCCACACACACACACAGACCCCCCACACACACACCCCCCCCACACACACCCCCCCCCACACACACCCCCCCCCACACACACACCCCCCCCACACACACAGACCCCCCCCCACACACACAGACCCCCCCCACACACACACAACCCCACACACACACAGACGCCCCCACCACACACAGACCCCCCACACACATACAGACCCCCCACACACACACACAGACCCCCCCACCCCCCCAACACACACACAACCCCACACACACCCCCCCGCACAGACCCCCCCACACACACAGACCCCCCCCCAACACACACACAACCCCCCACACACACAGAACCCCCCCCGCACACACACACCGACATACACAGTCCCCCTTCCGCCCACACACACAGGCCCACACATCATTCCCCCCCCCCAAGACACAGCCCCCCCCCCACACACACAGACCCCCTCCGTCACTCTCACACACACAGACCCCCCCTACAGACCCCCACACAGCGCCTCTCCCCCGTGTGTGCGCTCGGGGCCCGAGGCCTAAAGGATGAACATCGCCTTTATCAGGTAACGCGCTCCGCGCCCCCGCGGGACAGAGCGGCTGTGGCTGCGGCTCGGCCCCGGGGGGGTCCCGGGGGGTCCCGGGGTGGGCGCGGGGCGGGTGGCGCCCCCCGGGGGGGGGGATGGCTGCGGATGGCGGGGACCCGGAGCGGCGGTACCCACCATCGCGGCGCTCCTCACAGGAAAGGCCGAGAGCGGGAACCGCGCGCAGATATCGCGAGATCACAGGGCTCAGCCGCCGGGCAGTTACTGCGCATGTGCACAGCGCCCCCTCCCCCCCCCACACGGTCTGACAGCCCCACACACACCCACATACACACCCACACACACAGTCTGACAGCCCCCCCCACACACACACCCACACACACACACACCCACATACACCCCCCACACACACACCCACACACCCTCCCCCCCCCACACGGTCTGACAGCCCCACACACACACCCACACACACAGTCTGACAGCCCCCCACACACACCCCCCCACACACCCCCCACCCCCCCCCACACACACACACACACACCCCCCCCCCACACACCCCCCCCCACACACCCACACACCCCACACACACAGTCTGACAGCCCCCCACACACACACACCCACACACACCCCCCACCCCCCCACACACAGACACACCACACACACAGTCTGACAGCCCCACACACACCCACATACACACCCACACACACAGTCTGACAGCCCCCCACACACACACACCCACACACATACACACCCACATACACCCCCCACACACACACCCACACACCCTCCCCCCCCACACGTCTGACAGCCCCACACCCCCCCACACACACACACACCCACACACAGTCTAACCCACACACACAGTCTAACAGTGCCCCCCCCACACACACACAGAACCCCCCCCCCAACACACACACAAACACACACACAGGGCTGAGATCTGTGAATGGATGCGAGTGTCAGTGTATGTATGTATGTATGTATGTGTCAGTGCGTAGGTATATGTACATGCTGTATGTATGTGTGTCAGTGTGTATGCTGTATGGGTCAGTCTATGTGTGTGTGTGTATGTATGTCAGTGTATGTGTGTGTGTGTTAGTATATATGTGAGTGTGTACGAGTATGTGTGTGAATGTGTTTGTGCTGTATGTATCAGTGTTTGCGTGTGCGCGAGTGTACGTGTGAGTGTACGTGTGAGTGTGTGTAATAATAATCCTTTCATTTGATACAGCGCCTCATCACATTGTTGAGACACCTCAAAGCGCTTCACAGAATACACTATAAAGTGAATTGACTGTATATTTTGTGGGCGAAGCGTGGCAGCGGGTGCGCACAGCAGCGTCGCACAAACAGCCGTGCACTGAGCGACCGATTTTTGTTTTAAGGCACCATTACCCCCAGAAAAAATAAAATGATCGGCCAACGGACTGATAACCGGGTTCCTACTTATTTCTCGGTAACCGGGGGCGTGCGGAGTAAGGAACGTACCCTGCCCGGGAGTCAAACCCAGGTCCTCTCGCTCGCGTACGTGCGCGCGAATGTGTACGTGAGATTGCGCGTATATGTGCGAGTACGGACTGTGAGACGACGATCACTGCTTGTGGAAGGCATCGGCAGCTGCTGTTCCAAGCTCCGCACCTCCGACTGGAGCAGCCGTCGCTCAGTGGGAAGGGATATGCGTCTGAGCTGTGGGCAGGAAGACGGTAGTGGGAGTATTCCCGTATTTCACGCTGAGCTGTTACCCGCGACAGCAGGGAGTTCCTGGTTCCCTTTACCCGCCCATCATTTAGTGAGGGCGCAAACCCACGCTGATTAGATGTCGAATGACACACAAGTGACTATCCTGAGGGGGACGGGGGACGGGGATAATTGGGTTTTCCTCGGAGGTGAAGGCGGCAATAGAATGTCGGAATTGAGCTCATCCTCGGTGGCAAATCTCAGCGATCCAGTCCCCGAACCGGGTAGGTCCGCGCTGCTCCAGGGCACCGTCGAACGGCAGACCAGCCAGTCAAATTCTAAATGCGCTTCACACAATTTCCCCTACAAAGTGCAGCCACCGTGGATTTTGTCGGCGGACACGGCCGCCGAGTTGCACCTGGCCATGACCCACAAACGACGAGGTAAATGGCTTTTTTTTAAAAAAAAATAAAACCAAATGCAAGGATTATTATTATTATTGTCGTCCGGGGAGTTGTTGGGCCACGATACTGGAAGAAACTCCCTTCTCTTTTCAAACAGTGCTCTGAGACACTACCCTGCGCGGAGGGCGCTATGGAAGCGCAAATTGTTGTTGCAGTGGTGCCATGTGCTCTTTATTTGATAAAGCGGTCAGGGTGTTTTTTTTTAATGTTTCAAAGGACGGCACTTCTCCCGAGAGCGCTCCCGCCCTCAGCGCTGCATTGAAGCGTCAGCTCAAGTGTCCCAACATGAGGTTTGAATCTCCCGACCAGAGACGATGGTGCTACCAACTGAGCCGGATTCACAACATTTAATTATTTTTAAGATAAAAGGGGAGATTAGAAAGAAAATCTTTACACAGTGGGTCAGAAATGTGGAATTCCAATGGTACTGTACGTTAATATATGGGAAGGGGAAAGAAAAAGCAATTAAGAGCCAAATTGTTGCCCACTTTTCACACGTCACGTCTGAAGGCGGCGATGGTGACGGCACTGCCATCTGCCCTTTCAGGGTTTTCGAAAGTGACCATTTGCAGTTGCTTTATTTTCAGCTTTGCTTAGTACGGATGAAGAGCTCAATCAACCAAAAAGGCACAAGACAAGGTTCCGTCTAATCAATGGCACAAAGGTGCAGACTACTACCAGTGTGTACGGTACAGAATATTTGGAAAAAAANTCTACCCCACAATGTAAACAGAAGTACTGTCAAATAGCCCCATGTCAACTAAATTGAGCTGAAGTCAGGTTTTGGTGTGTTATTAACACTGCAATTGGTCTTTTTAATGAAATTATAAAGTTAGTTCCTTTGAAAATGGAACTTCTGCATAGAAATTCAATTTTAAAAGTTTATTCCAAAACATTCTGTACATATTTCCAGTTGTTTAATAATATGCATGTATTACATTTTTTCTGTACATTCTGTAAACCAGTCAGGAAATGCATGAAACTTAACTTACTCCAAAGCAAGCAGGCGCACAAAATATTCTCAATCCCACCAGAAGATGTTATTCAAAGGATGAAAGCGATGTTCATAGATACAGCATAAACAGCTCAGCAGATCAATATTTTCAAATTGAGACTGGGGATTGGGGGTGGCATATTCATGCTATTCTGGTTATTAGAAAGGGCATCCTTCAATTCAAAGATCCACATACTACAGAATAGTACAAATAACTGTAGTCAGTGCAGTCTAATAAACTACTCGCAAGTGTATACAACGTGTAAATAATCAATACAAACAAAATTCTGGTCAATAGCTGAGCAAACCCTGAAGGTTCCAGGTTAAACTCCTGGTTTGTGCTAAAACTAGGCTTATAATTGGCCTCAGCAACATTGGACAATAGAGATGAATCCTCCCTATTTTTCCCCCCACCCCAAAATGAAAGCCGGTAACCTCTCCCATGCAGGCGTACGTCAGGTGAGGATAATTGATACACACCCCAGTGGAATACTCCTAACACAGTAAATGACTAATGCACTGTAGGGCAAGTTATTGGAAGATGGTTGAGGACCGTGGAAATCATACCAAATGATGATTAGGAGAGATGAGGGGACAAAAATATTCTGGACAATGCTGAATTGAAACATTGCAATTCGTTTGCATGCACAGTGCTGGCTTAATCTGACTTCACCTTCTGCTGGAGTCACTTTAAAACTGAGCTCAGCTGCCAGAACTGAGCAAGAAGCTGGAGGTATTATTTTCTCATTTATGATTCACTAATCAGAAATCAGAAACTAAGTCACTTAAACGAAATGTGCTCTTTATTTAAACCAGGGGTCATCTGTCTTTAATTTGCAGTTTATTCTACAGCCATTCTTATAAGGGAAATCTACATCTTAAATTAAAAAATAAGTCAGATGTAAATAGTACAAAATTTCTCTTAAAAATTCCAACGCCTGTTCAAATGTTTCAATTTTATTTAACATAAAAGTAGTATATGAGGGTAAAACAAAGGCTCAGAGAGTAAGGAACAAATCCAAAAAAAAAGAAAAAAGAAACCAGTTTTATGGTACAGCAGAACATGTTTTCCTAAAACCCTGTCACTCGTGAAGAGGATAAATTCGGTCCGAAAACCCAGAGCGTTTCCTTCAAACTCCTGTTAAAATTTTTTTGTGGTTTTTGTTATTTAATCAAGTGATTGTCACAAAAGAGTCACAAAATTAAGGAATTTCTGGCCAAGTTTACACCAGAATATACTCCTTTATTTTTATTTTTTTCCCTGCCGTGGTTTTTTTTAACGCCTGTAAGGATGAAACCCCTGAACATTGTGGTTCTGCCCGCGGGCAAAGGCGCCCGGCGCTGACGGTGGGGCCCCGGGGGGCACTGGTGTCGAAGGTCCTCCATATGAGGGAGCTGGTTGGTTTGGATCCGAGAAACCGGGGGCTTGGCCAAAACCACTCATGTCCTGCCCGTAACCTGTCAAACAAACAAACAAAGAGGACCGATTGTGATTGCTTTCTCAAAACCTCGCCACAAAACACCATTCACAAAACACTTAACAGAGAGCATTTTAAAATCAAACTTTAATCAATCATTTGCAAAATTAGATCATCCTTGTACCAGCGCAACAAATACTCAACTGCTTTAGCACTGTTCTCCCATTAAACACTAAGTGAGCAAGGACTACATCCTGCTTAAGCTACTCATCTTTGTTGGAAGCAAGGCAGTTCAAAGTCTATGCAACACCTACCTGCTGCACTATATCCCTGCTCAGCCTGAGAAGGACGCGTGGGTCCGTAGCCTGAAGGATCCTGAGGATAGTTACCCATGCCTATTAGGGAGATGAGGAAACCAGGATGACTACCCCAGTAAGCCCAAGCCTGCTTCAATCCATGGAATATAGATGCATCAGGTCACCAGTGGCATACAGACACAAGAGAGGCCAGTGAACGCGAGAGATTCACATGGTTTGCCCATAGTTGGTCAAATAGATATTCTACAGGTAAACTGCAGCAGTCAAGACTCTGTGTGCAATTAGAAATTAAGTTAGAATAGGGACAGAAACGCACAGGCAGGCACCAGGAGTCAACGGAGTAATGCCAGGTAGCCTGTAGGAGAGTTAATGGAGATGCTGCGTTGGAAAAACACGTCCCAGTAGCAAGGGACTACATTAGAGCACCTTCTATTTAAGGTGTCACTGGCTTTAGCTCAGTCACTTGTCAATGATTTGAGTGATCTAATGTATAAAATCCTGATGCATCTTCCATTGAACAATCCACAGTATCTTGCTTCAAGGACTGTTAAATAGTGATTACCGTAATTATTTTTAACAGGCCATGAGATCACTACCAGTGATAGTGAAGTCTACAGTGCGTATTCTAAATTAGCCACTTCGAATTGTAGATCTAATGAGTGAACCCCCCCATCGATTATGATTTTCCTCAATTCAGATACTTTTAATACTTCACAGTAATTCTGTCCAGAACAAATGAAATCCTGGCTGAAGCAGTCTTTCTGCACACTCAGCATTGCTGAACCAGCTTTTATAGTGAGATTTAGAACAAAAGCAGGCAATTGTAGTCAGGTTAAAAGAGGAAGCAGATGGACCCTGTTGAAAGACCAGCAGGGATATGAAGCCACCCACATTCAGAGCTTTCGGGAGCCATGGGAGATGAGCGGGTCTCGGAATGAATTGGGTCACTTAGAAATCAACTGCATTGCACATATGTAAAAACAAAAACTTCAATGATAATAATAGTTGCATTTGATACAGCGCTTTATCACGTCTTCGAGACGTCTCAAAGCGCTTCACAGAATATCCTGTAAAGTGAATTGACTATATTTTGTGGGCGAAATGACACATATGGCCATAATGCCAGTAACTTAAGCTAGGAGAATCAGGCCAGCTGCTCTGTCCCTAACTGAGAGATTCTAAATGTCTGTGAATAGCTCGTAGTGCTAGAAAAGGATGATCTAATTCTACCAACCACGTTACCTCCTTGTCCTCTGCTGTTCGCGCGCTGATTAGAATACAATACATGTTTGACTTCAGTGAGTCAAAAAGTACTGAAGGGATCGAATTGAGATGGATCTCTAGTCCTATGGCCACCTGGAACTTCTACACTGCCGGTTACCTACCATACTGGCTGTACCCAGGGAATTCGGGCTGTCCAGCAGGTGGCTTGCTCATGTCCTGAGGGGTCTGTGCGGCGGCTGGGTAGCCCATCTGTCCTGCTCCTGGTGTGGCAGGGGGTGCTGGAACTCCAGGAGGGCCAAACTGGTCAGCCGGAGGTGCGCCAAATCCTCCATAGCCTGGATAGCAACAAGAATGAGCTCAGATCAGACAAGCGATAGATTTGGGATTTTTTTTGTTGTTTTTGTTTGTTTTTTGGTGGGGATGGTGAGGTGGGGAGAGGAGCAGAGCTGTCACATCGTTAAACTATTGTCTCTCAATGTGACAAATAATCAAACGATTAGGAACTAAAATAAAAATCCCAGGCGTGACTGCAGGTATTCAGGGACCTGCCGCATCGATGTGTACAGATTTATTCCACTGTACTACACTGGCCCAGACCAGCAGCTTCGTTCTCGCTTACCCTGCTGTTGCTTTCACTAACAGCGATGCAGTCAGCCTGAAACACTGTACAAGGAAGGTCCATTCTGCACCCTGCACTAAAATGGGTCACATCGAAAGCACAAGGGTCCACAACGAGTTTTACTGGCTACTGCAAAATCCATGGCAAAACAAGGAATGAAATGGACCCACTGCAAAGGAAAATGGGCTGCAACAGCGACAACAATACACAGTAGTCAGCGGGCTAAAGGTTTCCTCTATTAACGACGAACATTGTAGTGGCAGAAGAGTTGATCCCACATCCTACAGAGCACTGCAGTGTTACTGGTGTCACGAACCCTGTAAATGGTTACTTTCCACTACCAACCACTGGGAAACATCCCACTGCACTTACGGAGTAAGAGTACATAGGCATGAAGTCTGAACACCACAGACGTGGATTCCAACTGAAGTGCAAGACGTATGTTGCGTTGTCAAGCAATGTTCTGCATACATAAACCTGTGAAATCTAGACCAGTCACTACGTTGAATGAGAATTTAAGCCTCTTTCTTCAGTGCAGTGCAAGTGTGAGGCGGCGAACGTACCATATTGCGGAGGACCACCGTAACCCTGTCCGTATCCCTGAGGCGGTGCGAATCCTCCTGGAGGTGGCTGTGGAACTACGTATGGATTAAAGTGCGGAGGCGGGGGAGGGGCGCCCCGCCCACCTGGAGGGGGAGGTCCATAACCACCTGGAAACCCAAGGAACAAAGCTAGAAGTGAGTTGCTTTTAAACCAGCCGCGGACTAAGTTGAATTTCACCAAAGTCTAAATGATTTATAAACAGGGAGGCCAAATAAAAAAAAAAGTAAATAAAAAAACGAAGATATTCTGAATAAGAGAGCGAGATTTTGCCAGGAAAGAAATGTTAGCGAACAATTGCGATGCTCAGGTAAGACACGACGATTAATTATGAAAAAAAAATCATCCAGCTAGATCATGCAAAAGCATGCATCGTTCACCTTAGCTCAATAAAACCTACCCATTGGCTGACCTGTGGCCATCCACATACCTGAAACAAGAAACAGCAATTAAAGCAAGTCAGTGTCAACGGACTTTCACCGATTACAAACAGCAACTTGACAAACGGCAGCGTTGGAAACTGTCTGCGCTGGAACACTATATCTGCACTACTAATTGGGACCAGGTCCCTTCACGGTTTATGAAAACCTACCTTTATTTTACTGGCAAAAAAACATCCAGTTATGCGCAAGTGAATTGCATGCACAGTTCTCCAGGGACATGACTGATCCACAATGTGCAGGGAAATTGCACCCGTTAACACATTTATGCAAATTTGCCATTCTAAGGCGGACTCATAACTGGACTATATGTTGGTGTCTCGCAGCTAGATGACAGTATAGATTTGATGGTGTGTGGCAGGTAATGTAAGGCTGAATGGAAAATGAGCAGAAATTTCCAAACTGTAATTCAGGTGAAGGGAGACACTACCCAGAACAATATGGTGGTATTTCAGCTGTATAACAAATCCTGAAAAATAAAGACTGCCAGGACACCTGTAACAGCTGAAGTTACTTTGTGCCTTTTTTGACACCGCACTCATCTATAGCAAAGAAAGTGGGAAACACAAAGGCAAACAGTTCCTAGCCACACTATGTAGGAATTATCTGTTCCACTCGGTTTGAAAGTGAACAACACTATCACAGTAAAAAAAATGAAATCACCATAGCACATGTTCCTGGACACCAGAAAATCTTAACACTCACCTTCAGCTCATTCTTGCTCATTTAATGCACTTTGTGCATTTAAAATAAACTTCAGGACTCAACACCTCCAACCTCATTTCACTTTCACCTGACCTGAACAAACAAATTTTCCATAATAGATGGAAGTCCTCAGTTTTTCAAATGCCAACTTCCAGCTACAATCAGGACCGTTGTCACCCCCAAGGGGAAATCAGTAGGAAAATCTCGAAGTGAAACACCCTCAAAAAGGCACAAATGCAATAAGCAAGTGTCGAAGTTGGTTCTTTCCCCAGGAAAATCCAGATTCACAAGCTTTTTTTTCTCAAACAGATTTGTTTGTGAAGAGCTTAGCCATTTTTCCTTCAAGAAAGCAATTCTGCCATATTTAGATATATATTTACAAGAGTTTCGTAGTTAGAAAAATGCTCAAAGCTAATCCGCCTGCCCTCAAATGCTACAAAAAAGCCTTAGACCACTCACTCAGTTATTTCAGATATTAGTGAAAAGTGAAGACATTTTGGTGGACTTCAACAGTGCATTTTTACATAGACTGCAAGAACTGTTAAAATAAAACACTCGATGGCCAGACTAATGTCAAACATTGAATGTTACGGTCTGGATGCTTCACCCAATTACCTTGCGGGCTACCATAACCCTGCTGCTGCCAGCCTTGTGAGGGCTGCCCTCCCCAGCCATTGGCTGCGTTTGGCATGCTCCTGCCCCACTGTCCTGCTCCCGGCTGGCCAGACCCTGGACCTTTACTGTCACGAGGCTCCGCACGCTTCACTTCCACCTAATTAGGACGACAGAAGCAGGGATAAAACCGCCATTCCATCCACTCAACCACAACCCTCTCCCGTCACACCCATATCCATTAACTTAACATTACGCTTACACCTTATAAACTTACACTACAATTAAATAGCTTAAATAGGCCAATTTAAAATGTTATTATGTTTCTCAAGTATGAATTATTCTTATGCTCATCACGGGTTAGATGCATTCGAAATTAACAAAGGATCTAAATTTTGTAATTCACTCATGATTTCGAGAAATCGATTCTATAGAAATATATATCCATCCAACCGTTACCAGTTTTACAAGGTCCATACAACCTGAGAAACATAGGCTTTAATCTGCCGTGGCCTTACTTAAAAAAATGTATTTAAACATCTAATGGAAGATAATTACTTACCTTCCCCAGGCTATGCATAAAGAATCGCAATTAATTACTCGAAACAATGTCAGAAGGGAATGGATGAGCTAATTGAGTCTTAAATTACATCTTTAAACAGAAAAAGGAAATACATGCAGATAAAAATGGACAGTTGAGTAAATTAGAAGCAAATCTTCATACTGTGTTGTTTAGCCTATCTATTTATCCCTAGCACAGAGCTAATGCACAGTGATAATCACAAAAATATAACAGGAACTTGTTTTTCAGAAGGAAACTAATTTATGCAGAAGGGCAAAATAATTTTTATATTTTTTTCCGATTAGAAACAGTAATTGGCGATTCAATAGTTTTAATTCAAGGCTTAGCATAACTAAGATTCCACCGAATCAAAAAAAGATTGTACTTACTATATACAGGCAAATAAGTGGAATAAAAAAGAAAATCTTTGCTCTGGCCATCACTCGGAGCCAGTAGTAGCCCCTTCAACGACATCGGGCAAGACTCACTTGCCTGACCAACACTGTTTGTTCTGGTGCAGGGGCCAGCAAAGCAATGGCTAGCAATTACACTTAGTTTAATCCGGGGGTATCAAGCAAGAATCGGATAAACTGCGTAACAGCAAATACGATTTGTAGAGGTAATAAATAGTTTTAAATAATCCTTTGTGGCATAAAACAGGAAAAATCAGATTTACAGCAACCTGTGTAACTGCAACCCTGACCAAAATCCTTATTAATGGACCAAATGCTATTAGCAGGATAAATACAGCAAATGGTTTCGAATTTAGAACATCTAGAAGCAAAGTTAAACAAATACTGTTGTTTAGTCAAAATGATTTTGCATCCTGCCCACGGGGAGACGATTAGTAGGATTTGATGATTAAAATTACTGATATTGCAAAATAAAATCTATTCTCTCATTCTGGAAATGAGACCTTCAGAAGGCTCCTACAATTTGGAGTAAGGTGCGCGTGTGTGTGTTGGGGGGGAGGAAAGAGGAGAGAAAGCTCATAACTGGGTCGCATTTACTGCAACATCAAGTTATTTCTGAACTGGAACAGTTTTGAATGCACCAGTTATTCCGCAAGCTGAAATGTAATCTCAGCCTGAATGTCACAAACAAAATCTAATTTCTTTCTGATCTATGGATTTTGAACTTTTGACTATTTAAAGCGTCCCCATCGTCACATTGCGAGCTCCTAAAAAAAAGCTGCTTATTGGAGTGGATGATTGACACAAGTTTGTATTACAACTCCTTACTGATCCAATGTGTTAGAAGTCACATTACTTCAATTGATTATCTTTTGAGTGATGTAAAGCATTAATTTTGTTCAGCACTTGAAGCAAAAAGTTATCTACAATTTGGCATCTTGGTAGGAAACAAGGTTAAAGCCTGCTCTCAAACCTAACATATTATTACTGAACCTCCTGTAAGAAACCCATGTGAAATAAATGTGCATTGGCTAGGGACCTAAAAATCAATTGCTGGGTGTGCAACAATGGAGAAATCATGGGCTTAATATTTGAGTAACATTTTTAGATCACAATTTGCAATGAACAAAGTAACTTCTTTTTAAAATTAGCATCCAACCTTTTACAGATCCTACTAACTGATTTCTCCAAACTATCCTTTCTAAGAAGAACTGGGATTAGGCAGAAATACGATAGGCTGAATGGCTCCAGTACAACGGAAACATTTCGTGATTCAAGGCTATATTTTAACCAATTTACACTTTGACAGCAGTTAAATTTGTACCAAAATACACTAAGTCACTAGTAAATTATGTACTGTGGTATACTGTGCCAAATTGGATTTCAAGGACTAGTAGGGGCATTTTAAAGAGTTTCCGAAACACCTCTGGGGAATCTCAACAGCACTGGGAAGTGGGCCACTAAAATATAGCTACATAACAGTGAGAATCAAATCCGAGCAGAACTTTGGCTGAGCTACATAGTACTCTGATATTTTAGGTCACAGGCTCCTTACATTATGCCAGAGATGGATTCAAAGTTTATTCACTTTTCAATGCGAGTTCCATTTTCTCTCACCTGCACCAGTTTTTCAGGAAGTCCACCTTAAAATACTATGGTGAATAGGTAGTGGATAGATAAATGCCAACAAAAGCATTCACCTTTTCTAAATCCGAGGGCTCCCCAATCCTGGTTTGATAGTGTTCTACAAATGACTTAAGATACTAACTCCAATTTAATCCTCACGTTTCAATAAGTCAATCAATTAATATTTAATTAAAATTATTACAGAAAGTTCCATGTAGTCATTTGAACAAATGAGCACTACACTTTAAAACTGAAACAAGTCTATGTTTGCCCAAAGTACTGAACATATGCAAGAAAAGGGATTTGTTTGGAATTAAACTGCAAGTACTTTTGAATGATGTCTTTTTTTAAAACTTAATTGCAACTTTAATAGATCTAAACTGCAATGTCTGCCTCCTGAATTGATCCTAATTTATTACATTACTGCCCCCTTCCCAGGCCGACACTAATGCTTCCCTGTTCAAACCTTTACACATGCCCTACATGACAACACAGTATGAAGATCAAGCAAATGAGGCCACTTAACTGGATTTTTTTTTACATTAAAGCAGATTATATTCAACTAAAGTACAACAGTAAGTGACCTCTGACAAAACAAAATAAAATTGGCTACCAGTCCTTCAACATGTTGACAGATATGACGCTTAATATGAAATACTAATTTTACTTAATTCTGAACAAAACTTAAAACTTGTCACAAAATTCTGCCCTTCGAAACATCTGAAGGAGTGGTTTTATTAAACTGAGACTTAAATGATTAATACAGATTTCACCGGTCCTCTGATGAATAAATAGTATCGGCTACAATACAGGCAATCAGAGCTAACGTGCAAGCAGCTGGTAAATTCTGCTTCTATGCATGCAAGTTTGTGTCCCTTACATATGGACATAATTGGTTGACCACATTGCATTGCTTTGAAATGCGAATAGATTCTGAAATTAATGCAGTTAATCTTTAGAGTCCGAACCAACAAATGACACTTTTACTGCCTCTTCCAGGTAAAGAAATGGAATAAAATCTGGCTCCTCTTATGAAGTCGTTAGGTTACCTCTTAACAGGATTCTCTTCAATGTAAAAGCCACACACTAAAACTCCAGTGAAATCTCCAGTCACCTAAGCCTCGGTTCAGTCTAAGGGTAAAATAAAACTACAACTACACACTTTTTTGCCCATGATGTCGTGATAATGCATGTTGACAGCCTGGTCCACTGATTGCTCGTCCTCGAAAGTAATAAATCCAAAACCTATCCAACGACGAAGAGTGAATCAAGGTAGCAGGGTGTAGTGACACAAAACAGGATGATGCACAGTATTAGGGCGGGGTAGTCTGAAGGATCACCCAGGGTTTCAGATAATTGGAAGCCCCTTTATTCAATTGGGAGACTCGGGAGAATAGGGTTATAGTCTATGTCAGGATTCAGGTTACACTCCAATGACGTCAAAGGAGCACAGCCATCTCTTAGCAATCTGGTACTATGCAGTTGCTTTGCAAATCAGGAGGTTCCCAAGCCACCTTTACACTGCTTGAGCCACAGTGACAGCTTAGACCAGGTTCCATAGATTTGCAGAAGGGCATTTCACCAGATTGGTAGACCCGGGCAGTGGGGCAAAGGAGGGTCACCTTACTGGGCGCTAACCAGATTGACTGAGAAACTAACTGGACACAAATGACAGCTGGTCTTTGCTTCCAGTCTGACAAGACAGAATATAAATGTACATGGCCACCAGTTGCCATAAAACCAAGCAGAAGTGAGAAATCAGAAAAGTTGGAAGGTTGAACAAGTTTTTTTCTTTAACTACAGTCAACGCAAGAGATACATTTTTAGCAACCTCTAAAGTTCCTAAACCCAAAACGGGTCATGGGTTGGACAGAGATTGAATTCCACACCAATTAATTCAGTGCCAATGATGTGGGGGGGAGACAGAGAAGAAAGAAATGGGCTGTGAGTACTTGTTCTAGTGTCGGGACAAATAAGCTGTCCAATTCTAATGACCCTTTGATAATAGCTACAGGATAAATTCAGAGAATTCACCCAACAACTTGGCTGCAGTTGGCATGTTCTCTGGGGAGACAAAATATGATTCACGATAAGCTTTGCTTAAGCCACCAGCACAAAAGGGACACGTTGTTCCTCAGTAACAAGATATACAGGCGCTAATCTAGACATGTACCAAGAATGGCAAAAACACCAAACTTATACTATGTATAATACTCTAACATGGATTACAGACTGCTCCTGTACCTCTAACTGAAAAAAATAACCGTTGGTGTGTTAACATATGAAATGGGCTGGTTTTAATGTGCAAGTATTCTTGTGGATATGTGGAGAACACACAACTTTACAAGAGGTCTGCAAATTTGTGGCCTAGAACTTAAATCAGTCCTCACTTAAGAACATGTTATGGGATAGTGACTAAAGACATCTGAAAACTAAAATAAAAGGCTGGCTGAACTTTGAGGAATGCATCTTTACATAAGCATTTCCAGTTGTTCCTCTACTATTCATCTAATGTTCGACAGTTAATCAACAAGGCTAAGCAATATCCCAATATCTATTGGTCTTTGCAACAAAAAGGAAGTTAGATTGTGTAACATAAATTGTGTAATGTAAATTCAGGCTCATGTGGCCAATTAGGGAAAGATGTTGTGGTGGAATGAGGGAAAGGCAAGGATTGCAACAAAAAGAAGAGGAAAAGAAAGATTGAACGGCACCGGCAACCTATGATACATGTCACTGCACTGTCAGTATTTGTTCTGCATCTGACAATTTAGTTGGGACATTACTGGCATAACAATAAGAACTGAGTGTGCTGAGGGTGATAGGAGTAAAGATCGATCGCAAAACCAATTTCAAAACGTAGGTAAAACTGAAAATCTAAAATATTGGGGGGGGGGGGGGGCAGAATTGGAAATTTTCAAAATCAAGTTTCCGATAAATCAGTGACCGGTCAACAATTTTGAACTCCCTATTTTATCTGAAACCCTGTTTTTTCCTCTTTGGTAGGTACATTGCTTTGCAGCTAGTGCTGACAGCAGCAACATAGTGCTTATAGCTTCATAACCAAACTAAAGATACAACTATAGGCATCGCCCTCCAAGCTTATCCAACTGCGTTGGTCAGCCCAGAGAGGTTCTATTAAGAAGTAACCATTTGCTACACAAAGATACAGGCCAAAACAGTTTTGCAGCAGTCAATTCTGCTGTCAGCAACAAGAGCAAATGACATCAAAGTCTTGCATTTCCCAGACACAGACATATCCCATCCCTCCTGAGAGTGTAGAACTGGCCTGTACCTGTGTGATACAACTTATCACAAACCTAGAGAAGAAAATCTAAAGAGATAAGTTAATTTACATCGAAACAAGTCAAATACAGATTTCTTAACATTACTAATCTTAGATTTAACTACATAACACTTACATATGTAAATTATGATACTTAAGATCGAATAACAAGGCGGTAAAAACTAGCACTTACAACTAATTACATATTAGGCCTAGGAGGCTTAAATATTTAATGAGAAGTTTAAAAATAAGAGGATCAGTTCAGATGACAAACTATTTGACAACATGTAATACACTCATAAAATCCTCAACTATCCAAAAGAATTTCAGTAGATTTTTTGAAAGGTTTTCAGGAATTTCAGCCAATTAGTCTGACAAAAAAAAAACTTTAGATGAATTCTCAATAGTTAATGAACAAAATTCTCAAAACAAAAGGACAGGAAGAAAGGTCAACTAGTGGGAAGAAGTTGGAAAGCTCAAATTGCCTTCAGAAAAATACTGTACAACTTTGAACAATGCAAAAAAAAATGCACTGGATCTGTTGATCATGTGGTCAATAGATTAATTCAGATAATGATTAAAGAGCCATTACTTTAACAAGTTTTTAATCAACATTAAAAAAAAAGCGTAGCTAGCTTACACATACAGATGCTTCACCAAAGGTTCTCAGAAATGTCAATGGGCTCACCGTTAGGTATTTAAGGCTACCTGTGAAATGTCAGCAATACCCTCCTTCTAATGATTCAGGCAAAGCGCCTAATCTGGCTGCAGTAGTAATAATGCCTCGATGATGCAACCACATTCAGTCGATGCCTTTTCCAGGAAACCAACCCATTACTTGTCACTGCCATTTATTCCACTCATTTTGTTCACAAGTGTAAGTCTTTACGTTACAAATTTCAGAGATGTGTTTTTGTATCTGTTGCAACAGGTTAAAACGACAAGATTCCATTAGATCGATTTCACCCGAGTAACTAAAATATTCACTCTGTGCCTACATGTTCAATCTTTTGCCTACGACAACGGGACAAAAGAGGATTTTTGTCTTACATGTTGCCAGTTTTCCCTTTCTTACCTTCTCCCTTAAAACAGCTGGGATCGATGATCCAGCCCAAATGCCTCCACACATATATATAGTAAATATTGGAACAGGATTATACCTTGAGAAACAACATTCCCTTGATTCAGCAGGTCGGTCAGACAAGAATCAGCAACATTTGTTACCTTCACATCAAGTATACGACTGAATTATATTAGTTTAAAACAAATATTGTAGATCAGGATCCATTGGTTTTTTTTTGACAGCCGGGTGTCTCGACACATGCGTAAACCCATCACCATGGAAGAGTATCCATCCACTGCATCCCCAGGAGCTCGGATCCACAAAGGGGGATGCTTTGCACACAGGTCTTGCATGTCACAAACTTGACCTGCATAGGTGAATTTTAAGATCTAGGAAACCCTGCTGGCAACTTTTCAAATCATGCACCATCTTCAAATACAAAACACAGCTTGCCGGCACAACCTACTTCATACATGCCCCCCCACCCCCTGCCTGAAACATTCCAGAACTAGTACATTTCCTCTCTGGGCTAACATCAATTTCACAGGTTTACTCCACGTTCATTCATTGCCTCCTCTGTGTGCAATTATCTTCATTTCACCCAAAACATTCACACTAATGTATCTGGTGGGCAGTTTTGTGGGGTAAAATGATTTTGTGTACAGATCAGGGGAGGCCTGGGTTACAAACACCAGCTCCTGCTACGACTCACAGGTAGGAGCTGCTGATCTTATCCAAGGCACCGGCCAAAGAAATGTGTGGAAATGTGGCTTTCTAACCACCATACTTCTCTCCTTTACCTTCAACAAATGGGGTGCACTTCTGAATGCATCATAACTATCTCAGATTCTCAAGATTTCATAAGATTTTCCTTCTTCCTAAAACGGAGTATCCTGCTTTGAAGTTTTCCAATGTAAAGCACAGTTGGGAACCGCTAACAACTGGAGGGCAGCTCAGCTGGAATGTCAGCTACAACTGGGATTCAGAAACGGGCATTCTGAAGTAAATGCCCCGCTGCACCAGGCTACTCAATCACTGCTCCTGATCATATGTGAAATTTCTAAGAGGCGCCCGAAACTGCAACCTCAAACATACAGCCTTCTGTGTACACCCATCGACACTGCACTAACACTGGAATGGTCCTGAGTGTAATCAGCCCTGAAACTCACAAAAAGGATAAACAATTTAACTGAACAAACCACACAGCAATGCATAATTTCATTTTGGGATGTTCTCCTGACGTGAAGGGCACTATACAAATGTAATTTTGTATTGTATAAACATACCAGGGGGAAGAGCTAATCTCTGCAGTCTAATAGGTGTGGTTAAGCATTTACAAACCACTCCAGTAGGTTAGGAGATCACCTGAATGATTGGGTTAAATTGAGAAACCCAAGGGAAGGGCCAAGTCTTCCAGTGCTGACACACACATGCAATAAAAGGAGCAGGAAAGACAAGAAAATCAAGCACTGGGCAAGACTAATCCTGGGCTTTAAAAGTCCTTAGGGGTGAAAGAAGAGAGGAAAACTGAGGTGGCAGAGTACAATCCTGAAATCCTGGGAAAGATAAAACAATAAGAACCCTCAATTTCAACCCAATGACAGCATATTTGGAGCTTTGGATTAGAGGAACAGGAGTGATAACTCCATTGATAAAATGGGAGACAGAAAATAAAGTACAAGACATATGAGGTGATTACCGATCAGACTACCTACATTAATCAAGGTTTAACCCTATACTGGTTCTAAAAATATTAAGTCTTGAATCTGTTTAAGCTTTCAAAACAGAAATCCCTTTCTGTTAAGAGAAATAATTCACGACAAACAAACGTTGAATTCGTACCAAAAAACAATAGAAAGTAGAATTCCTCAAAACAATCATAAGAGGGCCAAACAGACTGCTATAGGAGTTGTCTGATGTAGGGCACAGAGCCTCTTGCGAGCACTTCACCTGATTTCAAAATTTCTTATCTCATGGCATTCGGAAGTCATAGACCAATACGCCAATCTATTAGAAGCTATAATTAGTGCACAAGCGGAGGGTTTCAACAGTCCTACTGCAAACAGAACGGAAATGCTAAAAGGCAGAGATTGCGGATCAAAAAGATTTCCAAAATGAATACAAGCTATTTTCCTACAACCTTCCTGCATTTGTATCAATGTAAATAAACCTGCTAACTTGTGCTTTAGGTAATCTAGATGTACAAATGTTCATAGTGTATCCCTGGAAAATTATCTTTGAAAGCTTGAGCCGCACTGGCATTGTTGAGAACCCAGAGCCAAACATACTGTATGGTTTTGAAAAGGCAAGTTTTGTCATCTGAATGCAAGGAGATGGATTAAGTTAGCAACAAAGTGGATCAGCCTTTACCTCGCGGCCTCTGCTTCTCTGCATCATAGATCATTACCACTTCAGAGACCTAGGAAAGAGAATTCAAAATATTACCAAAAGCAAGACACCACATATAGATTAAAGGAACACATGAGGAGAACGCAAATTCAAGGACACAACCAAAACCTACAATCAGGACTTACAAATTCCCTCATGTTCTGTTTTATCCATCACTCACACACATTGCCTGGCAAGGTATTCAGGTCACTCTGCAACATGTACCTCTGCAACTTCCTTCATTGACTAATTTGTCATTGGCTCTAAACACATCTCCAAAGACTTTGCCAGGATTCTGAAAAGTTTTCTTTGTGACTAACAAGTCTGCATCCAAATTGCTTCATCTCTGCTTTATGCAAATTACATATTCATTAATTTGGGAGACTGCCCTAGGCCTTGCTGATTATTTCACAATTTGCTCATTACTTTCAGTGCACAGAATGTGTACCCCCTCCACAGTAAGATGGCTGAATCTCTAAACTTCTGAACTCTTCCATGTCTTCAATGATCTTGTTCAATTACTCAAGTTTATTTTTCAATTCTTTAGCACAGGCAACACCTCTTACCTTCCTCTCCTGACATTCTAGAACGTTATATATCCTTTGATATGACCTGAATGTTCATTTACTCCATTACTAAAGCAGCCACCAAGATGCTGGACCTCCTCTTTCGTGATAAATATGTTATTATTAAAATAAAGTGAAACCCAAGTTCATCTAATATTTGAATATGGTTTCGATTAAAGGCAGATGATTGTTTAGTACAAAATGCAAGACACATTCAGCCATCTGGTGGTTCATACTTTCCTCAACTCTTGCATCCTCTTCCCCTTCTGACACGATCTCCAACTTTTTTTCCAATCACCTCTTTTCTGGGTTTTTAAAACCTAAATGCATCGTGCTCCTTCCCTTCATCCAAAAGCTCAAAGAAGCAGCAAACTACCTTCCTCTCCTTCCCAATTCGCAATGTGTGGAATAGCAGTTTATCGTGCTGCAAGTTTCTGCAATTAGGACACTCATCTGTACCATTCCTAGAGAATTGCTAACAGTGACCTTCTCGTCACTGCGGCAGATAATTAGGAACAAGTGCTACGATGATGAATTACTCACCACTCCAAACCTTTTGAAGTAATCCCTGAGCTCTGTCTCGCTGCAGTTGTGAGGAATTCCACCAACAAATACCTTCTTTGATTTATTGCTGCTCTGATTTTGTGGCCCTTTCTGCAAAGTCACAAAACAATCTTAAGTCACGTGGTCACCATTTTTTAAAGAGATTCAAAGAATGTATTCAGTACTCTTTGAAGGTACAGTGTAATAAGATACCATCAATCTTTTGAGTACAAGCTACAGCAGTCTTCAGGATACAGAAGACACATTTTGTCCAAATACTTACTCCCCATCCACCACCTTCCTTTGGTTTTGGTTTTTCCTGCTGCATGGAACGAGGTGTACACGGCTTTGGATCAATCTACACGGAAAAATTGTAACGATTCAATAAAATGGTGGCTGCTTTCTGATAAGCCCAACTTGCAATATGACAATCAACACAAGTTTCTAAAAACATGCTCAGGTGAGCAATAAAATCTGCAAAACATGTTAAATCGTTAGGCTAAATTGGTTCAAATATTAAACTTTATCCACATTGTGTGTAGTTTCAGCACCTAATAGTTTTTCACCTGGTACATTCTTTGGCAGCACGTGTGGGTACAATTCCAAATTCAATCCGATACCAACACAATTTGAACTTAAGCTCTGATTTATTCTATGTTGTAAAACCATCTTCAAATTAATTTAAGTAATGTGAAACTTCCCCACAAGGAATTCACCAACAGATGGGATGCACCTACACAATACAGATACATCTGCACTACTGTTACATTGCTCGGGACTTGATTCCCAGATTCAGAAATAATTTAAATCCAAGAAAATTCATGACCTAGTTTTTTTTTGCATGAAGAAGATATCCAGTTTGCATTTTTATGACAATATCAAATACTCGAACAGTGATTTCAAAAGATAAATAAACTGCTCTTCTTAAAATCTTCCTCCCAGAACTTGAACTTTTAATTTGAAAGCAAAATTCAACAAATCACAGACCCAAGGCTTTCATAAATGTGCAGACCAAGATGCACCTCCATGAAAGGTACATCTTGCGTCAAAATTGCGTCCTGATTGATTATACAACTGGCGAGGCAGAAAAGTACCCAACGATCATATTACACAATTTTGTTGATTGTTCCACTCATGCAGTGTTTCCATAATAAAAGTTCTATAGTGAGCCGGTCTGCTACTTGAAAATAATTGGTTATTGATTACAGTGATCGTCATCCCCAAGGCTCACCATTGACCCACAATTATGCCTCATCTTTATGAAGATGAAGTAGATAACTATTTGGGGAGGACAAGTTTGCAGTGCTATGGGGAGAGAGGGATTGATTTCGATAGTTCTTTTCAAAGAGCCAGCACGCAGACACGATGGGATGAATGGCCTCCTTCTATGCTGTATAGTTCTATGATTCTATGACCTTTTTGCAGTAAGATTTACAATACAATATCACATTTGTATAGTGCCTTTCATATCGGGAGGACGTGCAAAGCACTGGACAGTCAGGGATTTGGATCCGAGCTGGGGACCAGGATTGGGGAGGGTGGAGGGCAGGGAGAATGGACAAAGGCTCGGTTGAAGTGGGGGGATTTGAGCCGCACCTTGAAAGAGGCAAGGGAGGGAGTGAGGTGAAGGGAATGTTAACAATTAAACAGTTGCAAGAGATAGCAGACTGAGCAATACACTTCAGAGGCAGAGCATCTGCTTGTCAAACACTGACAGAATTATATGAACGACTGTCAAACAAGGGATGAGGAACACGTTAAAAGAAAACAAGACAAATGGGAGAAAAAAAAGCAAACCTTGGATGATTTAAGTTAATTTATAACCAAATGTGGGTGCTTGTTAACTGGAAAAATAAAATGTACTGAAAAAAATCACTCACTGTTCTTCCATCAAGGTTATGGGGTCTGCTGCTTAGCACTGTACCCACACAGTTTGGATCCTTAAACTTCACGAACCCAAAACCTCGAGACTGATTCGTCATCTTATCTTTCATGATCACACAATCGACTACCTCTCCATACTGGGAAAAGTAGTCACGGAGGGTCTCTGTTAAGAGGGTACAAATGAATCAGAATTTGATTAGTTGATATTCATGGTCAGAGAACTGTCTTCCACTTCTCGCACCATTCTACAAAATATTGCAAACCCATTTGGAGTAAAAAAGTTTGCAACAAGTGCAGCGACACGAGTACAACGTGCATGTCCCCTCCTCTCAACCAAAGAACATGTCGGGGACAAAGTAGAATGCAAATAAAAAAATACTGCCAGCTTATATTGTGCATGGTATGTATATTAAAGTAGAAATCTAAATAACACCCAAGTAATTATTCTTCTAGCAAAATAGGGATAAATATGATGTACATGAGAGTTGAATGTTTCATATGCAGTTAGCCATCCAAAGTGACCTAGTTAGGCATCTTATTGAGACTTGAAGATTGAAAATACACAACCTTGAAATCAAAAAACAAAATCTGAACAACTCAAGTTACGACAGTAGCAATTGTAAACAGTGTTCTGCCCCAGACAAAATTCTTCATCTACACTCCAGCGCACTGCCTATTTTGCCACACCGAGACATCACTTCCCGTAGGCTGCCACATGTGGCTGTGACGATTCCATTTCCCATTCTTACTCAACTTTCAAAGAATCAGATTAATGCGTCGTCACAACACCGCAAACCGAATGCCCCTGAAGTAGGTTAACAGCGGTGTTGCAGGTTATCTTTGCTCCTGTGCCTTGACACACCGGATACTCCCATCAGCATCGAAAAAGCAAGGTGAGAATCTGGCAAGGCAAGTCCAAACAGTAGCTTGGCTCTACAGTTTAATTAGCAGGTGAGGCTTACAAACTCACTCCTAGATTTCATGTACATTTTCTCTCACGTAAATAATAATATCAACTTACCCTGTGAAGTGTTCCAGTCAAGACCACCCACAAACAATTTCCTGAAATACAAAAGATATCAGTGTAATGCTTTTCTGAATCAGTCCGCCATGCCTTTTTTTAAAAAAATACAAAACACCCAGTAATTTCCAATTGGTCATTAAGACAGAAATAAACTGCATGCAGTGAAAATGGCTTTACATTAAATGAGAACTTTTAGTAACTTAAAAGAATGAAATTATTTCAGCAACTCCTTCACACCTCCTGCACTGGAACATCAAAACAAGGATCAAAATGTCCAATCTATAATATGTTCCATTTGATTCATACTGAATCTTGAGAAGTCATCTAATTTCCATTTAGCTTTTAGCATATGTTTTATTAAGTTATACTGTACAACTCTTGCAATAAACCATCTTGTGTAATAACCGCTTTTTGTGCATCCCCCTCGCCGTACTGTGCTTTATAGTTTAGCACAAATTCGCAAGCAAGTGAAATTAGTTTGAGATTCTCAGTTCCATTTCATTCCTTGCTTATTCTCTCAATTACTTTAAAAGATATAGTCTTTAAGATCAGAGAGTGGGGGGGGGGGGGGTGGTGGAAGTGTGTCACACTCTGTTCTATCCCAGAAATTAACCTTGGTGCATAACCTAGAATATAGTTGACCTAGTTAAATTCTGCTGCTTAGACACAGAAATGCTCAAATGATCTTCTCAAAATATTTCAAGAGATAGCCCATCTAGAATGCAATTCATTTTCTGTTGCAAGCGAATTCGGACACATTTGTTTCTCCACGACCTGCGCTTTCCTACTTTTTTTGGGGGGGGTTCTTTTAGGCAAGTGTTATTTTCCCTCAAGTGTATGGATTTTCAAATTACTACAATTGGTCAAAGGCAACACGATCAACAACACTTTCAATAGCGTCTTCTTATCACGGATTCAAGACTTCTCAAAACGCTTCTTGGAATACACTGCAAAGTGAATATTTTGTGGGCGAAACCGAGTTCATCCTGCAAGCTGGTATATTAATTTCAAGAATCCACTACCAAACACAACGCATTTTAGTCCTCTGGCTAAATTAGTTCAAAACTAGAAGAATGAAGTACTAAGTGGCTACTTTGAGCAGCAGATTGAAACAAAATGGCTCCAATAAGTTTCTTTTAGTACTGACGACCCCTCAATTTTAAACGAAATAGTAATTCTCCAGGCGGCTATTTGACGTGACGACGTGTGAAACAGCACTGTAACGAGCAACTTTCAAAGAAACTTGTCCTTGGTTGGATACCTACAAGCCAAAGGAGTGATTGCCCAGGCAGCCATTTTACTGTGCTGCTGATGATCCACAATTAACTGCTACAACTATGCACGCATGGGTGTGTGTGTGTGTGTATATATATATGTATAATAATTATACATATTTAACACGTGGAAGTTAAACTAGAATTGGATTGATGGCGATCCAGCGCTGGTTCACTTGCGGTCTTTCAAAAAAATTGGCCACAGCCACACATGGCTCGAAAGCAACGTGCAAGTGTTTCCCCCCCCCCCCCCCCCACTCTCGCTGCTATGGCATTACTGACAGCACGGTGAACGGGCACTTCCTCCCGCGGTCTACTTCAGACTAAAGTAAAGGGTGGCGCGGCGGATTCCACTCGGAACAGGTATCAGCCCAAAAAAAAACACACACACACACACAAGTCGATGAAACGGCTTCTTCGCAAAGGAACCCAACAGCCATCGCTGTACCACAGCTGCTGGGGTGCAACACACACCCACCCACCCCCCACCCCCACCACAGAGCAAAACAGTCAGCTACCACACAAGGAGAGGGGATCACAATCATTTCATCTCAATAACACGATGGAGAGACGCCACTCTTTCGGCTGCACAGAAGCATCAACACCACACACACACCACACACACACACACAGTGCAGTTCAATCTAAAAGCACCAACTCCACAAGGTGACCCGCGATATTATTGTTCGACCCCAACCCACCCACCCCGACACAGAACCGGGGCTGTAGCAGGACACCCCCACCTTCACCCCCCCAACCCCTCCCAACGACGACCTTCTGATGAGAGCTGCTCGTGAGAACGGGGAGTGTGGGGGGGGGGGGGGGGGAGGAAGAGAGAGAGAGAGAGAGGAGGCCGGGGCTCGGTATTGTGCGTGTGTATCCCGCCCCGGGGTGGTGATGGTGGGGAGTGGGGGGGGGAGAGGGATGGGGACAGAAGAGGGAGAGGACAGGAGGCCGCGTCTTTCAAACCGCGTCCCTCCGTCCCCTGGAATGCGATTGAGCAAACCACCCGCGGTCGGGCTCCGGGGCCGACACGTGGTGTCGCCTTCCCCCGACCCCCACACGCACACCCTCGGCCTCTCTCTCTCTCCCCCACACACACCCTCGGCCTCTCTCTCTCTCCCCCACACACCCTCGGCCTCTCTCTCTCTCCCCCACGTACACCCTCGGCCCCTCCCCCACACATACAACCTCTTCTCTCCACCCCCCACATACACACACACACACACATCCATCCCAGGCCTTTCTCCCCCACCCCCCATATACACTACTATCGGCCTCTTCTCCCCCCCCCCCCCACCACCCCCCGAACCACCCTCGCCGTGGCCTCACACGAGGGTGCTTTCCTTCCCCCCTCCCTCCCCCTTCCCTCTCCCTTCTCCGCCTGACACCTCACCTCGCGGCCTTGTCTTCCCCTCCGCGCCGCCGCCGCCGCCCCCCCCCACCGTCCCGACCCCAACACCGGGCGCCATGTAAGTCCGGCCCCCACTCCGCGACCCCCCGCCCCTCCTCCTCCTCCCCCCCCACCCAAGGCAGTTCCTCCTCGTCCTCCTCCTCCTCCTCCTCCTCGCTCCTCATTCTGACCTCCAGGCGCCACGTTAGGCCGCCTTTTCCACCGCGACCTCAATTTTAACGCCCGCCCCGTGCCCCGTGCCCCGTGCGTGCGTGTCTGTGCGCGCGTCTGTTTGGTTTGTTTGTCTGTTTGTTTGTCTGCGTCTTCCCGTCTGAACAGTCTCAGGGCCGCGGCTCTCAACACCAACCGCACGGGTTCCCCCTTTCCCTTCCCTTCCCCTTAACGGCCTCCGCGGGGACGACCTGACTGGACCACCCCCCCTCCTCCTCCTCCTCCTTCACGCTGAAGCCGCTCGGTTCGGCGGCGGCGGCGGCTCCTCACTCACTCGCTCGTTCTCTCTCCCACCGACTCACTCACCCGATCTCGTCGCCGCCCTGGTTGTTCATGGCGGCGGCCTCTGTCGTCGCTGCTGTTGCTGCTTCGTGTGTGTGTGTGTGTGTGTCTCTCACTGACTGACTGACTACCGCTCGCTGTTTCGCCGCTCTCTTCTGCTGCTGCCCGCCGCCGCTGCTGCACTTCACGGCGCGTGCGCCCTGAGCCGCCCCTCCCCCCCCCACACACACACCCAACCCACCACCACCACCTCCTCCTCCCGACCTGCGCAACAACCGCCTCGCGCTCACGTCACCCGTGTCCACGGCAACCGCCATCCGGGTCACGCAGAATGGCGGGAGGCGAGGGGAGGGGAGGGGAGGGGGGCGGGGCCCGGTCCTGCCCCGCCCCGCGCGGGGTGCGCTGGGAGTTGTAGTCCCCCACCCCCTTTTTTTTTTCGACCTGACTTGCTCTTGCACCTTGATGGCTTCAACCCAAACCCCAAACCCAACCCCAAACCCTACCACAGGCACTTATCAAGGAGACTGGGGACTCTTTGCACAAAGTCCCAAGGTCCAACCCCCCCCCCCCCAACGCCACTCCAATCTCACGGACGGACGTGATAGAAGTCTTGCGCAATAATGGCAACAATAATAATGATAATAATAAAACAATTATTATTTTTTATCCATCCTTTTTTTTATCAATAATTATCAATCCTTGGGCTGTTTGTGGGACGCCGCCGTTGCGCAAGCGGCCCACAAAACGCACGTGGTCGCCAGAGGAAAGAGTCGCCCAGAGCTTCCCAATGGACGTCAATACTTTCACCGTTGTTTAGATCTCGTAGTCGGAATCCAGTGATTTTTGTTTCCATTAATTTACCTTTAAATGTCTTAACGGTAGTTGCCGAAGTTGTTTGGTTTACGACAGCGAAGTGTCTCTGTCGCTTCTGATCGTTGTTGTTGCTTCTTTTGCAGTAACAAAGGAAAACAATGCAATTCACAATAATATTATTATAACAGACGGATACTGTTGAGTAGCCTCTGAGCACAACTTGCAAAGGGACGGAGGGGAAGAAAGAGCCAGAGTGAAATTTTTCGCTGGTCTACACAACTCCAGGTTAAAATTAAGTTATTAAGTTAAAGTGAACATCTTGTAGAAAGTGAAGTCATTGTTCAAACAGATTTAATTAAAAAGTCTTCCACTGCTATACTGTATACAAAATATACAGTCAATTCACTTTACAGTATAGTCTGTGAAACCTCTCAAAGATGTGATAAGGCGTTTTATCAGATGCAAATATTATTATTATAATTGCAAAGGATGGACTTTGATATTTCTTTGACATTTCATTGTTTGACTCAACACGGAACCTAATTCACACATCAGTTAAAACAATCTGAATGGGACATTGTTTATTGAAGCATTTGGAGCCATTTAAGTCATCGTCTGTGAACTGATAATAACATCAAAGCCTAAAAAAAAACTGTCCCTAAGGCCATTTTCTTTATAGTAATAATATCATAATCCTTATGTTTGATATAAAAACAAAATAATAATAAATTGGTCATTTTCAATCCACGACTGTCTGAGGGACACTGCTGTGCGCAATTGGCTGCCGTGTTTTGCCCACAAATATACAGTCAATTCGCTTTACAGCACATACTGTGAAGCGCTTTGAGACGTCTAGAAGACGTGAAAAGCGCTATATCAAATGCAAGGATTATTATTATAGCGCCTTATCACATCTTTGTCTTCCCAGAATATAATGTAAAGTGAACCGACTGTATATTTTGTGGACGAAACGCTGCAACCAATTAATTGCACACAGCAGTGTCCCACAAGCAGTCGTGGATCTTATGACCAAATTATTATTTTAATAATTTATTATTGTTTTAAAGGGATTATTACACCCAGAAAGTGATCCACCAATCGACTAACAACTGGGTTCCCACTTACGCCTCTAGTTAACAGAGGCTAACTACGAACTAAAGATTGATCCACTTGTAATATAAATACTGTATATCTTTTCCATTTGCTGCAAACCTCACAAACTTGTCTGGGCTGCTTAGTTCTGACAGGTTCAGCTGTGGGGAGAGGAGCTATTTGCGTCCTTGGTATTTGTTTGAGGCTATATTAGATGTAAATTGGGAGAGGCAGCCACACAGCCTATTGCAAGGTCAGCACTATTCACCAGGCTTTTATATAGATCGACGTCCTCCCCTCTCAGCCTTTTGCCTTTTCCCTTGCGCTGACTTGGAGAGAGTGAGTGAGTTGACAATGAGCGAGCTTAAAGCAACAACCCCAATCTTTGCCGAGGGCGAGAACTGTAAGCCTGACTGGAGGGTGGCCAATGCAGAGTACAATGAAACCGATACACATCTCGAGATCCTGGGCAAACCGGTCATGGAGCGATGGGAGACTCCATACATGCATTCTCTGGCTACAGTAGCAGCCTCCAAAGGTACTGTACAGCATTTGCGAGGGTAGGAACTCCCCCGCCCCCTCCACCCCAAATAGACCATTTATATTCTAAAGCAAAAAATCGTGTGATTCTTGGGATTTTCCTCACCCCCTGATTTCCAATGATTTCTGTGCTCTCTCCTTTTCGCAATGCAGATTCTGCCAGCATACTTATATACACTGTTCTGCAACACGGTGTAAGTTTACAGTTGGCTTTTGTATGTATTTTATCCCTTAAGTACTTCCTAGACTTCTGGCACAATGCTTTATTCAGCATTTGATGGCGTGTGAGCAAAGCTTTGGGTGATCTGCTGAAGTAAACAAACTTGAAATCACTTTTTGTGGGCTATTTAAACCCGTCTCGAGCTGAATAAGGGGGAATAAGGGCCTCTTAGTGATCCAGGAGGTACTGATCACAGGCTGGCCTCAGATCAGACACAGATATAAATGTACCATTTACTGTAATCATAGGGTGACGATTTTGTGTGGATGTTTATTTAAAAGTTTTAGCTGAATTTAATCAAATTAGATTTTAATGATAATAATCCTTGCACTTGATGTACAGCAGTGTGTTGTTGAGACGTCTCAAAGCACTTCACAGAATAGATTATAAAGTGGATTGACTGTATCTTGTGGGCAAAACGCAGCAATCAATTGTGCACAGCAGTGTCCCACAGACAGCCGTGGATTGAGTTACCAATTTTCTTTTTTTTCGGAGGGATTATTACCCCCAGAAAATAATCCCCAATCGACTAACAACCAGGTTCCGAATAACTGCCAGGTAAGCAGAGTCAGGAAACTTGCCTAAGCTTTCACCCCGGCCGGGAATCGAACCCGGGACCTTTCACTTGCGAGGCGAGCGCGCTGATCACTACCTACATTAAGTTTCTCAAAGCACTTGACAGGATTTACTGTAGAGTGGAGTGGCTGCGTATCGTGTAGGTGAATGCGGCAGCCAACGTGCGCACAGTAATGTGCCCCACAAACAGCCACGGACAGGAGGAGAAACTCACTTCTCTTTTCGAATAGCACCGCAAGATCTTTAACGTTCACACCCGAACAGGCAGACAAGACGGAACCCGTGGTATTTTTTCAGCACCATCACCATCTTGGTGTAAGTGACATCTGGGAGCTATAAATGCCTTTGAGCTGCTGATCTGCTCATTTATGTGCAGTCTTGTCACACACTAAGGAGCACGTGTAGAGGAGGCTGTTGTAACTGAGTCTCTTTTCCAAGTGGCTTACATAAGAGTACGAAAACCTGCCAGCCTGGTATACTTCCCCTGCGCTCTCCACTATCAACAAAGTACACGGTCACTACACTTTACAGTAAAATCCTGTGAAGTGCTTTGAGACTTGAGGCCTCGCGATTCGAAAGGCGATATGACAAATGTGAGGATTGCTATTATTTCACTCTATTCACTGCCGTGCCCAATTGGCTGCCGCGTTTCACCCACAAAATATACAGTCAATTCACGTTAGTGTATTCTGCGAAGCCCTTTGAGACGTCTCGAAGATGTGATAAGGCGCTGTATCAAATGCAAGGATTATTATCATTATCATTATTATTATCATCACCACCAGATTACTGAGACTGTCAGCTCCATTGAGAGATGTGAATCACACCACAATCCCTGCTGGCACAACCATAGGACTTAGTCAAACAACACTGAATGTATCTGTTACATACCAGTTATCATGGCACCAGTGGTACATTGCACCATGTACTGTCAGCCCTATAACCCGAGTTTGGAGAGCGGTGGGAAGTTACCCTCACTGGCCCGAGCTGGTAAATTAACACTGTACGGACCAGTACGGAAATCAGACGATTTCTCTGCCTTCAGGAGGACGTGTTTTGGAGATCGGGTTTGGAATGGCGATTGCAGCCAGTAAAATCGAGTCCTTCAATATCGAGGAGCATTGGATCATTGAGTGTAATAACGGTGTGTTCGAGAGGCTGCAGGAGTGGGCCAAGCTGCAGCCACACAAGGTACGGGGCGTGGGATGCACACACACACACGCACCTCTGACAATGCAGAGCATCCCCCAGTACTCCAACAAACTATCAGCCTAGACCAGGGTGGTCCAACTTTTGGCTGCTGAGGGCCGGATGCCCTATTTGAGCTGCTCAAGCAATATTTTGTGGGCTTCCCTTCCAGAAACATGACATAACATTTGTGAGTTATGGAGGGAGCGGGTGAGCCAGATGGAATGGAGGAAGGGGCGGATTAAATCGGCCCACGTAGTCACCCTGGGTTAGACTGATCATGAGTAAAAGCAGCGTGTAACAAGCTCCAAATGTATTCTATGTCAGGGGTCATTAGAAGCTGAGGCATTCTAACAAGACGGAACATTTCCTCGTTGCAGATTGTTCCACTCAAGGGACTCTGGGAGGATGTGGTCCCAACTCTGCCAGATTCACACTTTGATGGTAAGTCTGATATTGGTGCCACATTACTATCAGCAAGTCTGAATATAGGAACATTAGGACAGGAGGAGGTCATTCAGTCCCTCGAGCCTGTTCTGCCATTCTATTAGATCATAGCTGATCTGGAACTCAACTCCAAACTTCAATTTCCTCAACTGAACAAAAATAACAGGCAAGAAATCGGGAGTCGGTGAATGTGAAAACGAAAAGCAAGTCAAAAATAAGTCTGACAAGATCGTACCCGCTTTAAGTGTCTCATTGGTGAGATCACAGAATCAAAGAATGTCGACAGCACAGGAGGCAATTTAGCCCATTGTGTCCGTGCTGCTTATCTGCTCTGATCCCATCGTCCTTCCCTTTCATATTACTGTTTTGCCCACAAAATATACATACAATCTGCTTTAAATATATACGTGGCGCTTTGAGACGTATCATTGACATGATAAGGTGCCATATCAAATACAACAACAACAGCAAGATTACATTTGTACAGCGCCTTTCATGTCGGGAGGACGTCCTAAGGCGCTGGACAGAGTACAGCATTTTAGACCGAGCTGGGGTTGGGTGGGGGTGGCGGAGAAGGGAGGGGAGGGGAAGTGGGGGTGGCTGATGGCATGGTCGAAGTGGAGGGTCTTGAGGTGGGACTTGAAGGAGGCTAAGGAGGGGGTGAGGCGGAGTGACTGGGGGATGGAGGCTCTCCCGCCAATGGTGAGGCGGGTGGGTCGGGGGACGTGGAGCAGCCAGAGTCGGCTGAGCGGAGGGAACGGGCGGGTTGGTAGGGGGTTAGGAGGTCGCAGAGGTAGGGTGGGCCGTGGCCTGGCTCCTTTGTAAGCGAGGACCAGGATCTTGAACTGTATTAAATACAAGTATTATAAGCACTCTGAGACGCCGTCCCAGTTGTTATTATTATCATTCTTCAGTACTTTCTCGCACTTTTGAAACATATTATATTACTGTTCTTACACAGGGGATGTTAGCCATCAAACCACGGCGATGTTTAAAATTCATTGAAAAAACTTTAATCTGAAATTGTATTTTAATTCTGTTTATTTTAGGCATTTTGTACGATACTTACCCACTGTCGGAAGAGACATGGCACACACATCAATTCAGTTTTATAAAGGTATGCGTAGAATATCCTACTTTGACTATAACCCACCTTTCCTTAAGCTCAGGTGTGTTCTCCCGCCTATCCTTCTTCCCACTTCCACCATCACTGGCCAAACGTTCAACCACTATTCCCTCACTCTGCGGAACTCTCCCCAAATCCCTTTACCTTCCACTTTCATGGCTTTCAAAACTCACAGAAACCTCTCTCTTTGGTCAAGAACCTCACACTCTTCAATGATAAAAACAGAAGTCGCTGGGAACATGCAGCAGGTCAGGCAGCCTTTATGGAGAGAGGAAAATTAGTTTCCTCATTGAGCGAACTCTTCAACCTACTCAGTGAATTCCATTGTCTTTGTGAAACACATCAAGACGTGCCTCCTGTATCGAAATATATATTAAATATGTACGTTGCGCTCGTCTGAACTGTCCTATACTCGTCTGCATGGAAAGTTAAAGTCAACTATCCCTGTAAAATCAGGATGATTAATTTACGAAGTTACATACACAAAATGCCGGATAATGAGGACAAATTCACTCTCCTGCTGGTTTCTTCGTTTCAGGCTTATGCTTCCCGCTTGTTAAAGCCAGGCGGGGTTCTGACCTACTGTAACCTCACATCCTGGGGTGAACTGCTGAAGAACAAGTACAGTGACATTGAGAAGATGTTCCAGGTAAGAGTGAGGAGCACAACTGTGTTTTCCTCCCAACTGCTTGCGATTGAGAGAGAGCAAGGAAAGATTGTCGCTGCGCTGAACGTCTTACATAAATGAAACCAGGTCGCTCAGAGATTTGTATCCACATTTTGGGCGCCTCATTATATATAGGAAGTATGTCAAGGCCACAGCGAGGGACAGAGGAGATTCACTAGGAAGCCACTAAAGATGGAAGAGGTTTTACAAGTTGATGGAAGATTGAAGAAATTGGGTTGTTTCCTAGAGGAGGTGGAGGCGAGATAAAATAAATGATGAGAGATTTCGATAATATAAACAGGGAGAAATTATTTTCACAGTGGAGAAACACAGTGGAGTGGGTAGATTAGAGGTAAATACCAAAAGGACAAAGGGAGAGATTAGGGGGAAAAAAAATACACGGAGGGTTGTTAGCTCATGGAACGTCTTACCTGGAAACATGGTCGAGACAGAATCTATATTAACTTTTAAGAAGGAATCAGATAAATATATGAAAAGGAGAAAGATTAAAGGCTGTAGGGAAATGACAAAATAATGGGGCTAAACAGGGAGCTCTTTCAGAGACAGTTACTATAGATGTCTAAGGATCTAACCCATTGTTAGTGACTGAAACTGGATTCACAACTAAGATTTACACTTGATAAAAGTACTACACCTGTCATAATGGATCTGTGGTTGGTATATTTGGAAGTTCCGTGTAACTTTAGTCATTTTGAAACTTTTGCATTATTTGCTGCAACTAAACTTCATAATAATAATCCTTGCATTCGATAGGGCCCCTTATCACATCTTCGAGATGTCTCAAACCTCGTCGCAGAATATGCAGTGAAGTGTAGTGACTATGTTTTTGCGGGCGAAGCTTATTTGCGCGGACGAAGGCAACTTGAATTTCTAGGCCGCACGTTAAGAGCGGGACAGTCACAACTGCCCAACCCCTTCAGAAAATGATCCGAACCTTTCACTCATCTCTGCTGATATCTCTGTGTCCAGGAAACGCAAGTCTCTCATTTGGTGGAGGCCGGGTTTAAGAAGGAGAACGTCAAGACCAGCGTGATGGACATCGTCCCTCCCAGCGACTGTAGATATTACTCCTTCCACAAGATGATCACTCCCACTGTCATCAAACACTAAAGCAGCTGTGATACTGGCAGCAGAAATGCATCCGGCTGCTGCCGCTTAAGGAATCAACGTTGCATTAATTTTTTTTTACCGATTCACCATAATTCCATTCAGACGCAATGAACATACAGCGAGTTTAACTACCACAGCGGCAAGATACGACAGCGACAACTTGCCTTTACATAGCGCCCCTCACACAGGGTAGCTTCCCCGAGCACTTGACAGTGGCTTAGCATGACGCTGAGCAGGGGTGGGGTGGGGGGGGGGGGGGGGGGAAGGTGATCTGTATTAGCCGCAAAGTGAAACCAAACATCACCTCGGATCCATTTTAGGACGTCCCTTGTCAACCCGGTGCAAATCTACAGAATGTTTTCTGGCTTTTCACGTCCCAAAAAAATTTAACAAAGCAATGAAATTCCGAAACTCACCACCCAAGTGTCTTAATTTTAGCCGTCGATATTTTAACAAATTCGTGAAGGTTTTTAATGTTAAAAAGAACAGAACTTAGAAGCAAACAGAGGATGAGGAGGATGAGGAGGAGGTCCTGGCTCATGTTGTCTCGTCCTCTGAAGTCGAACGGAATTCTTTCAGTGACCAACCTGGGATCTTTTCTGTTTCTCTGTTAACTCGTTTCAACAACAACTTGCATTTATATAGCGCTCCTCACGCAGGGTAGCACTCTAGAGCGCTTAAGATGGTGTGGTGCTACGTAATGTTTTCTGGCTACACGATTCCCCACACGGAGAAGGCTGCACGAGTTCTTACACGCTCGGGTATCGAACGACACTGTCTGTCAGAGCTTGTACTTTTGTGAGGAATCTGAACCGTGTGAATAAAAATTCCCATTATGAAAATACAACCTCGTCTCCTGGCTTTGAGCTGGCAGTTGGATAAATGACTTTTCTCCCTTCCCCCTTCGAGTCGTTGTCTCCCAGTCTCGGAACACCCAGTTCTATTACTTCTCTCACCCTTTATGAAGGCGTTGCAATGTCCTTACCTCTCTGTACAGGGGATGAGGACATTCTCTCTTAGTGACTGTTCACTGGGGGCAGCGAGGCGGGGGTGGTGTTGGCAAGCAAGTTCTCCTCGGGGCTGAGCTAGCTCCAAGGTGACATGAAGAGCGGGGCAGCATGTTTCTGTACAGGGCAGCAGTTTATCAGGCGTTTCACAGACACGGTGGAGGTGACTTTGAATACGACTGGGAATGTGTTAAATCATGACACGTTAGAAGGGGTGAGCCGCGGCATGAAAATCACCGAGTAACAGTAAATCGTTTAGTCAAAGTGTAAACTTCAGTATGTCCTCAGGGAACATACAACCTCTAATCCATCTTAAATCGATAAAGTGGAAGTATACAAAGAAATAGGTCAAGACGGTCTTTAATGATGGACTCTACATATAAATTTACAATATAAGTTATACTGCCGAGAACTTCTACATCAGAGAAAGGTTCAGCTGTCCTGCTCCAAAGACATCCATCTGCACCTTATGGTTCCTGATGACACCTTACGACCGGTACCAGATGCTTATCCTCCGTTCCCGCTTGATTTTTTTCTGTAGCTGCAGGATTCCGTACAGGAGTGCTTCTGCTGTGGGTGGGCAGCCTGGAATAAACACACATAATAATAATTATTACTATTATCCACGTTTTATACCATGGCACACGTGTGTGTACACTCGCAGATACGTACACACTCATTCACACACACACACGTATGCACTCATTCACACACAGACACATACGTACGCACTCGCACAGAATTATGTACGCATTCACACACGTGCAAATTCACACACACGCGCACACACACACAAAAGTATGCACACTCAGACACACACACACACGTGTACACACACAGTCAATGAAACACATTTGGTGTCTCAGTTCAGATCATCTCTCTCCTCCTCCTCCTCCTCTCCGGATAAAGAAACTCACCCGGAACATAAATATCTACTGGCACGATCCTGTCGCAGCCCCGCACCACAGAGTAGGAGTAATGGTAATAGCCGCCCCCATTGGCACAGCTGTAACAATAAGGGCAGAGTATCACCGTGTGCCACCTCTGCCTGGAGAGAATCAGAATAAGAGTGTGAAGCTCAGCAGCAGCGCTCACCTGCCCATAGATATGACGTAACGAGGTTCAGGCATCTGGTCGTAAACCTGGAAAGTGAGAAACGGAATTAGAGCTCAGTGACTGTGCCTTTGGTCACCTCCCCTCTCTCCCTTACTTGCGGTTCTAAACTCTTCCTCTATCCCTCCGCCTTGCCCCTTCCTTCCCCATCTTCAGGTCACACCCCCACTCCCCTCGTGCTCCGTCACTGTCAACCGCTCTGGGATGCTACCCTGCCTGAGTGGCGCTACTTAAATGCAAGTTGTTGTTGTTCCTGTTGGGCTCTAACCCCACGCTATACAGCGCTCTGAGACATTACCCTGTGCGGAGGACACAACATAAACACATTACGTTCCCGAAACTGCCTCTCAAGATCCGTACGAGAGAAATACATCTGCCTGCGAGGTGATAGATGTGACTTCCTGCACTGATTATCATCACCGATCTCCTCTCAAGCTGTCCCAGCAATCAAGTGGCAGTTCCTCAGGTGTGAGCCCAGGCTGGAGGTGTGGGGTGTAGTAGCTTAGATTCCCTCTGTGCACTGGTTTTACCAACCAAGTCATCTACAACCATGCATCAGATACACGACGCATCTCACAAATAACCTCACAAATAATCGGAGGCTTTGCAATGACAATAACCGGCACTTCTCAAATCATTACAACGAATAATAATAATCCTCGCATTTGAGATCGCGCCTCATCATGTCTTCGAGACGTCTCAAAGCGCTTCACAGGAACCACTGTCAAGTGAATTGACTGTGTGTTTTGCGGGCGAAAAAAGGGGGCGTAAACAGTTAAGGTTAAGTTACCTTGCGCAGGGCTGGAGCCATCTTGTTGGTGAGAGTTCCAGCGACAATCATGACGTCAGACTGGCGGGGGCTGGCGCGGAAAACCACTCCGAACCGGTCCATGTCGTACCTCGGGGCTGCCATGTGCATCATTTCGACGGCGCAGCAAGCGAGGCCGAAGGTCATCGGCCACAGGGAACTCTGAGAGAAACCCAAAATAACAACAATAATAATCCTGGCACGTGATACAGCCCCTTATCACATCTTCGAGACGCCTCAGAGCACTTTCACAGAATACACTGCAAAGTGGTTTTATCTGTGCATTTTTTGGGCGAAACGCACGGCAGCCGTGGGATCGAGTGACCCACTCTTTTAAAAATATAAAGCCTTCAACACAAGTGCCGTGCAGGTCACACACGCACCAACCTCCTCTCACGTTACTCCTTTAAACTCTCTAAAAATAGTCATCAAAAGAACATTAACTAGTTAATGACAGAGATGGCTAACTTCATTCACAATTGCGCAAATCACTAGAAATTTTCTGCATGTTATTTCCCTGAAGTGTATCTGCTGGCCGATCACTAACAGACAGATACCATGTCCTTTAGCAATAGGAAGACTGTAATGTTTCCTGTTGTTCGTGTACAGAAGCTGACCGACACTGACATTCTGAACACTAATGGAGCACTCACCCTACGTGCCCAGTTCACCAGCTCATCTAACTTGGTGATGATGAACTCCCCTTTGTTGCTAGGAATCAGTGACTTCTTGGGGGCAGCAGCCTTACTTGTTGGTGTAACTGCAGCAGCGCTGTGAACCAACAGCAGCTTGTTAGGCCGTTTAATAATATTCCTTGCATTTGAAATACAGCCTAGAACATCAAAACATCTTGAAACGCGTCCCGGGTAATCGCTGTCAGGTTTACTGACTGGGTGTTTGTAAAGTGCCAATTTGTGCAACAGCGAGGCCATGAAGTAAATGGCCAATTTGTTGAAAGATTGTTGGGTTAGGACGTCGGAAAACGTCTCCCAATTTCAAATGGATCTTCGATACTAGAGCGAACAGGCAGACGGGACCTCAGTTAAACATCTCATCCAAATGACGTAACCTTAACAATGCAGCAGTGACTGGAGTGTTAAGATCGTGAACTCATGTCCTGATGTGGGCTTTAACCCAACTCACTTCTGAGTCAGAGGTGAGATCGCTACCAACTGAGCCAACCTGACACCGTTTAAACTTGCGCTACACTTCATTCCATTCATGTATCAAATATTTGCGATCAAAATATTTTAATTCCAAGTAACGTTTCACTGAAAAAAATCAAAACCCTCGTCACTTTAAACATTCAGTAATACGCTTTCAAGCTATAGAGTTTCCACACTTTCTTCAACTTAGGATGTTTTATTTTCACATCGCTGGATAAGATTCTTACAACCTGTGTGTTTCCTGCTCTTGAATCTTTAACAGACTTAAAACTCCCCGGAACAAAACATTCTGTACTGTGTTGGTCATTGCAAACCTGGTTACTGGAATTTTAAGTCGCCAACCGTACATAAAATGGGATTGCGAAAATGTAATGTTTGTCTTTTCTGGTTAGCAGCAAACAGGTCTGTGTATACGAAGCACGTCCTTGACGGCAAGCACAGATTAGGAGGCTCTCAATTGGAGGGGTTTGGGGGCAGAAGCAAATCAGCAGAGATATGGGCTGTCTTAGATTTTACCAGTTTCCACCTTTGGGGAGCAGGGAAAATAATTCAGCCCCTCAAACCCGTTCCGCCACTTTATAAGATAACGTCTGATGTGTACCTCAAGTCCAGTTGCCCTTCCTTGCCCCATATCCCTTAATACCCTAATCAATCGAGCTAATACAGTATACATCGGAATACACGTCACGTTCAGCCCCACAATCAGAATGGCGGCACATTAAAAGAGTTCATTTCACCTGCTTGCATTTCCCGTGAGTGTGCTCTGATGGAGAGCGCGAGCATGAGCAGCGAGCGCCCAACTGCTTCTGTAAACACAAGTTGCAGAGTGCGGTCTTCATTTTGTTTAACAAAAAAATCAAATATAGATTTACTTGCAGTTAGAATCTCAAAGGTAACGATTCCCGTCATAGAGAGAGGAACGTAACTCACAATTATCCCGTTACAGGACGCAACCGACTTGGCCCCTTGAGGCGGCTGGGGGTGGGTGGGGGGGGGTGGGTGGGGGGGCCGTGCGCTCCACTTTGGTGGAGGGGTCAAGGTTTTGGGGGTTCTGCCGCCCTTTGCGGGGCGCAGTTACAAGGTGGGCCTTGTGCCCCCGCTCTCTGTCGCCACCCCCTCCCCCCACCTCTTAATGAGCTGCTCACTTTCTGGGCGGTGTGTGTGTGTGTGTGTGTGTGAGTGTGTGGGGGGTGCCGGGGGTGGGGGGGGGGCGTGGGGGGGCATTGTAAACCCCGCAGCGCTGCTCCCCGTTTCACTTACCTGCAGCTGAAGCTCCCGAAACCTCTGAGGCGCACAACTGACAAACAAAAACAAGTCGTGAACGAAACACATCGTCAGCAGTAGGAACCGTACGAGAAAAAACACGAGGCCGGACGGTCAACCTCTGGTACCCAACCCACCCGTCCACCCGCCCGTCCACCCGCAGCTCGGGGGCAAACCCACGAGGGAGTGGGGGGGGTTAGGAACGTCGGAACCGCTGGATGAGAAAAGCTCCCAAGGGGTCGCGCGTATCCCATGGAAGCGCTTTGAGACGCCTCACCGACGTGATACCAAATGCAAGGATTTATCAAACGCAAGGATGATGATGATCATCGTCGTCATTATTATTATTATTATTATTATTATTATTATTATTATGATGTGCCCTCTGTACCCCCACCCCGGCAGTCAGTCAGTCAGTGAGTCAGTCGCGGGCGCCGGTGACGGAGACGTTGAGAGCAAATCATTCTGTAGGGCTGAAGGTTTCAGTGCGGAATCAGGAAAAAACATTATTATTATTATTATTACAACAACAGCAACAACTTGCATTCATAATAGCGACGCCCACTCCCCCCCTCCAGCCCTCCCCCACCCCCCCCACCCCCACACACACAGGCAGTGGAGCGCCCCAGAGCGCTTGAAGGGCATTGAAGGTAACGGGGGATGTTGTACGAAGTGACACCGAGGCCCCGGGAGTCACTCAGTGACGGACACCGTGACCCTGACCGAGCGGCCCGGGGGGAGGGGAGGGGTGGGGTGGGGGTGGGGGGAGAGGCCGCTGAGGCCTCGGTCGCCCGGTACCCGGGCTTTACCCGAGGCCGAGGCCTGGAGGCCCGAGTCGCGCGACCCGAACCGCTCAAAGCCTCACCCGTCGCCGCTGTCACCGCCGCCGCCATGTCCGTCCCGCGGCTCCCGTCCTCCCGGAAGCTCGGGCCCGGCCGGAGCGGAAGCTGCTGTCGGTCAAACCGCCCTCAGGGAGGCGCTCGCCCCCCTCCCCCTCTCCCGAGACTCCATGTGTAATCGAAGTGGGGGGCAGAGAGAGAGAGAGAGAGAAAAATTGGAATTAAATGCGAACACTTTATCATATAAATACGTTGATATATCTAATGATTTTTTTAAATGATATATATATATATATCAGTCGTAATGGTAACGGGAGACCGGAAACACGCCACGTTGCCGAAGCGGGTCTCGAACCCGCGAGCTTCGCAGCAGCCGCGGCCCCGCAGTGCGAGGAGCGAACCGCACGCGCCACAGCGACGGGAGCAGCGCCGCGCCGCTCGGAAAACGAGGTTAATTGGTTGAGGTGTTCCCCCCACCACCACTACCACCATTGTGCAGCAGTAGCCCGAAGTCGCAGCCACGAGGGCGAGGCGTTGCACTTCGCGCCGCACTTAGCGCCGGGATCCGCTGACGTATCACGAGAGCCGAAATAGCTCAGTTGGGAGAGCGTTAGACTGAAGATCTAAAGGTCCCTGGTTCGATCCCGGGTTTCGGCAAAAAAAAAACGCACAGGGTTTTTCTTTTAATGTTTTTTTTTAAGTTAAAATCAATCAATCAATCAATAATCAATCAATCAATAAAAACGATTTTAAAAAAGATATGATTTTAAAAAAAAATATCCTGAAATGAAGGGCCACGAATTCACCGAAAAGTATTTTTTTTAAAAAAAATGAATGATAATGTTTTATGAATGTAATACTAAATGTTTCTTTGTGCCTTTTTTTTTGTGTGTGTGTGGGGGGGAGGGGGGGGGTTTCAATGTAACTTTTTTAAAATTGTTAAACAAACAAATAAACAAATAAACACATAAATAAATAAACAAATAAATAAACAAAATAAACAAACACATAAATAAATAAACAAATAAACACATAAACAAACAAATAAATAAACAAATAAACAAACACATAAATAAATAAACAAATAAATACATAAATAAACAAACAAATAAATAAACAAAATAAACAAATACATAAATAAATAAACAAATAAATACATAAATAAACAAACAAACAAATAAATAAATACATAAATAAACAAACAAATAAATAAACAAAATAAACACATAAATAAATAAACAAATAAATACATAAATAAAAAAACAAATAAATAAATGCATAAACAAACAAACAGATAAACAAACAAATACATAAATAAACAAACAAACAAGTAAATAAACAAATAAATAAATACATAAATAACCTAAAAAAAAGAGGGCAAAACGTGCAGAAAAAACCCAGCAGAGAACCCGGGGAGGTGGGGCACCAGGAGGGGGTTGGGTTAGCGACGATGCCAAGAGGAACGCGGTCTATTTTTTTGGGGGGGGTGGGGGTCGGACGGGTGGGGAAAAATGGAACGAAAGTGTCTCACGCGGAGAAAGTACATATATTATTGTATTATTATTATTATTATTAAATATAAAGGACTTGGGTATAAGGGAGGACAATCGCGCAGATGACGCGAGGCTGGGAGACGTCACACGCTCGCGGCGAGATCTACCACATCTGTGTGCCACGTACACATGGAAATTTCCGTGCAGCTGGAATGGAAAGCACACAGTCTCCCTGGAGGGGGGCATCCTGCTTACCCAATTCCAGAGAGTATTGTACACTACGCGAGTTCAAAGTCCCAAATGTGGATTGTGAACCCAATACCTTCTGACGAAAGTGTTGACAGGACAATTCTTGCAGTCACTGGACCAGGTTGACACCGACCGGGGTCTTCTAAGGCGATAGATTTTACAGACAGGAATAGGTAGGAAATGTATTTATTCGTTACATCAAGGCTCGACTATGCAAACTCACTACTTGTCGGCCTCCCCCCAACTCCTCCCTCCACCGGCTGCAGATCATCCAGAACTCTGCAGCCTGTGTCCTCTCCCGCACCGGGCTCCGCGACCCCATCAACCCGACTCCACCGGCTTCCCATCACACAGAGGATACAGTTCAAGATCCTGGTCCTCACCTTCAAAGCCCTCCATGGTCTCGCTCCCCCCTACCTCTCCGCCCCCTTAATTTTGTTGTTGTTGTACTCTCTCTTAAAGGTTTCAATAATAACTTTCTATAGCGCCCTCCAACAACAGCATTACATTTGTATAGCACCTTTCACGTCGGGAGGACGTCCCAAGGTGCTGGACAATCAAGGTTTCAGACCCAAGCTGGGGATACACATAGGATAATGTGCTTACAGACAGGAGCGAGAGATGCACAATGATGCAGAGACAGATGTGTGGGGGATGAGGGCTCAGATGATTGTAGATGCAACTGAAAAGCTAGGTTTTAGGTGGAACTTAAAAAAAAAGGGCGAGACAGAGGGAGTTTGAGCTGTCACCCATTGGTAGATCGGAGTGGTTCCTTACTCAATTCTTAACTGGAAACCAGATTAAAAGGTTTAAAAGAAACAATACTACACCGTGTTTAAATCTTTCAAAAGATTTAATCTTTTATAGTGTGGCAAGTGAATTGTTTATCCATTACAGTAAAAGATTGGAGTTAAATAGTCTGACTTTATACATTGCACAAAAATATTATGCTTTGGCTATTAGAATTACCAATTTATAATATAAATAATAATCCTTGCATTTGATATAGCACTTTTCACACCTTCCAGACATCTCAAAGTGTTTCACAGAAAATACTTCAAAGTGAATTCACTGTATGTTTGTGGGCGAAATTCAGCTACAAACAGTTGTGGCTTGAATGATCAATTTTTTTTTAAGGATTATTATCCTCAGAAAAGCGATCCACCAATCGACTAACAACCGGGTTCCTACTTACTGCTAGGTAAACAGAGGCGTGTGGAGTAAGGAAACATTTCTCCCTAATTTACAGTCTTATGGATGTGCAGATACCTCGAGGGAATGTTCCCCATCATGTCAGACTATTTCTATATAGAACCCACAATTACATGACACTGAATACTAATATGATGACATTCCAAAGGCAAACCCGGGACTTTCTTAGAGACACATTGTCCTTTGACTGATCCAGGCATACATATAAACTGTTATAGCAAGAGCGATTATAGATTTTTTTCAAAAAAGTCACATAAAAAAAGTTTAGCACAGCTTCAAAAGAAATTGCAAAACTATATAAAAAAAATCAGAATCAACATAAGCTCCCAACTTCTTTCCTTACATCAGAGATCGACACGAGCGCTGTGAACCTGGGAGTCCAGCAATCATAGGACAGTAGCAGACATACACTTCCACAGTACTGTTTACTGGCGTATTGGTCAACCACCCTGCTAATTTCAAGGAATCCGAGCTCAATAGTTATTAAATAAAATCACAAAGCATAGGAAACAGAAGATAATTACAATAATCCTTGCATTTGATATAGCTAACGCGTTATCACATCTCTTAGAGATGTCCCAAAAGCGTTTCACAGAATATAGTGTAAAGTGAATTGACCTGTATATTTTGTGGGCAAAAAGTGGCAGCCAATTGCGCACAGGAGTCGTGGACCAAATTATTATTTTTTAATGAATTTATTTTTGAAGGGATTATTAACCCTGGAAAAGCGATCCACTAATCAACTAAACGGGTTCCTACTTACTACTAGATTAACAGCTGTGTGGAGCAAGGAAATCCCTCTATCCTCTAAAGGATAGAGGGATTAAGGGATATGAGGATAAGGTGGGCAGATGGAGTTAGGTTAGATCTTATTGAATGGCAGGGCAGGCTCAAGGGGCCGAATGGCCTACTCCTGCTCCTAATTCCTATGTTCGTTTGAAACTTCCCTAACCTTTCGCCCCGTTGGGAATCAAATGCAGGTCCTCTTGCTTGCCGAGCAAGGGCACTAACCACTAAGCTACAGGATGGGGGAAGAGGTAGTGTGCATGAAACCAACAAACTAACCTGATGGGTATTGAATCTTTTTAAAAAAAAGTACTCAAAAGGGGTGCCCTTCATCGTTTAGTTAAATGAAACATAAATATTAAGTAATTTTTTTCACCCACAAAATATACAGTCAATTCACTTTACAGTATATTCTGTGAAGCGCTTTGAGACATCTTGAAGACATGATGTCGCTTAATCAAATGCAAGTATTATTATAAGCTCTAAGATATAATAAAGTTGTCTTCTAGTTTGATCAACACTCAGCCTACACCTAGACTAAGGACAGTGTCTCTACATTTGCCATTCTTTTGGTCGCTATCAGTGTAGCACAAACCAATATTCTCTTGTTTGAGAAAATATTATCGTGGAAGCACAAAATCGGTGACCCACTTGGAACAAACCCAGAAATGTACATCTGAGGGGGTGGGGCGGGGAGAAAAAAAGCAGCTCATGACAATTAGGTCATCGATCTCTCCCATGTTCATGAGAGTGTAGAGTCCGAATGAATCTTGTGCCCTCAAAAGTCATCTCATTAGCAACATCCGCACTCTTAACAGGCTTCAGTCAGGCTGCATTAACTATCTAATTGATCTACTTCAATTGCAACAATTCACAAAAAGTTATGGAGCTCAGGTTACCAAAAGTGACATTACTCGCTGCATAATAAATATGAACTGGATGTATATTGATTGATTCTGCAGGCCTCTGTTGCTTCAGCCAGTGGATGGTTTTTTCAACTGCACTTTCATTTTCATCTGTTGCTCGACCTCTTCGTTAAAATGTTCGACTTCCCTGAAAAGAGACACGAGAAAAGATTGTAAACGCGTTAAGAAATTGCAACTTGCCCACACTGTCTGGCCGCTGTAGATGGATGTATGGAAGGGGTGATCAGTTTGCATAGGATTAAAAAAAACAGTTACTAATGTCTGACACAAGAGATCTGTGTGTTTTGCAGGTTTTTTCTTTTGCTGCACTGTGACTTTAAGTCAGTGTGGACCAACCTTTTGGTTGCTGAGGGCCAGATGCCTTATTAGAGAAATGTCCGGGGGCCACACAAGCAATATTTCTGAGTTTCCCTTCCAGAAATATTACATTTACTGGTTATGGAAGGAGCGGGTGAACCAGATGAAATAAGAGGGAAGGAGACGGTGAAATGGGCTCACGGGCTGTGAGTTGGAGCAACCTGTTCTGAGTGAAGTGGAACATCCGTCAATGTTTGCTAACATTATTCAGTGTGTGATAGGATATTTGTAACAGTGAATTGTGTGTTGCCAGCGGGACATGGAACAACAACTTTTTTGGTACAACAGCACCATTTATACAGCGCCATTCATGTTGGGTAGCGTCCCCGGAGTGCTTGATCACTGTCCAAACTCAGGATTTCTGTTCTTACCTTCCGCTGTGTAGAGGACCTTTCAGGTACTTCTCTTCTGCTTGTTTGATGCTCATCCGATCAACCTCTGCAATTGCATGGATGATGGCCTGTTGCAAAAAGAAAAAAAAGAGATGACACAGAGCCCAAGCTTTTCTTCAATGCAATTTTCTTTTCACCCGCGCAAATTTCGGAAGATTATCGCCACTTCATGGGCATAATAACCCATTCAAAAAAGAAGTGATTTGGGCACTCAATCCACGACCGTATGTGGGATGCTGCCGTGTGCAATTGGCTGCCGCGTTTCGCCCCACAAAATATACAGTCCATTTTACAGTATGTCCCGTGAAGCGCTTTGAGACGTCTCAACCACGTGATGAGACGCTGTATCAAATGCAAAGATTACTATAATTATTGTGCAGAATGCGGGGTGAATTCTTATTCTTACATAGCTTAACGCTGTAAATAAATCCAGTTCTGCATCCACTTTGCTTATCATAAATTTCCTCTTCCATCAGCATTCTCTCCATTTATTTTCTTGTCTACCCCTGTGGTTTCTTTCCTCAGTGTATATAAACCATTACGGGTTCAGTGAAATCTCTTTTTCACAATCGCGAGCAAATCACTCGAGCGCAATTGTTAAAGCACCAGCTCCCCAGCCGTCAAACAGAACCCACCTCTGGCAGCAGAACGTCCAAGATGAACCTCGACTCCTCACAGTCCTCCCGCAGCTGTGTGTTCAGGCTCACTCTGTCACATACGCTTTGCAGGTAAGTCACCACCTTGTCCACCTGCCGGTCGTCCTCCAGGTAAGTGTCTATGTAGCCTGAATTTTGCCTGCGGGATTTGTACTCATCCAACCAGTGGGAATATTGTTGTCCCTTAATGACAGCCTGAAGATGCTTCTCCACGCCTTTGGCCTGGACAATAAAGTGGACCAGTCTCTCATTAGCTCGATCTCTGGCGGCTTTTCTTCGGTCGGGCAGCAGTTTTTTAACTCGCTGCTGCCTGCTTGGGGTTGTTTCGGTCTGAGACTCCAGCTCTGTCTCTTCCTCAATTGAGGTGCAAGGAAACGTCATGGGGTCCTGTGAACTCGTCCTGCGCACAGGAATACCTGCAGAGAAGGAAAACGATTTGAACTTCATTCGAAGACGAACCAATGAACCGCTAGCCCATCCTCGCCACAATTCAGTAACACACCTTAAGGCCAAACATAGGAAGGCAAGAGTTGGGGCGAAGACTATTTAAAAAAATTTAAGATTTTCGACCACCGCCTTTTTTTGGCTTCGGACCTCCATCCTACACATTTTCTCTCAACTTGAAACATTTATGCTCTTTGTTCCTCCAAACTTCCTCTCTTCTCCGCCCCGCCCACTCCACAGTCCCAAACAAACCATCACTCTGTGAGCTGTGCCACCGTCACCTCCACAAAAATAATTATTTGCCAGGGCTACATGGAATTACCTGCTTCTTCAGACTTCCCTTCCTCCTTCCTATATAACCAGAAGGCCTCAAACCTCACCTAGACACTACATCTGCAATTTGTTTGAAGCTTGGGGGCTGTCAAAGGATCCCAAACAGAATTGCATTTTTAAATTTTCATCTTAAAACTAAAAGGATTAACGTTTAATTTTTTTAATACACAAAAACACACACACAGGGGTCGGGAAAGGCAACACTTACTCAGCTCAGCTGCACAATACTCAACAAAGGAGCCGGTGAAGGAGTGGCAGCCTGTCAAAACCAAGCAGATTTCAAAGCAGGTAAGACTTCAAACACAGAAGCTTTACTGAGCAATCCGAAGCCCCTCTATACCCACCAGTGAATTAAAGAAGGGGACTCGCAAATCATTTGCAGCAGCGTGCGGTTTGATGGCCCTCCGAAGTACAGTCACCCAGAGGTGCAGTGGAGCAAACCTTTATTGTCCTCTCCCCTTCCCACCAATGGCCAAGTGCACATTTCAGCAATAAAAAGATTGATGTATAATCCAGTCCAGTGGTGGCCAAGCCATAACCCACAGAACCATCACGAGGCGCCACCACCCCCCAACCTGAACATTCGTACTCGTCTTGGTAAACCCGTTTTTTTTGATTGAATACTTCTTGATTTATGCCATAAAGGATGGCTAACCGCTGATCTAACTGGCTATTGCTCAAAGAGATTCAGTCTAACGATATTTGCAAACAACATTATGCACTTACCCCTCCTGATTCGATAGTCATCAATTAGACCAACACACCAATCGATTGCATTGTTGTAAGTCTTCCGCGCTGCTGTCTGGAACCAGAATAATACTCGAATCTCACATAGAGTGCCTTTCACTGCAGGGGAGGATATCTCAAAGCGCTTCACAGGATTCAGTGCAATTTCTGTAGGCATACGTCATAGCCTCCACACCCCCCACCCCACCGGGAGGCAGAACCGGCTAAACTTACCATTAACTGTTGCCGCTCTTCACAATCAAATGGTTTCAATGTCCTAACAGACACGCAGATGCTGTAGCAATTGAAACAAATGCTGATGTTAAAATCTTCATGCTACAGTGCACCAATAACCCTTTGGTTTTTTTTTTAAAAAAAAGCATTCACAATTTAAGATAACACCTTGCAAAAGGAACCACAAATATTTACTTCCGCCTAATTCACAAGGTAGAAAGGACCTAAAATGACTAAAGAATGGAATGTATATAATTCTGGTATATTGCAAAAAACTCATTGGTCAAAAATTTAGCAAATAGAGCATCACATGCCGAATACAAAAGCACCAATAAGCTGATTTAATGACTTAAAAGCCTCTGGGATGAGGGACATCCTCCCGATGTGAAAGGTGCTACATACAAATGCAATTTGTTGTTGCTGCAATGGAGACTTACCCTCTTCTACTCTTCTCCTTCGCATCCAGTACATTTTCATCTACAAACAATATGCTGGCTTTCTTATACTTGCGCTTCACGCTTCTTACCTGTTGAAGACAGAGAGACGTATTTTAACAAACAATTTTAAAACCAGAGGCCAGCATTTGTAACATTCTTAGTCTGCTGATCAGCCACTCACTGTACAATTGAATCAGAGCCGAAAATATCTAGGGCATTGTCAACATCCAATAATATTTGCTCCATTCCAATGGCCACAGATCGGCACCATAAACAATGAAATGCCAATTAATTTGAATTTTGAGTATAAATTTGGGGTGAGGAGAGAAACAAATGTACACCATTTCTTGGAAATAGAAACAGCAGGGTGGCCTCTTTTACTTTCACCTGAATCACAAGGTTGAAAGAACTTAAAATAACTAAAGAATGGGATGTATATAATACTGATATCATAAAAATACCAAAGTGTAAAAAACACATTTTTTTTAATACAGCCACTCACTCACTTACCACTGCGGGCCAATATGGGTACTTGTTGAATTTACACCAGACCAGCAAGCCTTCTGCGACGACCCAACGTTCTGCAGGAACAAACACAATAATAATGATCCTTGCCTTTGATATAGTGCCTTATCACATCTTTGAGATGCCTCAAAGCGCTTCATCGCTTTGAGACGTCAAGCAAAGCATCGATGCATCGCTCTGGGACAAATTGCTAAAATATCGATACAAAGCTTTCAAAGCCTTTGGTAAAGATAATGAGTCTTAGAAACGTGTTAATTACCCCACCAGGAAATACAAATAAGCCCGTTACTGGGACACTGGCCAATTCATTCCAGAATGAGAAGATTGCTCGGACACCCTGAGGTTACTATTGTGTGGACACGGGGAGAGAGAGAGGGAGGGGAAGACGGACAGGACTTTGTAAGAGCCTAACAGGAGTGAATGCTTACTTTTCTGCTGGAGGATGCTGGGAAGTTCTTCTTCTTCATCCTCCTCCTCTTCCTCTGCCGCTGCTCCATTTTCTTCTTTAGATTCATTTGAAAAAGTGTCTTCTGAAGTGAACTCTATTGATAACAAAGATGATGACTGTGTTCCTGGAGGAAGTCCAGATACTTACAGCGTGTGAAGATATCACAGGTCATTGGGATATTAACCCCCTCCCCCACCCCTCAAAACAACTTTATTACAAAATGATACTGCGTGAAATGACAGAATATGTAACACAGAAGGCCATCGAACCGGTACCCATGCTAGCTTTCCCGTAGAAGCTATGTACCATGATCTTGGCTCTTTTCCAGTGCCCGATGACTGGATATGCAATCCACCGGCTCTGCATTGATGCTACAACACTGATTGTGATCTTGTGATCAGAATCTCCAAAGAATGAAATGCAAATCAAAACACTGCACTTGTTTATAACGGAAGACAGAATGATTAACACACCAATAACCACGGCCCGAGTTTTTTGCTCAACAGGGTAACGGACGTTAGTGCTGGGAAAGTTATCTTCCCTTTGCATTTGATAAGATATACTGTAATGGGGAACCCTTAAAAAGGTGAATGAAAGTCTTGCCAATGGAAACCTTACCCAAGTTGTCCCAAGGCTGCCTCAGAGGCATTGCAGGCTTTGTGACGGGTGATGTCAGTAACTCCAAGCCTCTCTCCTCCTCACCAGTGCCTGACAGTGGCAAATCTTGCTGCTTGTTATCATTGTAAGGGAAGTAGGGGAGAGAACTACCTGAACTCGAAGTTTGGTTATGTACATTAGGGGGGTCCATTGGTCCATTTTCAGGCAATTCAATCGCCAAATCCGTAAACTGCTGCTGGGTCCTCTCATTTTGCAGAGGTTCCAGTGGATTGTCTAGCTTGGCAGCGGCAGTACTGGTGGTAAGACACTCGACGTGCTCTGGGCTCTTTTTCAGTTTTTTCCTGCCTCGCCGTTCACTTTGGCCCAAGAGACGTTTTGTTTCTGTCTGATTGCTGTCGGCCTCGTTCAGAGTCTGTGAAAGGCCAAAGGAGCGAAAGGTAGAGGCAGTCCTTCGTTTTGGAGTTGATTCTAAATTATCGGCAAAGTCTAACTGCTGCTGGTTACAGTCAGCTCGGGCAGAGCAATCGGTGCTGGCAGACTTGTTAGCAACCTTATACTTACACCTATCACGTTTAGACTTTTGATTTTGATCTTTCTCTGCTGTTTGCCTAACAGAATTACGCCCTTTGACTGAAGATTTTCGCCCAACCCATGGCGTCCTCATTTCTTTATCCTTACACTTTGGATTGTCAGCAGCCAACTGCCTCGACCTCAAGCTTGGATAAGGCGAGGAAGTATCCGTCTGGGAGAAACTCGGATTGTTATTCTGCGTTACCTGGCTACTTTTCCGTAAACCACCCTCCTCCTTTTTTAGGTACGCTTTTGGTTCCTTCACAGTCCTGGACAAGCCTCGTGAATCAGTGCTTTTCCGTCGTCTCGGTTCAGGAGTTCTTTTGCTACAAGGTGCTTGTGAGCGGCATTGTCTTCTTGCTCGCCCCTGTGGCGATTGCCTCCCATTCTCTCTGGGTACGCTGATCCCATTTGTGTTGGGGGCCCCACCGGAGCCTTGGCTTTCTAAAAGGTCTATTGCGATCCGAAGTGCCTTCCTGTAAGTCAGCTCCTCCAGAGCTTCCTCGTGAGTAGATTCTATGTTATGTTCTGATATTCCAGTGGAAAAGAAAGCAAAGCAGGTCACCAAAATCAGAAGGCACCATTAAATTGAACAGAGGCACATTTTGAACAAAATAATCCTTGCATCCGATGTAGGACCTAATCACCGTAAAATGTAATGACTGCACTCATAGGTGAATGTGCCAGCCAGTTTGCCCACAATCAACCTCATCTGGTTATTGAGGCAGATTTCAATGGTGTTTTGTTTAGTGCATTTACAAATTGTGTCTTTCAGTTGGGTTGGGAAAATGGGATAAAGTGTGTAAGTGTGTTCTGAATTGACTCTGAACAAGCAAAGCTAAGATAAAAGGAAATATAAAAGATATCTGCAAAATATGGGTAGGTAATAAGTAGCATATTTAGGAACAGTTTCTGTATTTCAGACTACTCAACCAATTACTGCTACGTATCAAATATTAATCCAAATCAATCAATTTGCTCTGAATGTTAGCTAAATGTGTGTGTATAAGAGTAGGGAATTTGTAAATATGGCACTTACGCAATCCCTTGCTGATTTGTTCTGCTTGTTTCTTCTCAAATGGTTTTGTGTCTGTGTGCTTAATTCGCAGTCTGAAATGGCAATGCAATAAAAAGTTATATTGAGCAGCTGCATCCAGTAACTAGGCGCTGTCTGTAGTGAAATGAAAATACCAAGGGGGTAAGTCACTAGAAAATTGTCCTCTTCGTTTTCAACAAACTGGTATAGCTCATCACAGAATCACATCAGTTAAAATGTAAACTCTGGTGATCCTCCTCAAAAAAGCTGTCCATTAAGAGGGAGTTTTCTGTTCGGCACAATTGTCCCTTTAAGAGTTGCATCATTTCAAAATGGTCCCCAATGATTCACTAGAATAATAGCTGGGACAAAAGGTCTTAGTTCTGAGGAACAAGATTAAGGGGCAAATTATGTAGACATTTACACCCTACACCCCATTGAAATATGTAGTTATAAACTCAATAGGCATATGAGTTTATGTTCCCAAGCTGTAGAAAACAGCTTAGAAAACGGTATTTATCAATTTGAATTCTTGATAGAAGTTCAAGGGAGCAATTCCATTGATTTAAATCAAACAAGATTTAAATCTCTTTCAATCTCTTGCAATAGACATTGCAAGAAGACATTTTAGTTTGCACTCCAAGATACTCACTTTTTTTTCAAGCAGATTAGCTGGACATCGACACTATCTGGATTGGTTTCTGATGCAATTTTGGGAGAAATGCCAGACTTAATCACAACCTTAATTTAAAACAAAAAGAATAAGTTGATAATTGTTTACTACATTTAACGAACAAACAGAATCCAGATTTTTTTTTGCTTGCAAGTGGATACCTAATGACTAACATGTGCTAGTTTATATATGAGCTAGACCAACAGGACAAAAATCTCTGCATTTGGCACAGCTTCCAAAATACGCGCAATAGAAGGCATTCGGGATTTAACAACAACAACTTGGATTTCATGCTGGATGGCGTCTCAGAGCGCTTCACAGTAATGGATCCCGGGGCCAAGCCAGGGGGAGGGGGAGGAAGGTGACTAAAGGTGAGGTCGAAAAGAAAGATCTTCAGCAGAGACCTGAAAATAGGAAGAGAGGGAGTGAGGCGAAGGGAGTGAGTTCCAGAGCCTCGGAGTGTAGTGGCTGAAGGCACGGCCGCCGAGGGTGGAGCAGAGGACTCGGGGGACAAGGAGGAGGCCAGACCCGGAGGAACGAAGGCAACGGGCACTGTTTTGAGGAAAGAGGTCAGAGAGGTAGGGGGGTGCAGAGGAGTGGAGGGATTTGAAGACAAGGGTGAGGATGGCAAGGACTGGGGTGATCAGGGAGCGGAGTTTAGTGCGGGTGAGAATACAGGCGGCAGAGTTTTGAATAATCTGGATTTTGTGGATGGTAGTGGAGGGGAGGCTGGCGAGGAGGGAGTTAGAATAGTCCAGCCGAGGATGGGAAAAAGGGGTTACAAAACCTTGAGTGAGCAGCGGGAGAGTACAGATCATGGCTGTGGGAGAGGAGCTACCTGTCTAAGCTAAGAACTACAAGCAACAACGAATAGTCACTCTAGGTCTCCCAGGGTAAGAATTTTGATTGAGCCCTGAATCATCTTCTGCAATTTTATGTTATTAAACCTATAACTATTATAACCATCATTTTGGTTTTGGTTCCCAATAAATAATATCCAGTTTAGAGTATTTTGTCTCTGTTCAAGTAGCTTACTTCAGGGTGAACAATTGGAACGGGTTGAGGACTAAATACCCTCGACACAAAACCCTACATCTTTAATCTCACTGAAAATAAAAGATCACATCAGTTGTATTTTTTTGCCTAGCAACTTCACTTCAACCAGGAATGACTTGCCCAGCAGTACACAATGCATAGTTTCAGGTTAATCCAAACCTGAATTTCAAGGTTATATAATTTCCCAGGAAGCGCTCATTCCTCAAATCCATGTTTAAAGTTTTATTAGCTTTAACACTTTCCAGCAAGGAATCACTGAACAAGAAATCAAGCTGACTTTCTTCTCCCTCTCTCTTCTTTCTTCTTTTTAAACTAGGAACTCTAAAGCCCGACTGATACCGCCTGCTGCTTCAGTTGTTATCAGCTAACCCAGCACAGATCAAGAATGAAATCTGAAACTTTGTGGTCTATCTCAGTCCTGGATTTGGTGGTGACTTTACCCACTGAACCATAGGAGAAGGAGATGGGTTTTACACATATACAGTCCTGAATCATGCTTAAGTATAATGAACACCACAAATTCAAAGCACATGCACAGAATGCAGCTGGCAGTTATTTTCATATAACGGTAACAAACAAAACCAGAACAACATAGAACAGAGAACGTGGGAGGGATAAACAGTTGAAGAAAAAATAAACGGCGTACTTTCGCAGGCCAGAGACGTCCCTGCCATTTGCAGAAGATGTAGTTGTTCAAGGCCATCACTCCTTACAGTTCGCTAGATCAGGCAGCAAGCGGGTTCAGGTCTGGTTCCTGCACTTGGAACGTTTAGTAAGATCGTGCCTTACTGCAATCCAACAAGCAATACAAAAGAAACTTTCAATAGCAAGTATAACTCCAAAGGTTAAACACATGACTGTTTAATTAGGTTTCACTTTTTATTTCAGTATCTAAAACCTGATTCTCTTCAATGAGAGAGAATAGCTACCAGTACTTAACAATATAGATACCTGGGAACCTGAAAGCATAAAGCTGGTCTTTCTGCAAATAACATTTTCTTTGATAAGAATACATGCAAAATTTGGCTGCCACATTACTATACTTTATAGTATTGCTTTCCTTTTTTCCACTGATATGTAAATTACTCCCCTCACTCATTCAAACTATTCTTAGGCACCTCAGTACAGAAAGTCCGGAGCCTGGACCAGAGATGCAACTTTCTTGAATAGGCACCAGAACTTGGAGGAAGTCCACGCACTTGTTGCAAATAATCACAGATGGTTGATTTGTTTTACAGAATGAATCTGCGGGTGGGGGCAGGGGGATTCTTGGTAGAAACCACAATCAGAAACAAGATTTTTTTAAAAAAACACAACACAGCTGCAACAGTTGTTTGCTTGAGGCATTTCCTACAAGTTCTGTAATTCTTAAAATAAAGTTCTTCAGGCCCGATTGACATCAGCCGCAGACTTTAATATGGAGCTCACTCATCTATATAAACTCAGCTCCCTAACCCTAGAAATTAAAGCACCTATTTCACAACACTCTGCACGAGCCTATTGTAAACGTACAGCAACGTGTGTTCTGGTAGCATTTACATTTGCCCAAATGCATGCCAGCAAGCCTTTACCCTTTTGGAAAGTAATCTTATAAATAGCTGCATTGCAGTGATGGCATAATTATCTAGTTACCAACTCAAAAGTCATAAAAAAAAGAAGAAAAATAATGGGACTTTTTTCATTTGCCATCTTCCTTCAATGGCTCTTGGAAGATTTTATTTTCCACAGCTGAAAGAAACCAAATAAACAAACAGAACTTTTCCAAGAGAGACTGACGTACACAATCAAATGCAACACAGAGGAAGAAAAAAATACCATGGACAGTTATAAATATTCTATATAACATTTATTTTAAATAAATTAAAACCACTGTTGAACAGTGGTTTTCAAATAGCTTTGAGCTGTAATCATAATAATCCTTGCATTTGATATGGTGCCTTATCACGTCATTCAGACGTCTCAGAGCACAGAATATATTGTAAAGTGACTGTGTATTTTGTGGGCAAAATTTTTTGTATTTTGGTTGCTGCCAAACATCCCTTGGCCTCAAGGGAACAGCAATTCTCGCGAGGTTCAATGAGTGGTGCAAAATGAAGGTGGGTGGCAGGAAAGTCAACAATGAATCAGAACAGCTCTGCTAACAATACTGCACTGTCCGAGATCAGCGAGCCATAAAGTATGGTGCCTTGGGGTTGCAACTTGCCTTATTATTAACATTATTATTATTATGATGGAGTCCTGTGTCTCAGTGGAGCATTCTCTTCGTAAGCGAGTGACGTGGGCTCGAGAGACGTGGGTGAAAATTTGGGTAAATTTCCTTACTTCACACTGTTTACCGAGCAGTAAATAGGAACCCGGTTGTTAGTCGATTGGCAGATCGCTTTTCCGGGGGTTGGTAATTCCCTCAATAATAATAATAATAATAATAAATTGGTCACTTCAATTCCACGCCTGTTTGTGGGACACCGCTGTGCGCAACCGGCTGCCGCGCAAAATACGCGGTCGCCACACTTGACCGTATACTCGCTGAAGAGCTTTTAGGCGCCTCGAAGACGCGATAAGGCGCTGCGTCAAACACAAGGAATACTTGTGATTATATTATTATTATTGTTATTATTATCATCCACCCGACTACTGAGGCAAGGCTCGGGAGTGACACCCCCACCCCACTCTCTCCCGCCCGGGGGCACCAATGTGTGAGCCGAGAGTGGGTGAGTGGGTGGGTGAGGAATGACCCTGGTAGCTGAGCCAGGCTCCTGGGGTGGTGATGGTGGATTGTAGGGGGGGGGGGGCTGAAGTCTGAAGACCACCACCACACCCCACACCCCCCACCGGATGCAGAGTGGCTGGTCAAAAGTGGCTGTGAGTTTGCGTTGGCTTCATCCATCCCTCTCTCTCCCACCCCTTCCTCTCCCCCCCCCCCACACAACCCCCTCCTCTCCCACCCCCCCATACACACCCCCCTCCTCTCGCCCCCCTCCGCTCACCCCCCCACATCCCCCCTTCCTCTCCCACCCCCCCACACACACCCCCCCCTCCTCTCGCCCCCCCACATCCCCCCCTCCTCTCCCACCCCCCCACACACACCCCCCCCTCCTCTCGCCCCCCCACACCCCCCCCTCCTCTCGCCCCCCCTGCCCCCCCCTCCTCTCCCACCCCCCCTCCTCTCCCACCCCCCCACACACACCCCCCCTCCTCTCGCCCCCCACACCCCCCCCTCCTCTCGCCCCCCCTCCTCTCGCCTCCCCCCTCCCTTGACTTCATTACACCTCACGGTGAGGCGGGCGAACCCCGACGGCGGTGAGGAAGCGCGTGGCCGACCGGCAGCACTTACCACCCGCACAGGCCTCGCCGCGCCCGTCCCCTCCCGTCCCCTCCCGGCTCTCTCTCTCTCGTCGTTCGAGGCCGCGACTGAGACGTGACGGGCTCGGAGCTCGGAGGCGGCGCTGGCCCTGCCCACCGAGGGGGCGAGAAGAAGATCAACAACAAGGCCGCGGCGTCGTCCCCTCGAGACTTGCCGCCTCCCTCCCTCCCTCACCGGGGCCGCCTGTGTCTGTTGTGGTTCAAACCGCTGCTCGAGTTCCGAACAACGGCGGCGGGAGGCGGTAAGGACCGGGGAGGATCACGGGCTCCGGGGTTACGCCCGCGCTCAAGTCTCTCTCTCTCTCTCGCTCCCCCGGTTCCTCTCGCTTCCCCCCCTGGCGGGTCGGCCCTCGGCTCGGCCTGAACGTCACGGCCCGGGCCCTCCGCTCCCCGCCCCCCCCCCCCCTTCGCGCGCAGCCGCAGTCGCCGTCGCCGCCGCCGGTGGCCTCCGATTGGCTCGCGCCAACCGGCGTCCGCTTCGTCACCCCCCCCTCCCCGCGCGTCCCGCCGGGCATGCCGGGAACTGTAGTCTTCCTCGCCACAAGGCCGGCCTGCAAGTCCCGGCATGCAGTGCGGGCAGTGTGTTTGGTGTCAACTTTGGTTTGTGTGTGTGTGTGTGTTTTGGGTTTTTTTTGTTTTATTTTTTATATGTTTTTGTGTGTTTTGGGTTTTTTTTTGTTTGTTTTTGTGTATGTTTTTGGGTGTTTTTTGTATGTTTTTGTGTGTTTTGGGTTTTTTTTGTTTGTTTTTTGAATGTTTTTGGGTGTTTTTTCTGTTTTTGGGTGTTTTTTGTATGTTTTGTGGGTGTTTTTTGTATGTTTTTGTGTGTTTTGGGTTTTTTTTGTTTGTTTTTTCTATGTTTTTGGGTGTTTTTTTGTATGTTTTGGGGCTTTTTTTGGTATGTTTTTGGGTGTTTTTGTGTATGTTTTGTTTTTTCTTGTATGTTTTTTTGATATGTTTTGGGGTGTGTTTTTGTATATTTTTGTGTGTTTTTGTATGTTTTGTTTTTTTTTGTATGTTTTTGGTTTTTTTTGTATGTTTTGGGTGTCTTTGTGTATGTTGGTTTTTTTGTATGTTTTTTGATATGTTTTTGGGTGTGTTTTTGTATATTTTTGTGTATGTTTTTGGGGTGTTTTTGTTTGGTTTTTTTGTATGTTTTTTTGGTGTTTTTGGGGGTGAAACTTCATTCGAAGTACAGAACATATTTAACAATGTCGGTGCGGTAAATGCAATCTACTATTATTTTTAACTAAATTAATTTTAATTTCATCCTCAAAATATACAGTCAATTCATTTTACAATATATTCTGTGAAGCGCTTGGAGACGTCTCGAAGACGTGATCAGGCACTCGTATCAAGTGCAAGGATTAGTATTATTATTATAATTATTATTATCACTCGTTGCATTGTAGGCTGAGAAAATAGGATCAGAAGAGAGGAATCGGACTGAGTGAAAGTAACTCCAGAACCAAGATCAGGAAAAATGTCTTAACTGAAAGGTATAACTGTTATGTGTCGTTCACATACACTTCAAAGCAATGGCTTTCTCTGTACATTGCTCGCCAAGGTAACTATTGTGTAATGCAGATCAGTGATGGTGATTACGTTCCTCTGGCCTTTGCAATAAATGACAAGCGGTTCAAGTCTTCACTAATGGTATTTTGTAGTTTTTATTTGTAAGACATAAGATCAACAGCTATCACTGTATTGCTGCAGTTCGAGATCACAAACGTGCCCCCCCCTAATTTGTGACACCGTACCCCCTCCTCAATCTCTCTCTGGGGGAAGGGGGGGGGGGGGTGGGCTGTGATTTCTGAAATGAACCAGCGCAGATCACTATCCCTGTGGATTAAAATAAACATCTCCCCCCGCCCCCCCTCCCCCACTTCAAAAAAAGGTCAAATCAGTAAATATAATACATGACACGAAATCTAAGAACAGCGATAGCTGAAGCACATTCAATATCACGCAACTGTGACTCGTTGTAAAACTTTCAACCAGCCTCAAGCTACAGTTACCAGTGCTCCTGCAAATGTAAAAGTAAAATTTTATGGTCAAAAAATACTGCTTACTAGTTTAAACAGTGTTTTAAGTCTAAGATGCGACTGGCTGCACAGTGCCTTAGAGAGGACTTTTGAGTAAAAAGTTTCTTTGTACAGAGCAAATATTTTATCCGCGGCACAAAGCACTATAAAATCGTATGTAACAGACTGGTCTAAATATTCCTCACATACAGAAGCAATGAACTGTGCGTTTGGGTCATTCTCAGTTAAAAAGCCATTCGATGAAACTAAGCAACTGTCATGTGGAAATTCAAGATTGCTTTCAGTTATTTTCTAAACATGCATTTGGATAGCATAATTGTAAGGTAAAGAATAATTCAAAAGCACTCATCAAATATAGCGGTGGATGGATATCAAGCAGGGAAATAGAATCAACGAAAAGACTCTTGAAGAAATGTGTCTCTAGGAGGTTTTTAAAGGTAGACAGAGAGGTGTAGGTGTGAAGTGCTTTTGGAAGAGTTCAGAGTCCGAATGCTCAGCTATTCTGCAGGTGGATAAATAAATTGGGGAGCAAGCAATAGATCGGGATCAGAAAAACTAAGGGTATGGGGTGGTACAGTAATGGAGCTCAGACAAAACAGTACACTGGAAGAGAATAAAGCGATCAAGAGATGTTAAAGGTAAAGGCAGGGACTTTGAGCCCTGGAACTATAGAAACGTAGAAATCTACAGCACAAAAATGAGGCAATTCAGTCCATTGAGCTTTACCTGGCTCTTGGAAAAAACTTCGTTTTAGTCCCATTTTCCAGCCTTTTCCTCCTCGTATCCTGGTTGCAGTCAAAATGTACAGTTGCCCTTTAAGTCAATCAGTGTTTGGAATTTGAAAAGAGAATCTTAGTTTTGAGTTTGGTACAAGTGACACACTAAAAAAAGAAAGACCTACGTGAGACAATTTCCATTTTGACTTTAAAGTTTCCCTTGCGACAATTGGTAGAACTGAAAATGATTTGCTAGGAAACATGTCACTAAAGCAGCTCAGTTGGTTTTGCTACTCTGGTTGAGAATAAATCAATCAATCAACCGTTCGGGTAATTATCTGAAGGCTCGATTTGTAAAACACCCAACTTGACAAAGATGCTATTAACAGTTTCCACCGAGCTCAGAAGAGAGTTTGGCTTTTTTTTTCTCTAATTATTTACATGAATTTATCTGTTTTTGCATAAAAAGGCATAGGGTGGTCTTTAATAAGTCGCCACCTAATGCTAGACCTTCTGATGGAGTTAACTATACACTTACTGCTTCCTTACTGTATACCTTCTTCCCCGTTTGTGCAAGACCGGAGGACACTGCTGTGCGCAATTGGCTGCCGCTTTTCGCCCACAAAATATACAGTCAATTCACTTTACAGTTGATTCTGTGAAGCGCTTTGAGACGTCTCGAAGACGTGATAAGGCGCTGTATCGAATGCAAGGATTATTATTATTATTACATTGTTATTATGGTTCCAAGATGCTACCAATGAGTCAAGAGTGCTATTATCAATTCAAGTTGTTGGTGATTGTGCTTTCAAGCAGCAGAACAGAAGAAGATAGTATTTGTATGGAACCTTCTCAAGTGGCATTGTGAGCAATAACTGATTCCACGACATCAATTTCACACAAAGTAATCGCCTCCGCCCAGCAGTGCAATCAATACATAAAGTGTTCTGCAGTGAGGACAGAGACACACAGAACTACACAGCTTTTGCCCTGCATAATATTTCGGACGAACGAGCAACTCACAAGGATACAATTCTCTTCTGCAGTTCCCAATCCTTCAACGAGATTCACCGCCCGTGGTTTTGAGGCTGTTTGGGACGTCACCCCAACGTGAAAGGTGCTATATAAATGCAATTTGTTGTTGTTGTTGAGGCTGTACAGTTGTTTGACCCACACCCCACCACATTACGTGGAGAAGGGTCTTATTTAGTGACGCAAGTCCTTGGAAACTTGTAGTGGCTGACATTTCCTTTGCACCAGCTATGTTTTTAAGGCAAAGTTTTGGGGTACAAATTTCAATGGGTTTTGTCTGCATGGAATGGTTTGTCAACCACATGTGCGCTTAACCTCTGGATCCAGGTGTTACCCATTCTCTGATAGACAGGCAATTCCCACGCTCAACTCTGCATCCACTCCACTCCTCTCCCTGGACATTAGTTATGGAAATTAAATGTTGAAACCTGGCAAGGGCTGATTTCTATTCAACGCTAACTGCACTTTCTGAGTTATGCGTGGAGCCGCAAATGGGTTACACAGCAAAATGGTATCGCAGGGACCTTGATAAGGTATTGCCGTATCAGACCAGACCGTAAACGTGGTAATTAAAGTTCATTTGGTGCAGAGAGAGATACATCAGCGGGTGTCAGAGAAACTTAACATTACAGTCTTACATTGAACGCAGGCCAGGTCAATGCAGGCAGATTTTTGCCTCTTCCTGAAGCTGCTGTTTTAAGCAGTTGTTACTGCTAGTTACTTTACAATCAGAACTTCCTGTCTGGGGTCTGAATGAACAAGATATCTGGGCTAGTTTCCCTCTTCTCCCTTGCTCAGCAGATGCAACTTGTTGAATTGGTATCAGGGTTTGGCTACACGGATTAGTCATTATTGCTCAATGTTAGAGATATTTTAAGTGCAACTGATTTCCAACCGTCGGTGTGCAAGCTTGTAGAAATATAAAACTTGCAGCTGTTCCATGTATCTCTATTGCAGGTAGCCTTAACTATCTTTCAGTGACCCAGGCTGCTGGTCAGTCATTTTACAGCATAATAATCCATGGTTACAGGAAAGTTGGAGTTACCGTGAGGCTATGGCTGCAGCGGAAATAAAAATGGAAACTGGTTCTTGTGATCGTGGTGGGTCCTTACAAGGGGAGTCTGTGCAGAGATTGTGCAAAGGAAACTAATGCAACAAAAATATTGGAGGCTGAGATTATGAGACGACCCTCTCCATCAAATAGATCCACGTTTGGGTAGATTTTGTGCTATTCTTTGTGCTATCTGGAGGGGGTGGTGGGGGGAGTTGATCCTCACTGGTCGTCTCGTCTAAGCCATTGTTAATGACTGACCAGTCTATCTTATTGGCAGGATGTGAAGATTAGACCTGACTCTTAAGAGCTGGGATTCTTCCCACTTGGCTCCACATAACATTGGATGTCAAACCTTGGCTCATGCCAAACCCCACCTAAACTCTCTGGTAAACAGGGTACATCCCTCTTGAGGAGTGTGTTTACTCCATTGCCAATCAAATGGAAACAATACAGTACAGCATATAGTTTGGGACATGATATGTCAAGCGACTGCCAGGATGGTGGAAGGTGAACTAGACGGACCTTGGTCTTCTTTCGCCTAGCAAGTTATTATGTTCTAATATATAATGCATGTGGAATATCAGTCATTTGGTGTGGAGACTCTTAAGCATGGTGATGGGTTTCTGTCTGACTAAATGAACAAAAAACAATTTTGTGCTTCTCAAGGTTGAGGGAGATTGGTGCTAGAGAAAGGGTCCATAGTACCATGCATTTAGACTGGGTGAAACTCATTTCCTTTAGCACTAGGATACAAAATCCATCAGATATGATGTGATTCCAGGTCAAAGAGGAGCAGCAATGCATCCTCACTCTCTCCATTTCACTCCTCGGATAAAATTTTTCCCAAATATCTGTTGACGTTCAGCAGCTGTGTGTGGCGGTTAGTGCTTCCATTGAAACGTGTCACGCACAGACCGTTGTGATTGAAAATAGTTCAAGGAAAGATCTGAACCAAACTCAGGATTGAGTTTCCTGGTTTAGGTTCAACGAACTCTGGGATTTTCTGCTGCTCATGTTCAGTCTACAAGAGGCAACCTGCTTGAAGATTAAGATGAATCCCTTCAGAACAAAGAATGGCAAGGGGATCTGGTCAGTAAATAATGTGACATCTCCAGGTTTTTAAAGGGAATTGAGCTTGTCCTTATGAAGCATCTGTACAGTATAAATACATTGGTGAAAAGCAGAGTCTGTAAAAAGTTTTAACAGTGTTTCAGATGGAAAACTGAGAACAACTGGACTCAGAGCAAGGTGTGTGTGTGTGACTATGGGCCACTGTTGCTGAGCCTCTTGTTTTTTTATAGGGACAAACGCCCCAAGTTTCACATTCGCTGACTCCACATCTGCCCATCGCTGAAGCGTCAGTCTCACAAATAATAATGACCTGTTACGTTCACACAGGTTTGGAGTCAATTTAACCATCGAGTTAAGAATACTTGCGTTCAGGCCATTACTTTTACCAGCTAAGCGTCTTCCAGTTAAGTGTCAGCTCAGCTCAGTCGGTAGCACTCTCGCCTTAGGGTCAGATTGCAGTGGGTTTAAGCCCGTAGTCCAGGCTGATACGCCAGTGTAGTGTTGGGGGAAGCACTGCATTATCATGGATTCATTACATTGACATCGGTGTTACCTCTTGGATGAAACATTAAACCTGATCTCCAGTTTGCTTGTTCAGGTGGATGTTAAAAATCCTATGACACTACTCAAAAAAGGGAAGGAAGTTTCTCCTGGTTTTCTGATGAAGGTGGTTGTTCCCTTCATGGCTAGTTGCAGGACATTTCCATGTGCAATTTGGTTACTGGGATCGCCTATAAATACACTTTGCTGCAACTCGCTTTGAGGCTTTTCTACGTTATAGGGGCTATATCAAACCAAATGCAATTATTATTAGTAGTAATTGTCCCAAAACATAAAAATCCTTTATGCCCTGTGCTTCCTTGTGGTGGGAGCAAACCACGGAACAGAATTCCAAGATGCCGATTACCAGAGAAATGTAACTGATGGTGACCATTGTAAGATTATGGTTAAAATCATTGTTTGATACCCAGAGTGTGTGCAAGGACTGGAGCAATATCTTGATTAATCTTAAGGAATATGTTATAAAACTTGGACTAGAAAGGGGAATTGAGGTTTGTGCGTTTGATCAAAACCTGATGGATAGGAGTTGTTCCTTTCTTCTTATTTGGAAGATTGGTGCCTTGCAGTTTGGTTGGGAGAAGATTTTACGACTTCAAGGTGTCAACTAAGACAATTCACTGTCGAATTGAACTTTTCACGCTTGGTATCAGAGGCTTTGAGAACAAGTCCCAAATTCCTGAGATTAAACCTTGATAACCTATGGGTACCCTGAGTAAGGAAAATGTGATTGGATGAACCAGTCTGGGGATATGAATGGCTGATCAACTTTGATTGGATTTGAAACAACTTTGGATTCCATTTTTAGATGTAAGTGTCGCATGGGCTAAATTGGGGTATAAATGAAAGAGGTAACTTTGGAATAGTTGTAGTTGTAGTAGAGGGCCAGCACACTTCCCAGTGGAATCGATATTCCACTGTATATATGGTCTCAGTTTTAAGAATAAGTTAAGCTATTTGTATTACTTAATACACCTTGGATTATTACATAACCGTATTGGTCATCTCCATCCGAATCTCTTACACCTGCTAGTTTAGACTAGAAATACTAGTGCTGGAACTACTTATCACCCACTGGTTACCAGAGCTTCAAACTACCATAACTGGTTACTGTTCTGCTTTACCAGCTACTGAAAGCATCAGTAATACGTGGTTTTGTGCTGTTAAATCCAGGGTCGCAAGGCTTCTCCACACCCGAGTCTGAAACATGACGATCACTTCATTGCTTGTGCGAGTTTGGTGAGTTCAAGAATTGCCCTAACTAATTAACGAGAGCCACTTGTAACCGAAGGCCCACGTATCCTGGCTGGAATGGGTCCTGCACCCAACCTAAAAGAGGCTAAAAGGAGGTTGGATGGCGATTTGCCGCAGTTGTCTGGGACAATTGATATTCGAAACTGTTCAGAGCTAAAGTGGATTTGTCTAAGGAGAGCACTACAGCATCAGATACTAGGGATAGATGGTTCAGACAAGGGTCTGACCACTACACTGGTGATCCACTTGAGGACGAAGTAGTGCTGTCCTCAGATGGTCTATTGTTTCACACCAATGGTGAAGCCGTGAATCAAAGACAGGTTAGCTGCTGGGTGCATCCTCCAGCAGGCGGGCGAGCGGCCTTTGGCAGATGTCGCTAGGACATTTGGCCGCTCTCCTTCTTGGCAACTTGCTCTTGAATGGAACAGGAGTTGCTGCTCTTGGCTCTCTCGTGGTGACCGGCATTTCCAAGTCGGCTCGAGGCCACGACAGCTTTCACGGCGGCCTGAGAGGAAGACACACACACACACACACGCAGACACAATCAGAACAGAAAGAGCCCATTCGACACATCGTGACCGTACCAGTTCACTAAAAAAACGATCCACTAAGCCCCCACTCCCGTTCCTCTCGTTCCACTCCCGTCCTTCGGGTGAGACGATAAACCGAGGACCTATCTTGCCTGTTCAGGTGAACGTTAAAGATCCCACAGCACTACCCGAAAAGAGGAGGGAGTTTCTCTCTCCCGATGTCCTGGCAAACAATCCCCCCAGATAAAATTGATCACTCACTCCATGGCTGTTTGTGGGACACTGCAGTGCGCAAACTAGATTCCGGGTCTCGCCCACCAAATACACAGTCACTCCACTTTACAGTATATTCCGTGAAGCGCTTTGAGACCTCTCGACGATGTGATAAGGCGCCGTATCAAATACAAGTATTATTATTATGATGATGATGATTATACATCCTTTTATATTAAAGAATAAGCCTTGTATTTGATACTGCAATGTTGTTTGCTAGGACACACTTTCTGGTGGGAGTTGGGGAGCCAAGCGGAGGTGTTTGGGGCTGGTTTAACACGCTCTTGACTTACTTTGAGCTTGCGTCGGGCATTGAACTCCTGCAGCTGTTTCTGTGCGTTGTCCATGTGAGCGAGGTTGGCTGTTTTGCCCGTCACCCAGGGATGCTGTAGAGCCTGATGCACGCTGAGCCTCTGCTGGGGATCCTGTACGATCAGCTTCCGAACCTACGAGTGAACACAAGACCCCAGTCGGACCCATTGCCCGACAGCGCAAGCGGTTTCAGGCTCTTCTCCACACGACGGGCACCCACACGTCCTTTTATGTCTATCAGGGTTCACACTGCAGCAGTAACAATAAGCTGCGATGTCAGTGAAAAACGTTAGCGCCTTGCAATAAGGTTCATGATCGGGAGAGAGTTACACAAACACGCAAGTGATCAGATATGTGGGGCTGTGACCAATTAATTGCAGATAATAATAATAATAATAATAATAATCATAATAAATAATCCCTGCACTTGGTACAGTGTCTTATCACGTTAGAAGGATTTGACAATAAATCCTCCAGATCATTCATTCGCTTCACGGCTGCTTGTGGGACTCAATTGGCTGCTGTATTTTCTTACAAAAAAAAAACTTTTCTGCACTGGACAGCAATTGCTCGTGAGATGCATTGATGGTCTAAGAGCTATAATAATAATAATAATAATAACAATCCTTGCATTCGAAACAGCGCCTTATCACGCCTTCGAGACGTCTCAAAGCGCTTCGCGGAAGGCACTGTAAAGTGGAGCGACTGCGGGTGAAAGAGCTGTCACAAGTGAAAGGGATTAATCCGATTTGATCTTATTCCCCCCCATCACTCACCAGATCCTTTGCGTTTACGGACACATCGTCCCACCAGGGGGAGACAAACTCATAGTCACAGTTCAGGATTCGACTGTACATATATTGGTCACCCCTCGCGTCGAAGAAGGGCTCAAACCCACAAAGTCTGGGGGAGAGAGAGAGAGAGAGCGAAAGGCAGTTAACAGTAGGTCGTCGTTGCCAGCTGTTGGGATGTGACACCCAGAAGCTGCCGCAGATAACGTGGCATGCTACGAGGCTGCACCCAGCAGGACGAGCGCCAACCCTGCGCGCGAGCTGCGCCCGCAGGAACAAAAAAACAAGTGGCTGGGAACACGCAGCAGGTCAGGCAGCGTCTATGGAGAGAGGAAAGTGAGTTAGCGTTTCAGGCTGATGACCTGAAACGTCTCTCCATAGACGCTGCCTGACCTGCTGCGTGTTCCCAGCGACTTCTGTTTCTATTACAGATTTCCGGCATCCGCAGTATTTTGCCTTTTGCACTTACAGGATGTAGGTTATGACCCCCACAGACCACATATCCACCCCTGGCCCGTACGCACAGCCTCGCAGGATCTCGGGTGCTGGAAGGGAATGGGGAAAAACATCAATCTCCGTCCAATCAGAGTTTAAGATCCTTTTACTGCTGATGGCAGTCGTAAACATTAGAAATGCGAGACCAAAAAAAGACCAAAGTCCATTTGGTTCGCCTTCCACTTTCCTGGTGGTTGCCTGCACATATGTCACGAACTACCTACGTACTATATCCCAAAAGAACAGTCAGTGGGTAACTAATAATAAACCCTGCATCTGATTTAGTGCCTATAACAATGAAATAAAGAACAATGAAGCAGTGAGCTCCCACTCCTTACTATTGTGCTGGAGCATCAGCCTGGACTGAGCTCAAAGTCCTGACTTGAGGCTTGAACCAACAACCTTCCTTCCAACGCCTTATGTTGTCGTTGAGGCGTCTCAAAGCGCTTCACAGAATACACTGTAGCGGGTGAAACGCAGCGGCCGACTATGCACGGCAGTGTCCCTGCCAACTGTTGCGGATTGAGTGTCCATTTTTTTTTATTTCCCCCGGGAAGACGGAATGCGCAGAACTGTGGAAAATTCGTAAACTCGGTCTTAATTTGGCAGCAGTTTTTCTGCAGATTTCAATATTCAGTCCTACTTTGAGAATCTTCCACAATTCAGGGTTAAGAGTTACATTTTAACACAAAATGGTGGTAGAGAACGAGACTAGAATTTCACCCGCCCCAGGAGGCAGGAACTGTGACTCGAGTATTATTCCACTGGCTTTGGGGAGCTGGGTTTTGCATGGTGAATATACACACTCTTGCAGGCCTGTGTAGTGACCTACCGCAATATCCTGGGGTGCCGCACACCGTCTTCATGGTGACCTGCTCATTCACAATCTTGGACAGACCAAAATCAGCTGTAACGACAAGGTGAAGACTGAAAAGAAAGGTGTTCCTAGAGAGGAGCGAGAGCTGGAGATTCCCTAGCACCTTGCTAGCTGGCTCAGGGGGAGAGGACGGAGCCGAGGTGAGACATCTCGGTTGTGCAGGTGTTTGGGAAACGGCACGTACCTATTTTCAAGGCCGCGTTAGGAGACAGATCGGCATAGAGGAGATTTTCTGGCTTCAGGTCGCGATGCACCACTCCATTCTCGTGCAAATACTGAAAGGGTTTTTGAGGGAGAGCAGAAAGTTAGCGTCCACGTAAAGACAATGATAATAATAATAAATAATAATAATTTGGTCACTCAATCCACGACTGTTTGTGGGACAATGTTGTACGCAATTGGCTGCCGCGTTTTGCCCACAAACTATTCTGTGAAGCGTTTTGAGACGTCTCCAATATGCGATAAGGCGCTATATCAAAAGCAAGAATTATTATTATTATATCTCCAACTACTGATGTGTGTTTGACGGGATATGCACGCCCTGCCATACTCGTCAGGAATAGTCCGTAAGATCACAATAATAATAATAATAAATAATCTTGCAATTGGTGTAGCACCTATTCAGGTTGAGAGGATGTCCCAAAACACTTCACAGGATTTACTGGGACAAATGTTTTCTGAATTCTCAGTCAGATAGCTTGCTTGGATCTTCACCAATAGATTCTGTCCCGCTCCCAATTAGTTGTTGCTTAGCAATGCTCTAGTTACTGTGCCACCAGAGATCTGGGACAGGAGTAGGGCACTGTGCTCCTATTGAGAGACGCACGGTGCCACGCAGGCACAAATCCAAGCCTTCTGTCTAACACGGAGCTCTCGTAAAAAAGAGTTGAACCCCATTGCTATGTACTGCAGTAAAGCCCACTTGGTACAGTTTGCACTGTCTCATCTACATCTACCCGATCACCTGCAAATAACAACAATAATAATCCTTGCATTTGATACAGCGCCTTATCACGTCTTCAAGACCTCTAAAAGCGCTTCACAAAATATACGGTGAAGTGAATTGCCGTGTATTTTGTGGGCGAAACTTTCACAGTGCTCATGAGTATGGGGGCCCATAGTCAGTGTTTGTGTTGGAGTACATCATTTCCATCACTGCTCAGAGAGCCACGCATGTACTTTATGCCCTGACTATGGAAAATATGTATATCCCAGTTCTCATTTTCCCTCTGGAAACTTATTCCCTCAGTTTCTATTCTCTCACGGACCAACATCTGTCTGGGATTTTTCTGGTCACCTTCTGCCAGAAGGTTAGAGTGAAAAAAAAAGGGGGATTTCTTTGCTCAAAATATCCTCTGAATTATTCTGAATCCATCTTCGAAACATTTGTTCAGAAGACACCTGGTTGGTGTAACAGCAGATGGGGATTATTTCCGGGGATTAGCATCCTCCTGTAGCTCCCACACGCTGGCAACTTTCCGCGAGACATCATTGATCATTAACCCTTTGGTGAGACTACATCAGTTACTCATAGGAACAGGACTAGGCCATTCAAGCCCTCGAGCCTATTTCACCATTTTATTAGATCACGGCTGATCTGTATCTCAACTCCAATTATCCTACTTCGCCCCATATCCCTTGATACCCCGACCTAACAAAATATCCATCTCAGTCTATAAATTCGAATTGATCTGGAATCCACAGCCTTTTTTTGGGTGGTGGGGGGGGGAAAAGAGATTTCCACTACTCCACTAAATTTGGTCACTCAATCCACGACTGACTGTGGGACACTGCTGTGCGCAATTGTCTGCTGCGTTTCACCCACAAAATACACAGTCAGTTCACTTGACAATATAGTCTGTGAAACGCTTTGAGACGGCTCAACGACGCCATAAGGCGCTATATTAAATGCAACAATTATTATTATTATTATTACTCCGATTTAGGTCTGACCAGCGAGCTATCTGTACGACTGCCACAGCACTAATATTAGTATCTTAGATGTCTTAACGGTTTGGTAGCTGCACAGTGGAGGGTTCATACAAAGCTGTGATAAAAGCCACAGAGAGCAAGATTTATACAGAGCAGCACGGTGCTAGATGATGTCTGGGGCGACCAATTGATTTACCAGCAAGTTGCACCACTTCGACAACGCAGGTTTGCGGATGACTGTGCTTTGTTTCGGCCCAGCCGCTTGGAATGAATAAATAGGTTAGTTTCTTTTTTATGAAGTCCCTCGAGTGAGTTGCAGATATCCTCAAATTATACACAATTATATTCAGCGGGAGAGCTGGGGAAACGAACAATGTCATTGCAAGTGCAGAGCAAAGTCACACTAGCGTTGTGTGGGTGGTGCAGCTAGCCTTGATCCAGCAAATTCTATTTAATTTCAAATTAATCAGGGCGCAGGCAGGGGCGATGTGGGGTGGGTTTATATAAGATCTGAGAGGCATCTTTTGCCTGAGATTCGGCTTTCTGAAGCAGCACTTCCCAGGAGGAAGGGACGACTGTGACTAGACTAAGCCCTGAAGTAGGCTTCAAGCCCCATCGCTGCACACGTAGGAAGAGAGAGAAAGAGAGAGAGAGAGCACGGCAAAGGCTAGGCACACAGAGCTCTGTGCTATTTATTGTCAGAGAAGGAAACAGCGGCCTGGAAGGGGAAGGATAAAATGGCTCACTTTCATCTGTCGACGAGTGAAAGATGTTTTCACTTGAAAACAACCATTAAAGTTCCACTTGAAGGACGCTGTTGAAACGCTAGTCTCTCCCACTCACTGACCGATCGCTGCGCGCACTAGTATTTACTGTCCTGGTTTCAGTTAAGTGCCTCACAGCTACAGTCACTGCTTTTGTTTCGCCCACAAAAATACACAGTCAATTCGCTTCACAGTATATTCTGTCAGGCGCATTGAGACGTCTCAACGACGTGATAAGGCACTGTATCAAATGGAAGGATTATTACTATTATTGTACAGTTGGAATTCCTGGTTGGAAACTTAGACTAATCATTTGTAAACCAACAAAGACATCAGGAGCAACAATCTGTGTTTACGTAGGTTGTTCCAAATAGCACACGGGCAGCTCTCTGCATAGGATGGGGGTGGGACTAGGAGGACAGAAACCCAAAGTTCCACCTAGCCTTAGGCTATAAGTTCTTTTTTGTCCTTGCGCTGGTGGTGGAAATTTCTTCAAATGCTTAATGTAAGAACTGCGGGAAAAACAATCAGCCTCTCAACGACTCCTGAATACTGACTTCCAAATTAATTCCGAATGTAAAAACTCTCTCAACATTTCAGCACGATCTTAAATCGGTGCATTTAAGACAAAATGTCAATTCTACCAGCTAAGGCGAGGTAGAATTTCAGGTCCCAGGAGAGGCGTGTGGTGAACGGGAAGTGTAATGTATTGTTGCGCCACATTCCTAGTGTGTTCCTAATTTCAGTGGTGCGGGCAGGGAATCCTCTCAGCCTCCTGTTAACCCTGCAAGCCAAAGCCCTAACGGATAGTGTGGTCCTAGCTGGACAAGCAGCAGGAAAGCTTGGCAGATAATTATAAGAGGACAACAACTTATGTTTACGCAGCACCTTTCGGGGAAAAGAAGGGGGTGGAAGTGCTTTATAAAACGAGATGAGTTAGAAATGATGTAAGCGTCCTCGAGACGTCTCAAAGCGCTTCACAGAATATACTGTCAAGTGAATCGACTTGTGTATTTTGTGGGCGAAACGTATACCTGCTCCCACACACAGGTCAGAGAGTGGGTGAGGGTGGGAATCAAGGAGTGTTGTTAAACTCACCTCCACAGCTTCCAGGATCTGATTGACAGCATGAGCTGCATCCCTCTCACTGTAATATCCCTTCTCTACAATCCTGCGGGTAGAAAGCAGAGCATCCAGCTGCTGAAAAGCAATATAACGACTTCTGTACAGCCTTCGCCGAATACATGTGCTACTGCCAGGAAACTGCTGATCACTTAAAGGCCATTGACTCTCCCATAAGGGAGCGGTGCTTCTCTGCAGGATAAATTTTGGCTTTTACTGTACAGGTTGTCTGTCCACAAGATCTTGTTACCTCTCCATGTTTGTTTTCTACACTGCACTGGACCAACGACTGAAGCATAAAATATATAATAATACTTGCATTTGACAATCTATCACATTCAACACATATATAACATACAGAAGAATTATGAAAATTGTATTTCAAAGTACTTCCTTGTATTCAGTACAAGTGTTTAGCTGCATTTAGATGTCCAGAGGAGCGGTGTGTGTATGTGTGCGTGTGAGCGCCATCAGCTCCTCCGTAGTCTTGTAACGGGGGGAGGGTGGTGGTAAGAGGACTTTACGGACACCCTCTACTTCACTCTTAATAACATTCAGCACAGTACACAGCCAGGGCTGAAGATAATCCGGTCTTCAGCAGCCGACGAAGGGAATGCGAGAGACAAATAGATAAGAGAGAGAGAGAGAGACACAGACAAACAGACAGCCAGGCAGAGAGATGGAGAGGAGGGCAGTCTAGTATAACTGTGGATCACCTCCTCCCTCCTCCTTTCTGCGGTTCTATTTCTGTTCCGTTATGTTTCATTTATAATAAAATCTGAAACCAGGAAGCGAATTTTACAGGAAGCAGCAATGGCTTATTATAGGGCAGAACCTCAGCTCTGTCACCTTGATCGCAAAGACCCACATACAACAACACATTACACTCACGCAGCATTTCACGACGGGAGGACGTCCCAAAGCCCTGGGTTTGGGATCAGGAGGGATGGAGGGCAGGGGTAGGAGGATGGTCGAAGGGGAGCGTCTTGAGACGTGTCCTGAAGGAGGTAAGGGAGGGTGCCGGGCGAAGGGAATGTGGGATGGAGTTACAAGGGGTGGGGGGGGGGGGTAGAGGCTGAGTGTTTAACGCACCTGTCAAACAGTTCCCCACCCGTCACCAGCTCCAGAACCAGTATGATCACCGCCGGGGTCTCGAAGATCTCCTTTAGCTTAATCTACAAGAGAACAAACCGGCAGTTAGTTTGCATTTTTTTTTAAAAAAAATTACTTTTTAATTTTTTTAATCTCAGTTCCTCCCCTCCCAGGCCTGCTTCAAGCCCACCCTCCCTCCCTGCCCTCACCACCGACTTGCAAGCTTTCAGCCACTTTCCCATCCCCCCCCATCCCCGCTCGTCAATCCAGTGGATTTATAATAATAATAATCCTTGCATTTGACACAGCGCCTTATCACTTTGTTGAGACGTCTCAAAGGGCTTCATAGGATACACTGTAAAGTGGAGTGACTGTGTGTTTTGTGGGGTGATTTGACGATGCGGTGGAGGTTTGATGGGACTTACAATATTAGGGTGAGAAAGCCGCAGCAAAACTCCAATTTCCGTCCTCACGATCTTCTTATCGATCTGAAATAATTGACGGGAGGATTTTTTCAATCACGCTGAACAAACACCAGGACTGCGGTAACCAAGTTAACACAGGGAGCAAACAGAACGTCTCGGTGGGAAGAGGGTTGGTGTGACATTTCTGAGCATTAGTGAAGATGTGCTTCCTGCATCAACAGACTCCTCTCAAACAGCTGTGTACAGAAATAGGAGGAGGTCATTCAGCCCCTCGAGCCTGTTCCACCATTCTATAAGATCATGGCTGATCTGTACCTCAAGTCCAATTACCCGCCCTTGTTCCTTATCCCTTAATACCCTGCCCTTACAAGTATCTATCCAAACACAGAGACCAGCTGTGTACTGTACGTACACAAGGTCTGTACGGTATGTACACATTACGTACACTGTTGTCCTGTGGCTGCTACGTCTACTCCACAGTTAGGGTTTTGCTCTTACCGTTTTCTGGAGGATTTTGGCAGCGTAGGGTTTCTGGGTTTGCTTTTCCTGACATCTGTACACAACAGATGTGGCCCCCCTGTGTGTGTGTGAGAGAGAGAGAGAGAGAGAGAGCAACGCCAGAAAGAGTTAGAAGAGCTCACAGTCCCTTTACCTGACCCCTTCCGTTCACAGCGCTTTCGGTACAACAACAACTTGCACTTATATAGCACCCTCTACTGAGGGTAGCGTTTCAGAGCGCTTAACAGTGGCGGAGCCTGACTCCGAAACTGGTTGGGGAGTGGGAGGAGGGGCGGAGGGGAAGGTGTCCGTAAACACGGTCGAAGAGGAAGGTCTTCAGGCAGGATTTGAAAAATGGGAGAGGGGGGGGAGAGGGGGGTGCGAGGCGGAGGGATTGAGGGAGAGCGTTCCAGAGTTTCGGGGCGCAGTGGCTGAGAGCGCGACTTCCAATGGTGGGGCGGAGGATGCGAGGGACGCAGGTGGTGGAGTGGGGAATCAGCAGGTCGGAGAGGATCTACAATGATGGTTCCAATCTCTACGCCGTTTCCTACTTCCAGTTTGAGCAGTTGGAACAAGTGGCAAAATCTTTATTCATTTTTACACTGGAATGGTCATGTGATGAGCCTCTCTTTAAAATTGGGTCAAGCAGAGAAATAAAGGCACAACATTGCGTTAAACCAGTGAGAGATAGAAGATGAGAGAAAGGGATATATATATATATAGAGAGAGAGAGAGAGAGAGTGAGAGAGAAAGGGAGGAGAGCAAGAGAGAGACGCTGATAAATAATTGTAGGTATCGGAAGGGAGAGCAAGGGATGGAGATTGAGTGAGAAAAAATGGATGGAGAACGACAAAGGAATTGATAGAGTGATGGATATAGGGAGATCGGTGAATAACAATAATAATAACCCTTGCATTTGACATAACGTCTTATCACATCATTGAGACGTCTCAAACCCCATCACGGAACAAAGTAAATTGACGGTATTTTGTGGGCGAAATGCAGCAGCCAACTGCGCACGGCTGCGTCCCCCAAGCACTCCCGTCCTCTCGCTTGCGAGCCGAGTGCGACTGGAGAGAAAGATATATACACAGAGAGAGTGAATGGAAGAGTAAAGGGATGGAGAAAGTGAGTAGAGGAGGAGAGAGGGACAGAGAGAGAGAGAGAGGGAGAGAGAAGCAGAGAGATAGACTATGAGGAACGAGACATCTGCCAAGCATTACTGTAGCAAGGAATCAAAGAAATGTCAGGTGAGTGGGGGCCGGGAGATGCATTCAGCCACCTCTCCTCTCGTGTCCAGCCCCGGTATAAACAAAGCAGCTGCAGATACTGATTATTTACAGTGACTGATTAGTTTTTGGCTGCTGGGCTCAGCGGGGTTCAGTAATCAGAATTTTGATTTAGTCGCAGTATTATCCATAAGCAGATTTCACCGTGATGTAGCCCAGACGATTCAGCCCTAACCGCCCGCCTTAGAATGGAAAAGGACGAGAATTAACGGCGAGGTTAAAGCAGGCTTTGCTGCGAGAAAGTGCTCACGTCTTGCCCTGTGCCGAGAGAGCGCTTTCTCCTGCGCTGTCCACAAAAGCGTCAGAAGATAACCCAACAGTTACGCATGTCGCAAGTGAATTTGCGCTTCACCGAGTTAGACCCGGACTCGCCGTTCAAACTGATGTATCTTAGCACTCGAAACCCATCTCCTCGATCGCGCCTTTGCTCACCTCCCACTAATTCTCTCTCCTCTCGCGCTTGTTGCCCATTGCCTCTATGGAGCACTTGGTCGACATTCATCCCTACGTAAGTGTGACAACAACAACTTGCATATACACAGCGCTCTCCTCGCTCGGGGGTAGCGTCCCAGAGCGCTTGACGGTGGCGTAGCCCGGCGCCCGGCTGGGGGGGAAGTGACCTTAGGCAAGGTCGAAGAGGAAGGTCTTCAGGCGCGATCCGAAGATGAGGAAGGAAGGGGCAAGGCGGAGGGATAGAGGAAGAGCGTTCCAGAGTTTAACTAAATGCAGTTAAACACTTGTACTGAATACAATCAAGTACTTGTAAATACAATTATCATCATTCTTCCACACGTTTCAGTTGTTGGTCAGTGCGCTGTAGAAACAAGAACATGGGTTGGGTGGGGGGGGGGTAACAGGACTTTGTGAACACCCTGTAAATAAGAGGTTAAACGTGTTGTGACTCCTGCAACTGTGGTTCCGCCTGTTGCTGGTGGCCGGGAATCTGCTGTTTCCAATTATTACATTCTCTTAATGACTCTGTGCAACCCACAGATTGTTTGATTAGCTTTCGATCTGCTCCAGTGACCAAAGGTAGTTTTGCTCGTTCGACCTCAAGTGCTGCGAGACGCCGCCCGGAGTGAAGGGCGCTGTATAAATGCAATTGTTGTCGGATTGTCCGTCTCCCTATTTTCTCTCCGACCTTTACCGTTGCTCAATCCGTGCTCTCAGTATTTAAAATCTAATCTGCGCAGAAACCCGAGAGGGCTGCGAAATGGAAACGAAAGCCAAAAGGATTGAATCCTAATGAGGTTATTTTTTTTCCCTGGACCGAAACCCGATGCTAATTTGCAAAGTTTAATATAATTTCTCCGGGAAAACAGATGCCTCTGATTGTTGCTGTTTTGCAGTCACATCGCGTGAGAGTGCCCTGCACCCTGACTCTGTCCGCTGAAAGCAAATGGCCTGTCGGTATATAAGTAGCGGAGCAATATTCGGTTGAAGGTCGTTAGCAGCCTGAGGTGCTCTGCGTTGCTGATGCTAATCGCCAAATAACATCATTTTGATGCACTTATGATCAATCAGTGAGAGTTTACAAAGAAGTCAGGAGCTAGTCCTGCAGGGAGGCAAGGCAGGCAGAACGCTGGCACAAAAGAGCCACGGCTAATCGTTTGCTGTGAAGTCAAGCCTCTGTGGCAGTCTTGGTAGTCCGAGTCCTGAGCTTGGTGGGTCTGCAGTATTCCAGGGCACCAGTGCTGATTGATCATTGGCAGGACTTGGAGAGGCTGACTGGGAGCAGGGATTCTTCTCACTCAGCTCCCGTTAACTCTGCAAGTCAAAGCCCTAATGGGTAGTGTGGTCCCAGCTGGACAAGCAGCGGGAAGCTTGCCAGACAGCGCTCTCAATGGCAAGCTACACGCTATTAGCTGCTTAAGACTCCAGCGGTTACCCTCAATGGGCACTCCGGAGTCCTCAAGCCTTGGCTATTGCTAGCCTGTGGCTAATACTCTTCGGAATTAAGTAAAACAGGGTGTATCGCTCTCGGGAGAGAGCACACAGTGCACATCAATTCAGACACAGGGAAATTTCTATGTCAGAGTGGTGTACATATGTGTAACTCTCAGTCTGGTTTGGATGGCATGGTGATGGGTTTCCGCTAGAAACCCAGCTGACCAAATGTTATAAATAACTGCACTTCTCCATTCACACCTGAGTGTAAATGAAATTCTGCTCAGTCTTATCCTGTAAGACCAATTTAGAAGCATAGAAACAGGAATAGGCTCTTCACCCCTTGAGCCTGTTCCGCCATTTTATAAGATCATGGCTGGTCTGCAACTCAAATCCAATTACCCGCCTTAAATCCAGTCTTAATTTGGAAGACAGTTTCTTTTTTTAGGAACTGCTCCCAGTTGAACCTACATTTTTCACTGTTCCACGTGATCTTAAATGTTAAAGACAAAATAATCTTACAGGTTGAGGCTGAGAATTCTGGGCAGTGGTGATTTTTTTCTGAAGAGAAAACGACCTCTTTGCTTGTGCCTCTGATCATCTCTCTCTTCTATCTCCTCATCCATGGGGATTTAAGGGAAGCTCACGAGAGCTGACTTACTCTCTGTGTGATCTTTAACCACTGAAGCCATTAAATCGCAGTGAAGCAGGAGAGAGCTAGTCTTCAATCCAGGATTCAGAGGCAATGCTGAGGTCAGCAACCTCAAAAACACACCGCTGCCCAGTGCTGCATTGGAGAATCAATCGCACTGTGAGCTCAAGTCCTTAACGTGGGGCCACACGTCAACAAAAGCAGAAGATGAACAGGAGCAATAATCCTGGAGAAATGTGGTAGGATTACAGATGCAATTAAGCTTGCACTTCGGGTAAGCACTAGATTTAAATGTAGAACGGGGCAGGCTCGAGCCACCATATCAGCAGGTTAGGTGCCAAGTTGCCTTCACTAATTCATGTCACATCACACACAGCAGCTGGTTTGCTGCACGTTTCAATCTACAATCTGAGCTGAGAAATTCCTCCATTTCGTACAACAGTTACACGGTACCCGGCAGGCAACGGCATGCTTTGGTTCAGGAGTTTTGTCTCAGAGATCTGGGAAATCCACAGCAGTTGTGCTGTAGGTGCAGAGAGACACATTATAATAATAATCCTACATTAATAATAATACCCTGCATTTGATATAATGATAATCCTTGCATTTGAAATAATAATAATAATCCTTCCATTTGATATAGCGCCTTATCACGTCGTTTAGACATCTCAAAGCTCTTCACCGAATATATTGTAAAGTGGACTGACTGTATTTTGTGGGTGAAACGCGGGTTCCAATTGCGCACAGCCGTGTGCCACAAACGGGACCCAACAAAATAAAGATAGACCGAAAAAAGGTGTAGCTCGTTGGCTCTGTGCAAGGGGCTTGGCGGGAGATGTTTAACTGTGGACAGAACAGGAGAGGAAAGGAGAGCTGCAAATGAGGACAAGGCAGGAATTTGATTCAGGGCTTCAGAGGACATCATAAACCTAAAGAGAACAAGCCAAGTCGTTCACCATCATCTGAACCCGAAGCTGAGATTCTACCCCGAAAGCTCTTGCGAGTTATAAATATTTACACCTCTGTTCTCTGAGCCATGCGTTTACTGTGTTTAGAGGCTTGTTATTGTCAGACGCTCGCTCATGCATGGACTGTAACACAATCAGTGCATGAATACAAATAATGTAAATATACACACTTACAAACTGTGTACAATGTGTACACACACATATACAGACTTACAATGTGTGTGTACTATAATAATAATAATCCTTGCGTTTGATATCGCGCCTTATCACGTCGTTGAGAATATACTGTAAAGCGACTCTAAATTTTGTGGGCGAAAAGTGGCAGCCAATTGCGCGCAGCAGTGTCCCACAAACAGTCTTGGATTGAGTGAACAAATTATTATTATTATTTTTTGAAGGAATTATTACCCTTAGAAAAGTGATCCGTCAATCAACTAACAATCGGGTTCCTACTTACTGCTAGGCAAACAGAAGTGTGTGGACTCAAACCTGGGTCCTCTCACTTGCGAGGCGAGCGTGCTAACCAATATGCTAAAGGACTCCACCACGTACAGACTGTGCAACCATTTGTATACCACTTACATGCTGTATCACATATGCACACACATCATTTAAAATATGCGCATACACCAAGTGAAGACTGTACAACGTGTCCAAACCACAAACAGACTTGATGCAATGTGGAAACAGCACTTACACGCTGCATGCCAATCTCTGGAGCTATTATATGGCAAAGCCCACATTTCCGAATGCTTTTCACAAATGGGCTGAGAGCAGCTTAGGTTTGAGGAACTCTGTGTCCTCCACTATAAATAACTTGGTCAGAAAGTAATCTCTATTCAAATCGTTCATCAGACAGCTGATACAGAAGCCAGAAGCTCATCGCATGACCATTACCAGGGCTAAGGTCCGTTTGGTTCAGAAAGCCATGCAGCTCCCATCCTTCTATTGATATTCATTTACAACGAGGAAGAGAAATGCCTGACAATTGTTAACAATTGCTCAAGTGAAACTGTAGAATATTACCGGTTTGATTGTGAAATGCAGAGGCTGGGAGTGTTTCACAGACGTTGGTACGTGGCTGGATTTTATTGTCAGCTTCTCACTCTGGGTTTCCACCCAGAGGCTTCAAAATTGCTCCTCGTCACAGCCTGTTGGACCTATTTTGTCTAAACAGGCCAAGACAAGGTCAACGACTGTGAATTTCCTACAAACATTGGTGTCGTCAGTTCTCCTCCCCTAAACCCTGCCCCCAAACCCTACATTATAGGTGCTATCGCAGGTGCAAGGGTTACATCTCTCGTATGTGGCAAACTTGTCAAATTTACCATTCATTCCCTTCAAGAAGTAACTAACTGGGGTCTTATAAAATAAAAGTCTGATCCCAATCTGGCTGAAGACAATCCTGCAGGGAATAAAGAAATAAAATAAAGTGGCCCAAGTCCCAACCAACTCCAATTTGACAACCAATTGCCCACACAGTTAGTTCACGAAGTGGAGAGAGAGAGAGAGAGAGAGAGAAAACTCTTCACAGGATTCAACAGGGTCAATGTATGTGCTTTCTGAGCAGAATCCACAAGGGGGCAACCGACTTTGACAGCAAGTCACTTGCAAGTTTTCCAATGCCAATACTGCAACGCAGGTTCCAGTGCTACTGTTTCATCTCCAGTGAAATCTAGGTTCATTCGTCAGTGGAAGAATAAGAGACCAATGGAACTGCGGTACTTTCAGTCTTTCAGCCAACAGCATCTTACGAGCTTGTTCTGAGTTGCTAGGTACTAACCTGAACCCTCTATTGCTCTGATGTGTCATATCCCTGACCGCCCAGCGCCTTGGGACGTCCTCCCCACGCGAAAAGGCGCTATACAAATCTAATTTTGTTTTGTAGTGTAAGGAACCCAGAAGACAGTGAGGAATTGCAAATATTATGATCCCGTTCATAGAAATAATAGAAATTACTGCTCAAGAAAGAGACTGTTCAACATAAAATCCTTAACACTAATCGTTTTACATAATACTGTTGTCAGCGTGGTTCAGTTGGTAGCACTCTTGCCAGAGATTGTGGGTTCCAAATCCTGTGCCAGGACTTTTGAGCTCATAATCTAGGATAATACTTCAGTGCTGGATGCTTATTGTTCGACATTTTGGCTAAACACACATGGGATGTTGGTGCTATTTGGCTACAAAACACACAGTCACTCCCCTTTACAGAAACTCCTGCAATAACTTAGAGCCATAAAAGGAACTGTATCAAATGGAAGGATTATTCTTCTTAGAAAAGAGAAGAGAGTTTTCCTTTGTATATGGGCCAACAAATTCTCTGAGCTTTAAAAAGTTTTTCTCGTTCTTTAGTCAATCATTGTGGGACGTTGCTGTATATACAAATTGGCTGATGTGTTTGCATAGAAAATACAGTCATTTCCTTACAGAACAATTCCCACACGCTCTCAACGCAATAAAGCATTACATGAAATGCAAATATTATTCTTATTCACTGCATAAATACAATAATAAACAAAACAATCTTTGCATTCGAAACAAGCGCCTTTCACATCGAGAGGACGTCTCACAGCACTGTGTGCATGCTTGAATGAGTTGAGAGCAGAATTTCGAAAAAATCCACACTAGCGAAACTTCAAAGTACAAGACAAGAACTGTGGTGGCAGGGCTGTGCGCGCGCGTCTGTGTGTGTGTGCGCGCTCGTAAGTGTGTTCGCACACATGTCCAGCGGAGCCCTGTCAGGTCAGATATTGATTGAAGCGAACTCGATTGCATTGTTGCTCAGCAGCAGATTATATACACCTATAAATCAGAACATTGGCACCGATTTGCAATGTGATGTTAACAGAGGTGTGATATTATCAGAGAAGTGTGACAAATGACATGAGTGATAAGTGACAGTCTGACAGCCCATCGCACCTGTTTGCAAGTCAGAGACACACACCAGAGAGGGGTGATTATCTCTCCTAGTGAGATCTCGTACTGATGCATAAATGACACGTATAATAATAATTCTTGCATTTGATATAGCAACTTATTGAGACGTCTCGAAGCGCTTCACAGAATATACTGTAGATTGACTTGACGGTATATTTTGGGGGCTAAATGACACACATGATCGGTCAATGTAATTGCATCTGTCGAATGTCTTTTTCCTCATCGCACCGTCCTTTTATTAATAAACTTTCCTGAGCAGTTGCTGAACACAGGAAATGTAACAAGCAAATAATTCCGCTGACAAAACGGTTCGGAGGCTTCGAATCCCGCAGCTGAAAAATGACCTTAACTATCCCTTAAACGAAAAGAGAAAGTGCACGGTTACCCGAGAGCACAACTCCAGCCTGAGACAGGCTGGTGAAAGGGTCCACCGCAAGCTTACACCCACATTTAAAAAAAAATTGTGTCTGCATTAGAAGGTTACCTTCCCAATTCCTGCCCCACTGTGTAGTAGTCTTCATAGGTGATGTCTCTGTGGGATCCATCGATCCAATAACTGCAGTTTGCTCCAGACCTGGATGCTGGCATGATGACCAGAGAAGAGATATGGTACACCTCTCTGCCCATCCACCCACCCACAGCCTTATCTGATCCCCTTGTAAACCTTGTGCAACAGCAGCAAAGAGATAATGATTATTCTTGGCTGTTATTTTTTTTCCTCTCCTCTCTCTCTCCCTCTCTCTCTATCTCTGACTTTTTCTTGGAAGCCTCAAATAAGATGTCGAGACACATGTAATGTGCATGTATGTGCATGTATGTGTGTGTGTGTGTACGTGTGCACCAGCGGGGATCCTTGCATGCAATGGTCAGCTGCGATGTGGGTGAGTTAGAGCATCCTCTCCCCTCTCCTCTCCCCTCTCCCCTCCTCCTCCCACACCCCATCCACTCTCTGCATTGAACGCCTCCACCTGCGCTCTTTGTGCTGCGAGAGCGAAGTCCCGCCTCCCCCCCCACCCACTCCCGGCGCCGATTGGTCCGCGCCGGGACAGGTCGCGCCTCCGATTGGCCACTTGGCCCCGTCCGTCAATCGCGGGGTCCATGGCAACTGCATCCCTGATTGACAGCTCCCCCCCAACCCCTGGTCCCTCGGATGGTGATGCTCCAGTTGGCCACCAGTGTCCAGTGGTACCCATGTACCTGGGTAGCTCTCTCTCTCTCTCTGTGGCTCTGTGTGTGTGTGGGTGGGTGTGTGTGTGTGTGGGGGGTGTGTGGGTGGGTGGAGGGGTGGGGGCGTGTGTGGCAGTTATCGTGGAGTCCTGTCGCTCAGTGGTGAGAGCACTCGCTTTGCAAGCGAGAGACCCGAGTTGCAATTCCCGGCAGGTCGGGGCGAAACCTCGGGCAAGTTTCCTTACTCCACACACAGAGCCCTAATAATAATCCCTCCGAAAACCCCAAAACAATAATAAATCGGTCGTTTTCAATCCATGACTGTCTGTGGGACATTGCTGTGGGCAATTGGCGGCCGCGTTCGCCCACAAATATACAGTCAATTCACTTTACAGTGTGTTCTGTGAAGCGCTTTGGGACGTCCTCCTGACGCGAAAAGCGCTATATCAAATGCAAGGATTATTATTATTATTATTATTATTATTATTGCAGCAACCACTCATAAAATAAGAGCAGATTATTGCAACCAGTCCCCACCCGCCTACCCACCACCCCCCCCCCCCACCTCTCCCTCTCCTCCACCCACTCGTCGAAGGGTTCTGAGTGCAGTTTTACGCCACCACCGCCGATAATAACCCTCGCGTTGGGTACGGCCCCCCGTCGCATTCCGAAGGACGTCTCAAAGCGCTTCGCGGGATTTACAGTGACATGCAGCGACTGGGTATTTTGCAGCCAGGCAAACGCGGCAGTGCAATTTGCGCGCAGAGAGGTCCCACCGACAGCCGTTAGAAACGTTAGAAACCAATTTTAATTTAGGGGATTGTTGGCCAGGACACCCTCCTGTTTTCGAACAGTGCCGTGGCACCTTTAATGTCCAGCTGAACAGGCAGACGGGACCTCGGTTGAACATCCCATAGATACAAATATCGTCCAGAGCAAAGTGCTGTAATGTGATGGGATAGTTATTTTTTGAGACGTATTAACTTCCTTCCAACTCTCTCCCTCCTCCCCTGAAGGCACTGGTGTCATGCTGCAATGTAACTGCCTTACCCTTATAATAGCAGAGAAGATTTGGACATACCTCGCTCACCTCCCTGTGGCGAGGACACCTTGGCAGTTCTGAGTGCCAGGCAAGTGGGCATAGGCTAATCCATTTACCAATCCAGATAGGATGGTGTTTGAAATATAAATATGAACAGTTTTTTTTTGTAACGTAGAAATCAGGATTACAGTTTCACGTTTAGTCCCACATTCTACTATCTTTTTTTAAAGTTCATCTTCGTCTGAAGAGGTTATACTCGTTCACAAAAAATTGACAATTAAAATCAAATCGTAGTTCTTTTGTGCAAATTATAAAGAGGATAATACTTTGTCACAGAAGGGCTGTAATATTTTCTGCAGGGGTAAGATATAAAAAGAAGTAGCTGAAGATGGAAGCAGAGGAACAGATGTGTTGCTAATCACAAGTGAGCAGCAAATTGTGGTTTTTGGGAAACCCATCATCGTGCTTAATAGCGTCCAAACCAGACTGAGCATTCCACATATGTGTGTTAATGTAACCAGTCCACATTTGTGAGGCAGGTGAGCAGCTGGTCAGTGCAAGCAATGTCCCAGTTTGGAGCTGTGGCCTCTGTGTTTACAGAAAAATCATTCTTTTTTTAAAAAAATAGACGCAGTAAACACAAGTGTCTCATCCACATTTTAATTCTTTTAACTCTGTTAACTCTGCGTACACCCAAGTGGTAGCCACAAGTGACGTTCGTTACAAAGGCACCGTAAAAATAATAATAATAATAACCTTTGCATTTGATACAGTGCTTTATCATGTCATCGAGATGTCTCAAAGCGCTTCACGGAATATACTGTAAAGTGGATTGACTGTATATTTTTAACATTGTAATGCCATGACAGCATTCGATTTGATATCCTTAAAACTCGCAAGTATAAAAATGGCTTGCATGTTCAGGTGCAAAAATAGTGTGCTTCACAGATCCAGACATTCTGTGAGTCTGTGACAAGCAATTAAAGTTCTGCAACTTGGCAAATATTAGTGAGAGGCGGGTGCCGGAAAGCACAGGTCTGAGGTTAGTAAGATGGGATGGAATCGAACCGGGCTCAGCCCACACCTACAGCCCGAGAAATCTCCCCGTTAGCGGTCCGAGCGAGAGAGAGGGCAGGACTCTCTGCCCTCCGGCATCTCACCCATCAGCCTCAGCAGTGACACATGGTGAGTGGGCGTGTAACAGGCTCTCCTGCTGATACATATCCAATCTGCTTCCACCTCCGCACATCCCTGCCATATCCGACACCTCTGCTTTGTGCTAAAAAGCATTTAGTTAAAGCCGGCAGGCTCCTGATAGGTAGTAAGGTCAGCATTTCTCCTCCCTCCTGCGTTGAATGGGATCAATGCGATTTGAGATGTTAAACCGAGGTCCCGTCCTCCTGTTCAGGTGGACGTTATAGATCCGCGGCGCTATTCAAAAAGAGAAGGAAGTTTCTCTCTCTCCTGATCTCCTGCACAACAATCCCCAAATAAAATTGCTCACTCAATCCATGGCTGTTTATGGGACTTTGAAGTTGGCTGCTGCATTTTTGCCCATAAAATATAGAGTCAAACCACTTTGCAGTATATCCTGTGAAGCGATTTGAGGATGATAAGGTGCTGTCTCAAATGCAAAGATTATTATTATTATTCAGTGCACACGACTGAAGATTTACAGTACAATAGACAGCAGTTTCAGTCCAGGCTTCTTGCTGTTGTCTTGAATGACAGAGTTAAAATACATAATTTTGATTTAATTGAACTTTTCCAATGGACATCTTTTGTCTTTTTTTGGATTATCACAAGACTCTTAGTTTAAAAATAGCCTCTCCACCGGGATTATGAATTACTGCTTGTTAGAACACTGATGACATCTTCTGCTACAAATTGGATCTTAGGGACTTTGATATTCTGGAATCACCATCACAAGTAATTTAAGAAGATGATTTTAATGAATTTTAAAAGGAGGAACATGGCCAACGCCTGTGATTTATACTGAGACCAGGCCAATGAATTAGTAATTACACCGCTCTTTGGACCGTACTTTCGAAATGTCTTTGTTACTACTCACATCTGCTTCTCCTTCACCTCCATGGCCTCTCCCCCCACTGCTCTGCAACCTCCTAACCCCCTACCAACCTGCCTGCTCCCTCCACTCAATGGGTTCCGTCCTACTTCATGTCCCCCTGCCTCGCCCGCCCCACCATTGCAGGGAGGGCGGGCGAGCCTTCAGCCACTCTGACCCCACCCTCTGGAACGCCATCCCGCAGTCCCTCCGCCTCGCCCCCCTCCCTCCTTGAAGACCCATCTCAAGACCCTCTTCTTCGACCGTGCCTTCGATCTCCGTCTTTCCCCCCACTGCTTTCCACCCACCCCGATCCCGACCCCAGCTCGGGTCCGAAACACTAATTGGCCAGCGCCTTAGGACGTCTTCCCGACATGAAAGGCGCTACACAAATGTAATTTTGTTGTTGTTGTTCTAGCTAATTTGTTGGCTTGCTTAGTTGGCCACTGTTGTGATGTGCCCTTGCCTAGACAAGCACTCCTGGGTGCTGCCTTGTGTGAAGGGCACTATATAAATGCAAGTTTTTGTTGCCGTTGGTATGGTCAGTGGTTGTGCTGATGCATAGCTCAGGGATTATACGCCATGGATTTGTGAAAAAATAAATATCTTGGGGTCAGCCGGTGACGTCGAGAAGACGTCCTAAGGCGCTGATACCGGGGGAAACCCATCACCGTTGTTTAAGAGTCTCTAAACCGAACTGAGAATTCCAGGCATCCCACCTACACGTGGAAATCCCAGGGGTGGATTGTTGGACTGGAACGCACTCTCTCTCTCCCTTGAGGGATGCATCCTGCTTACTTTATGGATTTGTGAAACATGTATAAAGTTGACGGCAGCACCCCTTGTTGGAACTGAAAGAAGATAATAATAATAATAATAATAATCCTTGCATTTGACATCTCAAAGCGCTTCACAGGATATACTGTAAAACGATTTGACTGTATATTTGTGGGCGAAATGCATAATAGCGCCTTTATCATATTTTCGGGACATCTCAAAGCGCTTCACGGAATACTATAAAGTGTAATGACTGCATATTTCGTGGATGAATACCATTGGAATGACAAGACTGTTGGAAACAAGCTATGTTAATGGATAAACTCCAGAGTTTAATTCATAGGCTAATAAATCAGCCCTTCCATTAAATTCCATACAATGCCACGTTACAGCCACACACTTCACATAGCTATTTCCGCAGTCATTTCACTACCAGGTACACTGATCTCTGACAGTGTCTTGCAAATCCGAAAGTAAAAAAAATATTAGTGCAAGTCATATACCACTGGAATCGTAAGTGATTAACAACACCTTGTAGCATAATAACCTGACAGCGATAAGTAATGGAACATAAAGTACAGAACAAGCCTGATCCTTCTACAGACCCTGCAATCTGTTCGTCATTTAGAACTCTTCAGCACAACCCGTTTAGTTTTTGTTGTTGTCGTATTCATTTCCGGGGAGCTTCTCCCTCTGCCCGCAGTCTCTTGGTGCCAGCCATTCATCTCCTGTGGAGTGTTTGATCAACTCGTACTTCTCCAACTATCTAGCCGTTCGTGTGTCTGTCCCACCTCTCCGTCACCCACTGACCAGCGATTGCCTCTCGCCACATCTCTCCATTATTACCCACTGGTCTAGCTGCCTGCGCAGACAGTTACGCATTTCATTCCCTTTTCCGATTCGCACCATCGGTTTCTGAAAAGAGAAATGTTCTTTGAGGCCCAGTTTAAGACTTTCCGACTTGCCGAACGGCAATTAAGTTTGGAACCATTTCCACCAGTGGCCTGCCCCGCCAGTAGGACACATTAATCCCTGTTCCACGTTAGTCCATGGATTTCACTAACTGTTGCCAATGAAGTTGCAAATTGTTTAATAGCTCCTTCAGCCTCCTTGGCCCAGGCTTCTTAGGATTTCGAACTATTTCAGACGTTTTATTTGATTTGCAGCATCCTTCCTGCCAACAGAGGTCACTGTTAATAACATCTTCTTGTCGAACTTGTTTCATCTGCGCATACTCAGCACATACGGAGCAATATCCCGCTCTCTCTCTCTCTCTCTCTCTTTCTCTCTCTCTTTCTCCCAGACCCAGCTGAGGGGTACCAAGATACCGAGCGCCAGACATGGGGGGTGGCAAATAAAATGTGCTTCACAAAAACACTTCGCAAAACTCTGCATAAGTGCTCTGAGACACTGCCCTGCATCTAAAAGTAACCATTGGTTACTAATTGCTGTGTGTGACCATTGACTGTGTACAAGTGCAACGAGGTGAGGGTAGAACGACGAGAGGGTTCCCTTCTGAGTGAGCACGGATTGAATTACTAGCTGTGAACGTCAGGTGTGGGTCTTGTTGCCTAAAGCCTTGCCCACAATGTGGTGGCGATCATAATAATTATCATAATAATAATCCTTGCGTTAGTCTTGCTCTCTCCCTTGCCTCCTTCAAAGCGTCGTCTCAAGACCCTTCTTCTCGACCTCGCATTCAGCCACTCTCCTTCCTTCCCCCACCCACCCTGCCCTCCACCCACCCCGCACTCCACCCTTCCTGATCCCAAGCCCCTGCTCAGGTCCAAATCCCTGACTGTCCAGCGCCTTGGGCCGTCCTCCCGACCTGAAAGGCGCTTTGCGAAAGGTAATTTGCTGCTGTTGTTTGATACAGCGCCTTATCGCGCCGTCGCGAGGTCTCAAGGAATGTAACTGTAAAGTGAATATTGACTACGAATTTCGAGGGCGAAATACCTACCATGACCGAGGCTGTGTTTCTGCGCAGTTGGAGCAGGCTGTCCTGTGCACCTCTGGCCAACTCGCTGACATTTTTTAGCTTCGTCGTTTTCCATAAAATATCACAAACCTTTTTTTGTGATATTTAAAAAAAATGAAGCAAGATGGTGAGCTCACTTAAACTCTCCCGAGTCAGAACCCAGACACGCTAATAAAATAATAATGAAATTAACTAATAATATGTCCTGCTCTTTCTACTTCTGAGTCAGCATCCATTAACCCCCACCCCCCCACTCCACCTCTTTCTTTCTCTCTCTCTCTCCCTCCCTCCCTCAATTAATCCCCAGCTCTTTAAACAGAGAACGATTAAAGTCTTATGTACTCCCATGATCATGCAGTCAATCGATCTGAGGCTTATGCTTTTTGTGCCTATCCTTTTGCGGCTTGGTGGTGGTGGTGGTGGTGGTGGTGATGGTGTGGAGTGTGGGGAAGGGGTGGGTGGGGGGGAGGAATGCTTTTTGTGCCCATCCTCAGCTTCGAGTTGAGCTGGCTGCAAGGCGACCTGCTTGGCAATGTGTGGTGGTCTCGGTAGTCCGGTTCCTGAGCCAGGCGGGTCCTCAGTACTCAAGCTGAGTGAGCGCTTTTGCAAAGCGGAAGCCAATCGATCGGTCACAGGGTTAAATAACATATTTTAAAAAAACTTTGCATTTGACATAGCGCCTTATCACGTCGTCGAGACGTCTCAAAGTGCTTCAAGGGATATACTGTGTGTTTTGCGGGCGAAACTTGGCAGACAGTTTTCTGCACAAAGCAATGTCCCACAAACAGCCATGGATTGAGTGACCAATTGTTGGCCAGGACACCGGGAGAGAGAAACTCTCTTTTCTTTACGAACAGTGACCTGGGATCTTTAACGTCAACCTAAACAGGCAGACGGGACTTCGGTTTAACATCTCATCTGAAGTTCGGCACCTCTGACATTTAACCCCATCTCCCCAGCAGAACTGCATTGGAGCGTCAGCGTAGACTATGTGATTCCAAGTCCCGACATGGGGCTTGAACCCACAGCCTTCAGCCTCAGAAGTGGACCACCGAGTCAGGTTACAGGGAGTCTATATGGGTTTCTCCTCACCCCAATCTCAATCCTTCTCCTGGATCAAAATCTTGAACATTCAATTCTTTTTTTTACAGATATGATGAGTTTTCGGAAGAGCCATTAAGTTGTTTACATACCAGAGCCATGACCTGAGGGGGGTTGAGGGCTTTGTTCCGGATTCTGGACTTGACTTTATTATTCTAGAGGAAATAGGAAGAAATCTGCTGAATCCATACTGCGTGTAGCGGTCACATTGGCTGCTGTTGGGATGTCTCCTGGGAGACACACAGATAGCTGGGTCTGAACTGTAAGAGGAGGGATGAGGGTTCTGGAGGGTGGAGTGAAGTGACAATGGAGTACAAGACGTGGGGTGCAGACAGCCTCTGGCTGAATGCTTAGAGCAGGACCACTGTACAGACACACTGGTCTTTATTGCTTCCAGACTAGCACATGGACGGTAGTGGTGGTGGTGGGGGGCGGGTGGCGATGGAGGCAGTGAATGCACCCAATTCAGGAGCAATGTAGGTTATGTAAGTGGCTGTTTTTCAGAAGTGCATTGGAAGGACCATTAAACACAGGATGTTAGACAGAGTGGCTTGTGGACTAGCTCCTAACGGGAACCCCTCAGCTGGCTCGTAGCTCTTTGGTCTGTGTTCCCTGTTCCAGCCTCTGTTTATCTTGAAGATAAGAAAGTGGAAACGGATATCATGATGACGAGAATCTATCTCACAGAGTTCAACATCCACTCGGGCAGATTCGACTGAACACAGAGAGCGTCAGAGCTAATTCACACCGGTCACAACTCCCAAAGCCGAGGGTGTGTCCCTGAGTCAGTAAGTAAAAGGGCAAGTGACAAAGATCAGCAACCGAACTTGAAATATGTGCAGACTTTTCTTTTAACGTAAACTGGAGCAGATTGATAGATTTCATACCCTGGTTCTATTCCTGTGCAATGTGGCATTAATTTTCTGTTGTACAATGTAATTCGTTTGATTGATCTGAAATATATTAAAAAAAAAGGTACAGTCAATGGAGGTCTGCGGGAATTTAATCATCTTTAACCCTTGTGTGTGCTGCAGAGTGAAATCTCTTCACAAACCAAATCAAGCTTTCGCAGGCAAAGGAATGTAGGAACTGGAGGAGGCCATTCAGCCCCTCGAGTCTGTTCCGTCATTCTGTTAGATCATGGCTGATCTGTACCTCAACTCCATTTACCTGCCTTCACCCCATATCCCGCTGACACCTTCGCCTAACAAAAATCTATCCACAAAATGCAAAATACTGCAGAGATGCTGGAAATCTGAAACAAAAGCAGAAGTCGCTGGGAACACTCAGCAGGTCAGGCAGCGTCTACGGAGAGAGGAAAGTGAGTCAACATTTCAGAACGATGTCGGTGGATCCGAAACATTGACTCACTTTCCTTTCCCCATCGATGCTGCCTGACCTGCTGAGTGTTCCCGGCCACTTCTGCTTTTATTTTAAAAATCTATCAGTCTCAGTCTTGAAAATTTGAATGATTCAGCATCCATTCTTTTTGGGACAGAGAGTTCCAGATTTCCGGCTGATGAAGACATAATTATTATTATTGTTATTATTACAAAGGGAGAGTCACTGTATACTCGCTGTTTACAATCTGGCGACCCCATATTACACGCAGTCACTACACTTTACAGTAAATTTTGCCGTCCTTCGGATGAGAACTTAATCCGAGGGTCCCGACTGCCTGTTCAGGTGGACGTTATAGATCCCACTTCTATTCGAAAAGGGAGTTTCCTCCAGTGTCGCAATCCAAAAGTTTCCCCCAAATAAAAAAAGAAATAATGATTCATTTTAATCCTGCTTGTTTTGCCTGGATTGTGTTGTGATGCCAACAAAATGCACAGTTAACCATACTCCACCGGAAATCCTGTGAAGCCGTTGAGTCATCTTGACAACTTGAAAAGGCGCCCCGTATCAAATGCAAAGACATTATTGTTACTAATAATAAATTTTATCCTGACAATATGTCTTATTGTGGATGTTAGTGTAACTCACCGACTGAGTAAGTAGATCAGAAATGACGTGTTTATAGTGAGCTGCCAAAGTTCCCACAGCACATCTATCTCCAGAGGAGCAGTTCTCTATCATCAGCACCAGAGCTACGAAGCTCAGAGTCGGTCCGAAACCTAACAACAGTAACAACAACTTGCATTGATATTGCGCCTTTCACGTGGGGTAGCGCCTTGGAGCACTTAACCGTCAGAGAATGACAAAAACGTTCTTGTGGCGTAGTGGTTAGCACGCTCGCCTCGCAAGCGAGAGGAAGCAGCATTGGATTCCCGGCCAGGTCGATACCTTAGTCAGGTTTCCTCACTCCACCCACCTCTGATTACTTAGCGGTTAGTAGGAACCTGGTTGTTAGTCAATTGGCAGATCGCTTTCCGGGGGTAATAATCCCTTCGAAAAACATTTTTTTAAATTAAAAAATAATAATTTGGTCACTCAATCCACGACCGTTTGTGGGACGCCGCTGTGCGCAATTGGCTGCCGTGTTTCGCCCACAAATATACAGTCAATTCACTGGACAGGATATTCTGTGAAGCGCTTTGAGACGTCATGGAATTAGTTGCTGTTTATTTGGCTTACAAAACCACTCATAATTTAAAACAAAACATATTTCACACCCTCCCTCCCTCCCTCTGCCCTCTCTCCCACATTAACTTTCCCTACTTCAACAACTTTTACTTTAGTTCGGTTTATTTCGGGCAAAATTTATTTTGCATTAAGATTTCCACCCCTCTTCAGTCTCGTATTAAAGTGTTTTCCTTCAGTATTAAGCGTCGTAGGATGTGGATGTTGTTTATCGAGTTGTCGAGTCTAAACAACTGTGGTTCTTGTTCATGCAAACAGATATTTTGCCCAGCTGGGTGTCTGACACGTATGGAAATTCATCACCGTGCTTTAGAGTATCCAAACTGAGAATATCCAGCTGTTGCTGAACTGAGGACTGAGAGGTTGAAACGAGTTGGTTGGGCTCTGGGTGACGACAAGGGACACAAGATCCCAATCTTAGCCTCTGCTGAGAGATGAGCTGTTTACCCAGCAGTAATTAGGAACCTAGTTGTTGGTCGATCGGTAGATCGCTTTCTGGGAGCAATAATTGCTTCAAATAAAAAATAATAATATCTGGTCACTCAATCCACGACTGTTTGTGGGACGCTGCTGTACGCAACTGGCTGCCGCCTTTCACCCACAAAATATACAGTCAATTCACTTCACAGTATGTTCTGTGAAGTGCTTCGAGATGACTCAACGAGGTGATAAGGCGCTATCTTAAATGCAAGGATTATAATTATTATTATATCATATCATATAAGCAGGGAGGTGGCTGACATTCCCACGTAGGAGATGAGCAACCTCCAGGCTGTTGTTACTCAATTAATTCTACGACTGTGCTATAGAAAATACACAGTGGAGTGGAGGGAGATGGATAGCATGAGGGTGGGAGGACCCATGGCATCTGTATTAAACACAATTAAGCTGATACCGGTTCGCGATGGGACATTATATCTGGCTGGGTGGAGAGCGCTCAGCACGGCTGCAGTAAGCGGGTCTGGAGTCTTGCTGAGGGATGTGGATCAGAGGGTTGGGGGAAACCAACCCTCTTTGGAGCGCGGAATATGCCAGGTTTGCAGTCCAGGCTTCCTCCAAGACAATCTTTGCATATAGGGAGAAATGCAAAGTAGAACTTGCTGGTTGCCAGCTGAATGAAGGGTGTGACTTCAAACAAAAAGTCTTCATTATTTATAAGATTGTGACTCATTCAAAAAGAGCCTCATTACATTTTCTCAGAAATACGTGTGTGATTGAGGTGATAAGGTCTACACCTGCATGAATTCTAGAAGCGTTGGTGATGGGATTGGCAAGAGGTAGAGGCGAGGAGCTGCTCAATATTCAACCGCGGTTTTGTTTCCAGGTGAACCAACAGTCACAATGTCAAAATTATCTCCTCTCACTGAGACCCATCAAGTCACCTCCTCTAGCGATTGCCTCTCTGTTCCCTCTGACTGTTCCATGACCAGGCACCAACGACAGGTGCACATCAAACCCCTTAAAGCCTTTCCCTGCAATGTTTTTGCTTCTTAAGTGACGTCTCAAAGTGCTTCATAGAATCTGCTGTAAAGTGGATTGACTGTGTATTTTGTGAACGAAAAAGAGCAAGCAATTGCACATGGCAGTGTCCCACAAACAGTCAGGGATTGAGAGACCACATAATATTTTCTTTTGGCAGGGATTATTATCCTGGAAAATGATCTGCCAATTGACTAACAGCTGGGTTCCTACCGTGGAGTAAGGAAACTTGACAAAGGTTACACCCCACCTGGGAATCGAACACATTCTAACCACTGAGCTACAGGACTCCACAAGTGGGATGGGGAGGTTTAATTGGGATGCGACAAAGACAAGGGGAACTTACATGGGGGTTAAATACGAGAGGGTAAGTACCAGACTTGGAGGGAGGAAATTATATGGAGAATAAATGATTCGGTTGTTGGGAGTGAGCAGCATAGTCTGAGACTGCGGTTAACACTTACTGTGAATAATATGGGCTTTACCCTTAATCCAGCACCTTGGGACATCCTCCTGATGTGAAAGGTGCTATAAAAATGTAATTTGTTGCTGTTGATCAGGAGGTAGGAATTCGGCAATGCTACTGGAACATTAATCACTGGTCCACTGCAGCTGACAAAGGGCTCAGTTCCATCAGTCACCCAATTCCTAGCAATAGCTCACAAGGCTTGGGAGGTGCCCTAGTTTTCATGGAATTTTGCTGGCTCTGAGCAGGTTGTGGAAAGTTTGCAACCAGACTCGAGTTAGTGCTTGTTGTGCAAGCTTTAAATCCGGACCTTCATGCTAGCACTGAGTTGCACTGCCAACCCAAGGGACCAAGCAATTCATCTGAGAAGTTAAATGGTTCCCAACTGTGCACTCGTGTGTGTGTGTGTGTGTGTGCGTGCGTGTGTATACCGAGGTGTTGAAGAAATACTGCAAGACCCAACATTGAGGTAAGCCAGAACTCTCTTGCAATGCACTTAATAACAACGATAATAATAGTAATAATCCTCACATTTGATATAGCACTTCATCATGTCGTCGAGACGTCTTACAGCCGTTTCATACAAATATGCTGAAAAGTGTATTTTTTTGGGGCGAAACAAATTCAGAATATCACAAGAGTCTCCTTACCCTGCATTCTGCTGGCTTTGGATTGCTTCAAAGTCCATAACCCGAGGAGGAGCTGAGCTGAAGGACTTGCTGTGGGAATCCTGCTTTTCTTCTCAATGCTGCACATTGGCAAAACATTCAAGCCCTAAGCAATCAAAGCAAAGACAGCCTCCACTCCACCGCACCCTGGCTTCCCACTACAGGGAGGTGCTGGATCGCATCAGTAGCTCGTGTGCATTTCCTACTTCAAGTGGCATTCCCTTCCCATGACTGTACCTCAGGCTGACTGGCTGAGAGACAGACTGGGCTGGATTGGATTGCTATCTCGAGAGCTGACCTATTCTCGTTCCCCAGTCATTGACCATTGGGTGCTTTCCCCATTGAACCTCTTCTGCTGCGAATGGCCTGGATTTCCCCTCTAGCCATGTTCCCTCCAGAAGGAGGCCATTAGCACTCGCTGTCTAAACAAAGACGAGAGAAGCAAGACTCACATCGGAGGATGTGAGTTAATTGTCAGCCCCTGCGACTGCTCAAAGAGCTTCCAACTGGGGAGAATGTGTCATTTTGGAACATTCACAATTTTTTGTTCTGTTTACCATATCTTCATTCTTTGGCCTCCCCCACTTGATATTCCTGAATTCAGCATCCACTGCATCAATTCTCTCCAAGGAATCCTGTAGCTCAGTGGTTAGAGCACTTGTGTCACAAGCGAGCGAGAGACCTGGGATCGATTCCAGGCAGGACGAAACCTTCGGCAAGTTTCCATACTCCACATGCCTGATAATAATACTTTTTTTTAAAAAAAATTGGTCTGTTTGTGAGAAGCTGCTGTGTGCAAAATTGGCTGCCACGTTTTGCCCACAAAAGATATACGGTCAATTCACTTTACAGTCTATCCTGTGAAGCGCTTTGAGACGTCTAGAAGATGTGAAAAAGCGCTATATCAAGTGCAAAGATTATTATTATTATAAAGCGAAGGTCGTACACTCTTACGCTTTCGCCCACACAGTCATTCCACTTTGCAATATATCCTGTGAATCACCTTGAGACGTCTCATCGCATGAGAAGGCGCTATATCAATGCAAGGATTATTATTATGTGGGTTTTGTGTGTTCCATGTGGCTAATGTACTTACAGGTGGCAGTAGGGCACATTTGTCTTGTGGTAACGCAAATAGGTGTGTTTTTGTGTGAGCTCAGTATCTGTGCGCGCGAACACTGTGTGTTTATGTGTGTGAACACGCACACACACACACACACACACACAGACTGCATCCACCGATAAGCACTCCAAGATGTTATTCTGCATTGAAGGGCACTATATGAATGCAAGTCGTTGTTGAACACAGTGTGTGTGAGCGCTGAGTGTGTGTGGTGTGTGTGTGAGAGCACTGGGTGTGTGCGTGTGTGTGTGTGAGCGCAGAGTGTGTGTGTTTGTGTGTGAGGGGTGGGACGAACGCTGAGACCATCTGCGTGAAGGGCACTATATCAATGCAAAGTGCTGTTCTTGTTGGATGAGTAATGTGTGGTTGTTTGCACACTGTATGTGTGAGTCGGTGGCTGCGTGAGTGAAGGAACTTTCTGTTCCAGGTGGGAGGCTGCAAGGTTAATTAACCACATTTCAAACTTTATTAAAATCCCCCTCAGCTAGTTCCACTGCTCTGGTGCTGAACGACCCCAAATGAACTAAAGTCAGGCAATTCAACAACATCAACAACAACAAAATTGCATTTGTAGAGCTCCTCATAACTTTTAGAGTTATAGAGAAAAGAGTAAAGGCTCTTTTCTCTATGAATCGCTGCTATTTACACCACCAGATCCAAACCATTTACTAGAATGAACGTTGCAATAAAAAATGAACATTTCCGATATAATAATAATAATCCTGGCATTTGATACAGCGCCTTATCACAACGTCTAGACGTATATGCTTCACCCATATACTGTAAAGGGAATTGACTGTATGTTTTGTGGGCGGAACGCAGCCGATTGCACAGCAATTTGTGCACAGCAGTGTCCCACAAACAGTTGTGGATTAAGTGACCAAATTATTATTATTATTTTTTTGAAGGAATTATTACCCCTGTCGAAACCTTAGGCGAATCCTTAACCTTACTCCACATGTCTCTGTTTACCTAACAGTAAGTAGGAACCCGGTTGTTAGTCAATTGGCGGATCGCTTTCCGGGGGTAATAAACCCTTCAAATATAATAATAATTTGATCGCTCAATCCATGACCAATTTTACTTGGGGGATTGTTGGGGGATTTGGTCTCACAATGGCTGCTCGTGGGACACTACTGTGCACAAACTGGCTGCCACGTTTTGCCCACAAAATAAACAGTCAAAAACCCACTTCAACAACAACAAAAACTTGCATTTATACAGCACCCTTCATAGAGAGTTGTTGGGATCTGGAATGCGTTGCCTGAAAGGGTGGTGGAAGCTGATTCAACACCAACTTTTAAGAGAGAAGTAGATAATTATTTGGCGAGGACAAGTTTGCAGGGCTACGGCGAGAGAGTGGGGGAGTGGGATTGATTTGGAAGCTCTTTTCAAAGCGTCGGCACAGACACGATGGGCTGAATGGCCTCCTTCTGTGCTGTGTAATTCTATGATTCACACAGGGTAGCATCCTAGAACGCTGAATAAAGTTCTGTGAAATGCTTTGGGACACCCTTCTGTAAATGAAAAGCGCTATATCAAATGCAAGGCCTATTATTATGCGGTCTAAACCTTGCAACACAGACTGCTCATGCTAAAACTATGAACAATTTGTTTGCTGCAGCGTTGCCATAATAAAAAGGAATTAATTTGAGTACCATAATGGTGAGAAGAATGTTGCCCTTAGCATTTGATGCGACCACGCCCGTAGCATACCTATATTTTTGATGACTTTTTGTAAACATCCTCAAGGCATCATCAGAATAGATGATCTCTGAGGATAATATATCCCTGAAAAATAATCCCTTCAACAAAAAAACAAAAGTTTAAAAAAAAAATGATAACATGGTCACTCAATTGGCTGCTGCGTTACACCCACAAGCTGTTCTGTGAAGGGCTTTATCAAACGCAAGGATTATTATTATATTATTAACTAAAATCTTGCGCTAAAGTCTTGCAACGTAGACTTGCGTTCCAGTGTTGCGCTACAGCCCCTGCAGAACTTTGCTACGTGTGATTGCAGTGTTAGTGAAAAGCAGCTGTCAAAGCAAACAACTAAATATTCCACCAAGTATTCTTTGATCTCGTGCCCAAAGCAATATTTCTATGCGCAATATATTTCCCATTGTGTTAGAGCTTCAACTTTATTGTAACTGCTGAAGCACTTCATCGGCAAAGCGCTGGCGTTCAAACAATGCTTCGCTAAAATGATTCATCTATAACTGTTCTTTGGGCATTGTCTCAAAGTGTGCTCCTGTTCAATGGTATTTACACTAGATTCATTAGATAAGTGGGACTTGCAGGCAAATGGAAACCATGCACATGTGGTGGTAATAATAATAATAATAATCCTTGCATTTGATACAGCGCCTTATCACGTCTTCGAGACGTCGCAAAGCACTTCAAAGATTATACTGTAAAGTGCAGTGACTGTGTGTTTTGTGGGCAAAACCCGGCAGCCGATTCCGCACAGCAGTGTCCCACAAACAGCCGTGGATTGAGTGACCAAATTGCTATTATTAATTTTATTTATCTATTTATCTATTTATCTATTTATCTATTTATCTATTTATCTATTTATCTATCTATTTTTGAAGGGATTCTCAGTAGTTTGGGTTTTGAGACTTATGTATGGTGATGGTTTTCCGCACGTGTCAAATAGCTGGCGTGTCGAACACAAATCCTGGGCCCTGATCCCCTTTAAACTAAAGCATTGAGTTGTTTGGTAGGTAAAAGCCACATTCGCTGACGACTGTTCAATAGCATAAGGAATGCGGTTTGTTTATGGGAACTTAAGGCATGGATCGATTCAAGTACAGCTCCCGTAAGCCTCCGTAATCCACCTACCTGGATGGAATCGTATCTACTGGCAGTGGTGGGGGTGGGGGGGGGGGGCAGATGTGTTACAATTTCATTGCATTAAAATCTTTTTATTTTCAAAAAAGAGAGGTGAAGTGATTGCCCAATATCTTACACAGCCATTGGGTGGCAGCAGCAGATCATTTGTGGTCTGTGCACTGGTGGAAAATTCATTTATATTTTAGGTCTGGGTCTATTTTAGGCATTTCTTCCAGTTACTCTCCATCGTGGCTGCTCTCACGCTCCCCTAAAAACGCGCGGCGTGTATGTGCATGTATGGGAACCTATGCGCAGAAGCGCACACACACACACACACGCGCGCGCGGGCGCGTCACTCGCTGTATGCACACGCAAGGCACGATTGTGGCTTAAAGTGCGTCCTTCGCGAACAGTCTCAAAGATCTCCCTCTCTGATCGTCCTCCACCACCACCATCGCCTCTCCTTGGCCGTCACGCCTCCCGAATCCAAGCCACATTAAACCCTCGACTGTCCAACGCCTTGGGACAGCAATTTGTTGCTGTCGGTGACGGAGGACTTGATTGATGACCTCGGAGCATTGTGCAATGCTGGCTGGGCGGGAGCCCGTTTCAAACCACGTAGAACAGGAGCGTTTAGACAGGAGGGTTGCGATTTGGAACTTAACGTCAACACAGACTTAACAACACAAGAATTTGCTTCCCCATCCTGACACTCAGGCACGTGTCGTGTCCCGAACTATATGATATATCCTGAGATATTATTCCCTGACAGAAATCTGTCCAACTTGTTCTTGAACGGATCGACACTTTCCTGCTGTTTCAAGGCACATAATTCAGAAATGAACGAGGGTTAATGTTCTAATGCCTGTTCCTTCCTCTCGATAGCTCTGAATTCTGTGAAGTCCACAGGAAGGCAAGAGCGGCCGGGATTTGCGCGCTTTGAGGGCTCGTAATGTGGCTCGCTGGTCGGGCGCCGCCGTGCTGCGACTTTCTCGGCGAACGAGATCTCCGATCAGCTTCGAAACGCCCGTAATTAAACTAATGAGGTCACGAGAGACGCTCAAAACAAGTGCAAACGCCTCCAGTCGGCTGCACTGACTCCTGCAGCGCTCGGCGAGATTCAAGCAGGTCGCACGCTGTTAATAATAAACATCCCGCGCCCCCCCCCCCACTCCCACTCCGTCTCGCTAATGTTGACGTGAGGCCCTCATCTGATCGTTACTTCCCAGAGTAATACGAAGTTTGTGAGCGGGACGTGGCCGAAGTGCGTGTGTGTATGTGTGTGTGTGTGTGTGGTGTCCGGGACATGGCGCACATCGAAGGGGGTGTTTGCAATGGTGGGGCTCACGTTGGTAAAGGAGCAGAAAGATAAGATCTAGGGGTTTAAATGCCCCGGGACGCTACCCAGCCTGAAGGGCGCGGTGTAAAT